TAGCATAGTTTTTTCCCTATACATGTATATTGTAAATAGAATTATGAAGTTCTGTGTTGGTCCAAGGGCCAATTGCAAGATCAGCCGTGGTGTACACCTTGCTGTGGTATCCTGGCGGTCGTAATACAATGGAGGAAAAATTGTGTGAGTTTTCAAGATGGGCCATGGTGGTACCCGACCGTCGTTTGTTATTACTCCGTCATCGTAGCGTAGTCAGGTGTAACAACTGGCGGAAGACTTGGGGGTTGGTATGCTTGCACCCTCAAAACATTGTCAGTGGCACGAAATGTTTACTCTTGCTACACGAATTGTGAGCATGAAACTCTTGAATCCCAAGCTAAGGTGCACCTCATTTTCCTCTTTTTTTTTTTTTTTTTTTTATATATAAGCCAATTCTGGGAATGAAATACGATCACTTACAGTGAATATAAATAAATAAAGCCTGTGACAACCATAAAAATGTAGGAATAGAGTGTAATATCTGTTCCTTTCATATTTACCCTTATTAAATCTAACAATAAAGTAATAAGTGTCATGAACTTGGGGTTGGGTGAGTGTAAATAAAGAGAACTATGGCCTGTTCTGTGGATGAAGTCAGTAGAATATAACAAAATACAGTACTGTACAGTATTAGGTCATATAATTTTGCGATGGCTTATGAACTCACTGTACAGATGAATTGGGATAAAATCTTGGAAAAAATATCACCATAACTTAGTTTTCTATCAAACAGGAAATTATCTTTGCACCAAGAATTTTTACTTTCATATTACAGTATACAAGTATAAAGGCCAGTTATCTACAAGATATGAAAACTTGAGATATTGTTTCCTACTTGTCTCCACCTGATTATAGTAGTGCAATAAATACCCTTTGAAAGAAAGCAAGACATGAACACTTTCCCAATGTCAGGAGTAAAATTGTATACAATATGTTAATGACATGGACTAAACCAGCTGTTGGAGAAAAGTATCTGCTGTTTAAATGGTCTTTCATTTGGAAAAATATTCCATGTAAATACTGTATATGGATCCTCACCAGAGTCTTCATATAGTTAATGTGCAGACATTTGTTTACAAGGCATATACTCAACTATAATGGAAAGGAAGACATGTTAGGTTAGATTAGGTTCATCTCATGAGCAAATGTCATGGAACCCATATACAGTAGGTATATTCATGAAATTCTACCAACTAATCAGAGACTAATAATGTTAAACATAGAACAAGATGATAATTATATGGTTTAAAAATATCCTCAATACAGTCTGCAATGTTAATTGCAAATTATTCCTGCATTTTTTAATGTTTAATATAAACTGTAATAATAATAAAGATAAGAATACAATGATAATGCTTATGTCAGATTATATAGCCTTTATTAAAAGTAGGATATGTTAAAATATATGGATGATCAAGAGTAAAGTATTTTAAAAGAAAAATCATCCACAAATTTCACAAATATATTAATACGTAATATCCATGTATGTACAGTATGCAGTGTAAAAAAAAATTAAGGTATACGGTATGTAATGATTTCTCTAAGGCATATTTTCTGAAAATTTCAGAAACTGCATTTTTTCTGGTCTGAGTTATTTGGGGATCTTATGGAGTCTCCAAATTTTTCTGTTCCGAGTCTGGGAACCAATTCCGAGGTTAGGCAAGGTAGCAAATTCCAAAATCTTCCCAGGAACCAGAAAAATTCCCCATCAATCATGATACCAAGATTTATTTCTTCAGTATTGGTGAAAGGTGTGAATATTCAGCTGTATCTCCACCTGTAAGTGAAAATAAAGTCATTAATATTGTGTTAGTTGTAAAGGCCTGGGACTTAGGGATTGAAATCCCTTACCAGCCTAATCAGGATCTTATAAAAGGAATGTCAAGAACCATGGTTTTCCGAGGGATAACAAACAACCGTTCGAGATTGACATCTCTTTACTATAAAAATAACACAAAACTCTGACACTACTCAAACAAACATCAAATAACAATTACGGGAGTCAAACAATTATGAGAATCGACAATTAATGCAGTCAAACAGTTAAGGGAATCAAGCAATGAATGGAATCAACAAATAATGGAGTCAAATAATTAAGAAAATCAAACAATTAATGGAATCAAACAGTTAAGGGAATCAAACAATGAACAGATATTTCCTACGGCAGCGGCACTGGGGATGGTCAAGTCAGGCTTCCTCACTCGAGTGACGGCGGCTGATGTCTTGCTACAGTAGGAGAAACAACGGGGCACAGACGGTGGAGAGGAACTAGCGATGACGTGGCAGCTGCGGTAGTCGTTAGGGTAGGTGTCCTGAGATTGACAGTCGATTTGTGAAGGTCTGGGGAAACAGCCCACGAGTCCAGAGCCTATGATGAGATCACAACCAGAATTTGACAAACAGCGGAGAGGTGTGGCTGTACTGACGGCTGGGTAGAATCTGCCTGGTATCAAGGCAGCTGTCATACTCTCACCTCAGTATATCCCTCAAGGGGGTAGGCAAACTAGCAAACGGGTGTCAAACAATCTTCCTCCTCGTTACCGCCCTTACATTAGTTAAATTTGCGAATTCTGAAACATCTTTATTTATGAGGGTTAATATTTATAAGTTTCCAACACCTACACATTGTGGGTAATTTTGTCTGTTAAAAAAAGTAAATAAAACAGAAATAAAAAATTCCAATGCAAACTCAGATTTGTTTGGTTTGATATGCAACACACGCACAAAAAATATTTTGTTTTCTAATGTAGATTTAATGGCGATTCCAAAACTTTGATCCCTTTTTTGGAGAAATTCATAGAAAAAAAAATTATAAGCCCTTTAAAATTTTAATGTTCTGCATCAAAATGTTAACCTAGCCTACCTAACTTAACCTAACCGGAAAACTTTGGTCAACTTAAAATCCTAAAATTCCCTGGATAACCAAAAAGATAATAAGACCTTAAATTTCATTTCTTTTGGAAGACATTATTCATTTTTGTTGGAATCATGAACATACAAAGCCAATATATCTGCACTTGATTCTACCACTGTCAATGTCAAAGTGAATTATTACCGCCACTCCAAATGTTGCACCAAAAGTGGTAAGGTAGTTCTTTCTTGCAATACATTGAGTCACTAAGGGAATTAAAAAAAAAAGAACATGAATTTGTCACTGAATTTATCTTAGTAACAAATTGTGGTTAAACTGATACACAAATGAAACATGCCTGGGAACTACCTGGCACTGGTTAACTGGCATATTTGGACTTAATAAATATGAAATTTAGATTACCAAGTAGTTATACTAATGAAATAATTATTTTGATAGTGCTGGACGGTTATTAATTGCGCTCATTACGAAATTGGGTCGATATTATTTCTGATAAGGGACGTGCTGGACGGTTATTAATTGCGCTCATTACGAAATTGGGTCGATATTATTTCTGATAAGGGACGTCATTCACCATCCCAGATGGAGCAGTTCTCACCACTCTTAAAATAGACCACTTACGACAGGGGTGTCAAACTCCTTTGCCAAAGCGGGCCAGATTTAATATGAGTACACAGTATGTGCAATCACCTCTTAGGTGAGTAGTACGACAAAATAAGAAAAGTGGATTTAGTCTGCGCTCGTTTGAAACCCTTAAAAACAACAAATCAAGTGTTTACTTACCTTGATCAATCTTATTGTTTGCTACTGCTGCTTCCTGATAATTGGCACCTCTTGGTATGGACCAGTGCATCAAAGTTTGGCACTAACGACTGAGCTGTAGCAACCTTCAGTATTGAATTAAGGTGAGCATCAGTAAGTTGAGACCGAAGCTGAGACTTATTCAAGTTCACAGACATATGTACTTCCGAACATTGACATAATCTTTGAGGCAAAACATTTAATCCTGGGATAATTTGGCCCCAAATATAGATAAAATGTGCCAACATCAACACTCGAAAACTTGTTCCTCAACACAGAATCACACTGGAGCTCATTGGTGATGTTGATTGAGTATATTGTTCTAGGAAACAGCGGACTATTTTATTCAGCTGAGGGATACACTCACTATTTAGTTTTAGCTCCTCAAGGCAAAGCTGGAGCAGCAAATGGGCCACGGGCCGCATGTTTGACACCCTTGACTTACAACTTTTTTTTAGCTTAATTTGATTTCCATACATTTCTACACAAATTATTTGGATTAGTTATCTTAAAGGCTTACCTTTTATGATGGTTAGGAGAATTTGGAGGATAAAAGCGGCCATGAGGCAAGTAGAGGCTGGCGGATGTTCCTAAACAAACGTGGAATTCTTTTAAAATGAACACTAAAATTCTTCATGTGCTGTTCTATATGGAGGATATCTTTCAAAAAATATTATTCCTTTGCAGATTTATACAATTCTATTTCTTTTCTTTTGGTTTCAAAATATAGTTCCATTGTAGTGGTCATCGGGCGGGGGTACGAGTACCACGGAAATCTCCCACGTTCCAATAAAGAATCTAGATTATTTTTTTTTTTTTTTTTTTTTTTTTTAGGCTGGAACGCTTTTTGCACAACAACCATGGGGCTACTACAGCATGGTATACACCACGGAGCTTCTTGCAATTGGCCCCGAGAACGAATCTTAACTGAATATTACTCTCATCTGCTTGATGCATTGGGTAATTCAAATCGCACTTGACCCCCATGTACCAATAATGTAGTTCAAATTTGTGGGAGTTTTGTATATTGCTATTTTTAACTTTTAGCACTACAGTATAGTACATTACTGTATGCTTTATTCATTGTGCTTAGAAATCTTATTCTGTAAAAGTGGATTGGATATGGGAAGATCATCTGGACATAAAACGCACTTCAAAGTTGCCTGATCACAACCAGGACACCATGCCATCGGGTAATCATGGCTAACCTGCACACGCATGGAAAGTGACGGTAAAACGGTGTTGGTGATCATGATGATTGTTTTTTAATCATATTTATATCCCACAGTTCTTCAGAATATATTCTATTTTTTTAATTTAATTTCAGAGTTAAGGAACATGGCTGGTGCTGATGGTGATTTATATGACTTTGATGCTCCAAAGCATTTCTTTAACCTAAATGAGAATGATGACCTCGAAGTGGACGAGTCGTATTTTGGTAAGGTTTCATCTGTATTTTCTTAAGTATAATATATTAACCGAGAACTTTAAAACTTAGAAAAGATTTATGTTCTAGGGCTTGTGGTTACTGATAGTGTATCAGAGAAACTTCTTTTAAATTAATTTGGATTCCATATAGAAATTACACAGGTGTTAAAGTGAGAGAAGAAGTATTTAGTGTAGCTGAGTTGGGCTTGCTGAGGTGGTACAGTAGAGTATGGTCATATTGAGAGAATGTGAAATGATAAATTACTTAAAAGATAATATATACCAGTACTGTACTGTATATATAATGTAAACGTACTGTACTGTGTGTGGTAGGATGGAAAGGAAAAGACCAAAATGGAGGCAAGAAGGGGTTGCTTTAAAAGTACTGTACGTGTCGCCCTTGCTTTGCTTTCACCAGCTTCATAAGAACTGGAGTTCCAAGTAATGTACATTGTTTACTTTTATCCACCCACATTTTACTTAAACTGGACTAACATTTGCAAATACTGAGCTCTGCACCACTTCATCTTTCTTACATGTAACCCATCGTGTACCATAATGTTTTTGTATAAATATTTGTTCTTACTGGCTTGATTTTATCTTATCAATATTGATTATGATATGACTTCCCCCATCAAGTTGTATTGTGAGTAAAGAACCCATTATGGTGATGTTAATGCTATAAACTGAGTTAGAGATATTAAGAAGCCTTGATAATGGTGAAACAGCTTTTGCACTTTGTGCTCAACCTTGGGAACCAGACTTTGGGCCCTTGCTGAAGCCAGCCATTTAATAAGTCATGAAGCTGAAGCCAAGGCTACACAAAGCTTCAGCACCATTACTTGTACAAGTATCCTTAATGTAATGATGGGGATGCATTCCTGAAAATATTAACTTTCAGCAAAATTATTGCAAAATGAGGGATAACGACGAATAATATCCGTGGATGGCCTGTAATTGTGTACTAGCTGATTCGCCGCACAGTAACGCTCAGAACGAGTGAGTCTGAGCTGTGAACTATGTTATGATTCAACTTGTGGAAAACAAATTATAAGGTCTAAAACATAAAAGGAATAAACACTTAAGTGTGCGGGAGTTAAGCAGACACCGGGGGAGTGGTGTGGGGGATCTCTCAGCTGATCTGTCTCGTGTCCTGTGTGACATGAAATGATTGCCAAGTGGCAACACTATTTTTTTTCCCTCACATATACTGGTACAGTATGCACATGACACAGTTCATCCTGGCAGTCACCAAGCTGACTCAAGAGACATTTGTGGCTAGGGCATGTATGCCATGACGTCCCATAGGGGGAGGGAGAGTGTGGCTGGCTGCAGTTACAAATCACTGCCTCAATACATTAGTTCACTACACACACACACACACATATGTCGACGACTCCACCATTAGGATCAGCATCAACAATTCTGCTCCCGACTATACCGCCCTTCAGGATATATTGAACAGTCTCCAAAACTGGGCCACCAACAACCACGTCACCATCAACCATACCAAGACCATGGTTATGCACATCAACCTCTCCTCCGACATTGTCCCACCCTCTTTCCATTAATTTAGGTCCGAACACACTCCAGGTTGTAGATTCCACGAAGCTCCTCGGCGTCACCATAGACAACAAACTAAATTGGAAACCACACATCAGTGAAGTTGTCAAATCCTCCAGTTTCCGTCTCCACCTCCTCCGCCGACTCAAGTCCCTCGGAGTTCCTGCACCCGAGCTACTCGGTGTTTACTCAACATTCATACTTCCCAAGCTCACCTATGCCTCCCCTACCTGGTCTTCCTCCCTAAATGCCACACAACGTAAACACCTAGAAAAAGTGCAAAAGAGGGCATGCAAGATTATTCTCTCCCCTTCCTACTCCACATATCAAGAAGCGCTCGACACACTGACCCTTTCGACTCTCACTGACCATCACCATGACCTCATCTGCAAATTTGGTAAGAAGCTTCTGCACCATCCTCGACACCGGCTCCTACTACCACCTGAGATGCCTAGCCCGAGAATTGCTGTTCGACACCACAAACGCATCCAGCCCATACGTGCACGAACTGATCGCTATAAGAACAGCCCAGTCCCAACCATTGTAAAAATTATCAATAACTTGTAATAAACTAGTGTATTCACTCCCAGTAAATACTTCTACTTGCACTGTCACTATGTTGAAATGCCCTGTAGTTTGAGCTTTTCCCCATCTAGTTATTATAAATCTTATTTATATCACTTATGTTACTTGTATATTATTTGTAATTCGAAACCTATTCCCCAATTATGTAACTGTATATTTTCAGCCTACTGGCTGCCAAGCTCTTTCAATAAACCGTTACCGGTAATTATTATTATTATTATTATTACACACATCCCCATGCTCCTAATTTTTAAATTTTATAGTTTTATATTATACTATCTTTATTTCTAAACCACAATACAGTACAGTATTGTAATGGTGCTCACTTGGAGCACAATCCATCCTGAATTTTTCCCAGTGAGTCTAACATAGCAAAATAAAAAATTGACCATCATTAAACAAGAAGGGACAGGAAAATTTTTATATAGCTAAACCGAAATATCACGAAGTGAACGATCATTAAACTAGGGATACCTGCATAATATACTGTACAGTCTTACTGTACACTCGCAACAAAAAGTATCGGTGCATACTGTAATGTGAACAATTTGAGACCAGTGACGATAGGTATTGGGAAAGGCGAGTTGTTCCAGCCGTATGTTGGCAGCCCTGGTCAAGTGAAACAAACTGTTATAAATAAGGTCGGGAAGTGATAAATAGACAGTATGAAATATGAGGAGCTCCCTGTTAACAAAATTATTTGTGAAACTTGTGAATATTGCCACATTAATTTATGCTACCAAATAAACCACTCAACATGGTCGTCCTGAGGGGTGGTGCAGCGTGGAAGGCCGCTCCGACACCTGTCGTCTGTAGCACCAGTTTCGAGGTATCGCCAAATCCATCGTGCAGCGGTGTTCCTGTGGACACCAACCTGCCGGCTAATATCTGTGACGCCGAACCCTTCGTTATGTAGGGCAATAATAGCTTCTCGTGTTCCCTCTGAGGTTTCCATGTCGTCTGGCATGTGTAGATCTCCACTGCTTCATATTGCCTCTGTTTTATACCCACGTTCACCGAGACTGAACCCTCGCTCATCATTCAGTCGACACAGCAACAATCCGAAAAGAGGAAACAAACACACTGATTGTCAGCCATATGGCAACACCTAGTGGGGAGGGGGGGTTATGAGGATACACTTACCAACCTTCCCGACATATCACAGTGTATACGTATCGTTTCGGAGGTCGTCGATCACATCCTGCACCGATACTTTTTGGTGTGAGTGTACATGATGGAAATACTTAAGATATTCTAAGTTGCAGCAAGGCCAGTGTTGCTTATGATAGAGTTTTTGTGCCTGAAATTTGTGTGCTTTGACATTTTTTAAGTATTTTATTATTATTAAGTAGCTTAAGAGGTGCCCTCGTCCATAACACATCATGTTCCTTCAGGAAGGCAGAGAGATTTGATCTGTGTTTATAGCTCTTGTCAAACATAATTGCCACACAATTCATCTCGCCAACCATCCTCTCTAGACAAACACCCTGCTGTGTCCTGTAGTGGCACTAAATCTGCTCCTTATCACAATGCAGAAAGAATGCCTATAACCTATGAAAAATGTAATTTAATTATCTCTCCTCATTAAATTTTCTTAACATGTATAATAATCATTAACCTGAGTTTCTCAGTCCCTGACGGACAAAATACTGTAATTACTGGGGTATACACAGTACAGTACCAATATACATACAGTACGGTATACAGTAGTACAATATTGGTTTCCAAATTTTTCATGAAGACAGAACTGCAGTGAGGTAATTGATAACAAAATATTTAGAAGATTATATTAATGTCATATCATCCTACCATTCTATAAAAGGTACAGTACACATCAAATAAAATGGTACTGTAAAGAAGCACCACTAAACTACAGTATTTTGATAGTATTCCTCGGGAGATAATTCGAAACAGTTTAATCAGATAATAAAACTAATATTAAATTCAGTTTTAAATATAATTTGTGTAAAGAATACAGTAAGGTCTTCCTAACAGGCAATATGTGTTTTTGAAAAATTATTTGCTAAATGCATACTGTACTTACAGAACAATGTTTAAAGTCACACGATATCATAGCTTAAGTCCTTATACACATCTAAAATTATTTAATTTAAGACAAAAGAAGAAGTAGAATGACAAAATACAGTGAATGAAAATAAAAAATAAATAATCAGGTAAATAAAATAATGTACAGTATTACCCCGCTTTACGCGGTTTCATTTTCCGCGATTTCTCATTTACGCGGTGCCTCGCCAGAACCGAACTTTCACTTTCCGCGGTGCATCTACTCATATACGCGGGAAGCGGCGCGGGCAGGATGCGCACAAGGTCGCCCAGTCATCAAAACATTACCGAGTTCTTTACCCGCCACCCACCACAGCCGGCCTAAGTCAGTGATAGAGGATATGGACTTGTATGGACTTTGAGGGGTTTGACAAAGAGGCCCTGCAAGCCTATGTGGTGGATAGTGATACAAGTGATACAGGTGAGGGCCAATAATCTGCCCTCTGCCTCGGAACCAACCCCCCATCCCTGTGTGCCCAGCCATCTTTTCTACTAATGTAAGTGTTAATAAAACTGATATTATTGATATTTCTCTTAATTATTAATTGTGTGTGCATACCATCATAAAATTAAGATGTAATTTTTACTGCAACGTAGGTATTGTGTCTGAAAAAGTGGAGTTTGGGGGTCGGGCCAGTATCTGTTGGAATTAACCCCATATGTTCTGTTGTTCACTTTACGCGGTTTTCACTTTCCGCGGTACCCCATGGGTTCAATTGGCCGCATAAATCGGGGTACTACTGTACTGCAAATTTCAAGTTTACTTTTTAACCCCGTTCGTATCAGCAGGTGTTCATTAGTTGGGACCTCCTGTATTCCCTTTGTTTGCCCTTCGGACAATTATTTCTTTTACCTGTATAGTGTTGTGTGTGTAGTCACGAATTAAGAATCTGCAAATTACAAGGGCATGCTATACTTTATGATATGTTTCTTTTGTCAGACTGCCCAAGAAGCGCTGAAGTGCTGAGGGACCAACAGCAACCAGTGTTGTCAGCACTTCCTACAACAATGGAAACACCCAAAAGACTACCCAATTCCTCTCCTGCAGTTAACAAAGAGACAAAAAAAATTCTAGACAAAGGTATGGATGTTGATGGATCATTTCTTGTCTGTTCTGTACATAATCTTGAAGTTAATACCATGCACTCTAAAGTATATTCAGGACAGTGCAGTATATAATAGACAAAGGTACATCCCAGGAAGTAAGTCTTTTTTTCTTCCCTCTCTCATTTCTTTCTTGTCTGCCTCTTATTCCTTACATTCTCCTTTTCTCTCTCTCTCTCTCTCTCACATACACAAATAGGTTTATGAGTTCCAATTCTTCCCTTACAGTATAACAATGTGTGTGTGTGTGCGTGCACATTTCTTTTGTCAGACTGCCCAATGGGTGTCGATAAGCAGCCTGTGTCACCACCACAAGCAATTCCCGTGGACACGCCAAAGGAGCTTACCAATTCCTCTCCTACAATAAAAAGTGTCGACAAAGGTATGAAGTGTAATGGGTCATTGCTTTAACAGTACTACTGTTAAGCAGTTGACCCCAACACACCCATCATTCACTCTCACTGAAGATGATTAAAATTGTTTCAAATATTAACATGTTTATTTACATAAAAGTGAAGTTTTTTGTTACTGTCATTAAAGGAAATTATTCATTATTTTAACAGAACACCTAGGGAACAATTCTGCAAGGAAAAGAAAATCTCCAACACATGGAAACCACCTTGAGGACAGAATCCCAAGCATTGGTATAAGACAATCTCCAAGACTTGCTGCAGTTGCTAAGGTAACCAACTTTTCAATCTTCTCAACTCTAATAGAAAAGACAATTTGAAATTATTCCATATTAATTAGTCTTTAAAGAAATACAGAAGGCATGTGTTAATAATACCAGCACTGTACTGTACTGTACATACTGGAATAACTTCAGAGGTGAAAAATTAACATTATTTTACCCATGTCTTTGAGTTTTGTAAGGGTAACTAACTGAAAATGAGCCTTTTATGGCTTATAGGTCATCCATTCAAAACCCTACTTGAAGAACAACCCTTGGAGGGGTTGCCCTGTCTAAAGACTGTAACAGGGACATGCTCTTTCATAGATCAGTGGAATTCTTCCATAAATCAGGTGGTGGTTTGTGAGGGCAGGGCTTCCACCACAGCCCATTGGTGTAACAAGGTGTGCCTGATAGTTGACTGAGTCCCTTGCTGGATCATGACTCAAAGTTCTCTATTGTAATCTTGGGTCTTTGAAGTTTGTCAAATTAGTTCCAGGTTGCAGCTGTCATTAATTGCGTGCGTCTTGTGTGTGTGTGTGTGTGTATATATATATATATATATATATATATATATATATATATATATATATATATATATATATATATATATATATATATATATATATATATATATATATATATATATATATATCATTTCATTAGCCCAATAAAGCACGCTGACTTCTACATACAATCAACACCCAACCCCGCCAGGATTCAAACCCACCCCACGAGCCTATGACTGTGACCGGAGAACGCTACCTCTGGACTACCAGGATACTAAAAGCAGTCCTAGACTCTGGTATATTTCACACAAAGCCTGTTCAACGAGCTTTAGGCGCCGTGAACCTCTAATGGGGACTACCCGTATCACGTAGGTGGTCAGAGTAACGTTTTACCGAATCCGGCTTCGAGGTAGCGTTCCCCGGTCACAGTCATGGGCTCGTGGACCGTGGGTTCGAATCCTGGCGGGTTGAGGTGTTGATTGTATGTAGAAGTCCGCTTGCTTTATTGGGCTAATGAAATAAATATGGATCCTCATGTTTCGAAGCCGGATTTGGTAAAACATTACTCTGACCACCTACGTGATACGGGTAGTCCCCATTAGAGGTTCACGGCGCCTTAAGCTCGTTGAACAGGCTTTGTGTGAAATATAACGGAGTCTAGGACTGCTTTTAGTATCCTGGTGGTCCAGAGGTAGCGTTTCCCGGTCACAGACATGGGCTCGTGGGCCGTGGGTTCAATTCCTGGCTGGTTGAGGTGTTGATTATATATATATATATATATATATATATATATATATATATATATATATATATATATATATATATATATATATATATATATATATATATATATATATATATATATATATATACAGTAATACCCCGCTTAACACGGTTTCGCTTAGCGCGATTTCACGTATACGCGGTGCCTCGCCAGAGCCGAACTTTCACTTAACGTGGGTTTTTTCCACGTATACTAGGAGAGTGTCTGGTTCGAGATGCTATTTTTAGATTCGCCCCACCCGTCACCCTGCCTGCCTGTTTTAGCTCATAAAATTCATACAAATTACCCAGCCAGAATATAATTTACATTGCTGGAATTCTTACAATATGATGATCATTTTGAATATAAACATCATAGATTTTGCATTAGACATACAAATTTTAGATATAATGTTTACTCTGAGTAAATATGTTATTTTTTGTGCAAAATATATGACATTTGTATTCAAAATATTCCTGGTCTTACAAGGAATCCAGCAATGTCAATTATATTATCCTAACTTTAGTTTGAGGTATTATTTATTACTAAAAAGGTAAATATTCTGGTTTTCCCACACATCTGGTAGGGAGGGAGGGAGGGACCGACCGACCATCTGTTACCATGTGAAGAATATTTTTTTTTTTTTATTAACTGAAGATATTTGTTTTAGCTCATAAAATTCATACAAATTACCCGGTCAGAATATAATTTACATTGCTGGAATTCTTACAATATGATGATCATTTTGAATATAAACATCATAGATTTTGCATTAGACATACAAATTTTAGATATAATGTTTACTCTGAGTACCGTATATCACGGCCTATAAGGCGGCGGGGTGCATAAGACGCCCCCCCCAAATTTCCATTTAAAAAGTAGCTTTTGAGCTCTATTTGCTGTATAAGACCAGTACCCCAAATGTGACACTTACCCACTGACTCAGTAGTCCTTTACCAACCATCCTTGATTTTTTAAAATAAGGCCAATTCACTTCAAGTAATGTCATCAAATTATACCCGCTGGTGTAGTGTAAACACTAGTGACGTCACTGAAGCGTGGTGGGAGTGTTCCCTCGTCTCGGTGGTGTGACTATTTATACAACATGTGGTTCAACAGCAACCACCGTATTCTAATTGTGGTGTTTCATTAGGATTTGAGTGAAAAAGGTTACCAGTATGTACTTACTACATACATTTATTACACAAATATATATATATATATATATATATATATATATATATATATATATATATATATATATATATATATATATATATATATATATATATATATATATATATATATATATATATATATATATATATATATATATATATATATATATATATATACTGAATATACTATGTACAAAAAATGAATGTTCAATGAATTATTTATGGTGCATTAGGGTACTGGTCACTTCTGATGGGCTATAAATAGCCTTCTTTATCTCCCCTACATCTCACCCTGAGCCAGACGGAAGGGTCTTGGTAAATAACATGTTTGCTTATTTTCCATTTACTTTAAATAGATTTACCGAATTATTTGTTTTATTTATTTATTTATAATATACTGTAATATATTAAACACACTGTAATTATTTTCTTTAATTTATAAACTGTTTTGCGACAAAGGAATGTTCTCCAGTAGTGTTTCATTAGGATTTGAGTGAAAAAATATTACGTACTTACACAATTGTTCCTCTTACTTTGACAACACAACATACATACAGTATATTATTTCTCAGTTTTGATCTTTTTTTTAATTTTTGTATTTATTTATAGTTAGTTACTTAAAATAAGGCCAATTCACTTCAAGTAATGGCATCAAATATTACCAGCTGGTGTAGTGTAAACACTAGTGACGTCACTTGAGCGTCTGTAATTAACCGTCGATAGTTTCAAGAATTAATGCACTCATTTACTGAATATTCTTTGGAAAAAAATAAAATTTAAATCAATTATTTATAGGAGATAAATATTATTATGAGTAAATATACCGATACCGGTATGCATTACTGACCACCTCCACGGCTAAAAATAGCCCAATCTCGCGGTCACTTTCCCTTTCTTGTCTCCTCACTGGCAAATGGGGGGGGCGTGGGGAGGGGTGTGTGATGATAGCTGTGTTTATTACAGGGGTATAATTCTCTTTTACGGTATGTTAGACAGGTTTATAATACATTTTTATTATTTTAATATACCGGTAATCTTAATTTGAATCCAGCTTGCCAAACGTAAGTTTCAGTATAAAATAATTAGTGGTAAGACCTTGTGAGTGGCTTACGATGTTTTCATCACCACTCTTGACACACTAAACCACAATATTTAAGAGGTAAGAATTTTAACTTGGTGGTTTAGACGACCCCCTAACTTTGGGCAGATTTTTTTAATGTTCAAATTTCGTCTTATAGGCCGTGATATACGGTAAATATGTTATTTTTTGTGCAAAATATATGACATTTGTATTCAAAATATTCCTGGTCTTACAAGGAATCCAGCAATGTCAATTATATTATCCTAACTTTAGTTTGAGGTATTATTTATTACTAAAAAGGTAAATATTCTGGTTTTCCCACACATCTGGTAGGGACGGGTAGGGAGGGACCGACCGACCATCTGTTACTGTGTGAAGAATATTTTTTTTTTTTATTAACTGAAGATATTTGTTTTAGCTCATAAAATTCATACAAATTACCCGGTCAGAATATAATTTACATTGCTGGAATTCTTATAATTTGATGATCATTTTGAATATAAACATCATAGATTTTGCATTAGACATACAAATTTTAGATGTAATGTTTACTCTGAGTAAATATGTTATCTTTTGTGCAAAATATATGACATTTATATTCAAAATATTCCTGGTCTTACAAGGAATCCAGCAATGTCAATTATATTATCCTAACTTTAGTTTGAGGTATTATTTATTACTATAGTGGTTTTCCCCCCAAAATTTCTCAGAGGGAAGAGCCAGTGAGTGTAGTGTGAGAAGAGGGGGAGGGAGTCAGTCCATTATTTGAATGGACATTAACTTGGCGACTGTATTTCTCTATTTCTCTTAAGTATTAATTGTGTGCATGTACCATCATAAAATTAAGATGTTATTTTTACTAGAACATAGGTATTGTGTCGGAAAAAGTGGAGTTTGGGGATCGGGCAGTTTCTATTGGAATTAATCCCATATGTTCTGTTGTTCACTTAGCGCGGTTTTCACTTAACACGGTACCCTGTGGGTTTTATTGACCGCGTTAAGCGGGGTACTACTGTATATATATATATATATATATATATATATATATATATATATATATATATATATATATATATATATATATATATATATATATATATATATATATATATATATATATATTCCTCGACTTACGACTGGGTTAGGGACCCAAATCCAGGTCGTAAGCCAAAAATGTGAAAATGATATATAAAAAATCTAAAATAGGTGTCTCTCTTCTCAGCACCACAAAACTCACTTTTAAGCTTGCCAGTCATTTAAAAGGGAATTACAAGCGAAAATTTTGTCAGTACACAGAGCAATCACTAACGTTGGGACTCAAATGCGTTATTTGAAAATTTTGGTACTACTGGGGCAGTCGTATGTCCGGGTGGTCGTAAGTTGAGGAGTGGTTGTATATATATATGTAAAGTGTTATCAGCGTGTTATCTACACTAATTGGGTCACATCTTGTTAAACACACTTCTCACCAGGAGGAACTGAATCATTAGGTAAAGCTCTATACTGTACTGTATGTGGATGATGAACTAATGAGAAATGAGACCATCACTTTAGTAAATTAACAGTCTTGTTGGTGTTGACTGTTCCCCATTAATTTTTTGTCAACTTAGTTTTTCAAAACTCATTCAATATAGTTTTTTATATTTCAGAAACAACAATGTGTATTAATGAGGTAAACAGCTTCATTATGGGTGTTGAGTTCCATAGCAAAACATTATTATCTTTTACAGTAATAAGAATGAGTGAATAATGGTAACTGGAGACTCGTGTGTGTTGGTTGGTTCTTTGTTCTGGCCGCTCTGCATTTTAGAGACAAGGATTGAAAGTAGATAAAGTATACCGGTAGTGTGTATTCTTCCTCACACAGGCACTGAAGAGGGCTAAAGCTGTCCGAACCTCCCCTGGTAGTGAAGGTCATAACTCGCCTGTTAAGCTCAACAGTTCTCAACCAAACAGAGTTCATAAATCTCGCACATATAATAAGTAAGGGTTGAGTAATGGATTGAATACTGTGTTTTATTATTTGAGTCATCATACATGTCATTGTCCAGCTTCTTTTATTGCATGAGCACTTGTCAAGATGATATTGATTAACTCAATAGAAATAATGTACCATTCAGCTTATTTGTAAATTTTTTCTATTATTTATTATATGGTGCATTTCCCTCCATTTTTCCAGACCATCTGTGCCCAAAGTCCATGGAATGAAAGGTTTATCCCCCGAAGACAAAAAAGACTTGGATAGCATTGCAATATTCAAAAACAAATTATCAGAAAATAAGAAAAAATCTGGCCAGAATTGTTGCACGGTACCAAAAGAGTTTCAGTTTGCCACTACCACCCGCATAAAGAGTCCTGCTACACAAAATGAAGAGACTCGAGCGGTTGATTTTGCAAGATCTCTACGATCAAGCACAGCAACAGCTGTAAGTACATAGCTGCTTTGTAGGGGAGGCAAGTTTCTGGTAACTGCATTATCTAAATACAGTGTGCCCTCCATAGGTTAGGCTAAATGAATTCAACCTTGATTATTCATATGACCTATCCATTTAATTCTCGATCTTACTCTTTATCTCCATCTATGCTATCATGAATCTCCCTTGTCATTCTCCCCTCCCTTGCTTCAAATGCATAAAAAAATTTTTTTCCATTTTTGGCTCCAATACATAAATTAGGTTTCAGTGTAACCCTACAGGGCTGGCTGGACCAGTTATCCCTTTGGTATAGGACAAATATGTTTTTGCATATGCACTTTAACATAAGCCTTGTACAGTATAAATACATATTCATTTATGTTATGCTTATCCTTTATTATTCAGCACGACAAAGAAGCACCAAAGGGGCCAACAATTCCTCAACCGTTCAACCTGACACTCCCTCGAACGGTGAAGGCGGAGAACCACAATACATTTTTTTCTCTTGCTGAGCTGAACCTCAAGTTCTTCACCAAGACTCCACAAAGGTTCAGGAGTAAAAGAGCAGGAAGTACAGGTAATAATTGTGTACTGTATGTGTTTTTATTTTTAAGGTTTTCTGAACTTCATTAGATTTCCTACAATTGAGGCACCCTGCGATCGTATGGGTTCTTCGCGACAAAATTTGAAACCGAGAAAACCGTGTTTAAAGTTTTTCCAACCTCAAACCTGCATAACGTTGTTTTTTTTGTTTTTTTAATACAGCATTCATTTTTCATGCATTTTGAAGCTAAAGGACTGTACTTGCAGATGTTGGGTAGTGCATCATGAATTAATGTACTGGGTTGTTGCAATGTTGACTTGAAGCAACAAAATTCCCACTTGCTTATGGCTTTTTTTTACTTTAATCGATATCAGGGTGTGGTTCCCGCCCACTGGAGGGGCCGTGACGTAGATAGCAGGCACTCACTGTCATTGGCCGAAACAGAGGAGGAGGCTGTAGGCTGGCTGCTGTGATTGGCCGCCCGCTCCTCTCACTCACTCACTGACTGGACGAGAGCACCTTACAATGTGAAAGCCAAGCCTATAGTTTCCTGTCTGCCACAAATCAATGTTTTACCCTATTTTCAAAGGGCTTTCAACCTTATTTACTGTGTAGTGAGAAGATCTTATCAACTAAAATCACATAGAGCTAGGCCAAAAATAGTGCTTTCCAACAAAAAACGGGTTTCGCCCGGATGGTCTGAATGCACCTTACGATGTGGGACGCCTCATTACAATCAAAATCCCCAATTCACCTCCAACCCACAGAGCAATATTTCTGGTGTTGTTGGTAAGCTCCATAAATTGTGCCTTTATAATGTCCTCCCTCCTATGTGAGCATTAACGGCACTAAGTCCCATTGGAGCAACGTCACAAGTGGAGTTCCCCAAGGCTCAGTACTTGGACCATTATTATTTATTATATACATAAACGACATAGATATCGGCATAGACAGCAACATAAGTAAATTTGCTGATGACACTAAAATAGGACGCGTTATTAAATCTGACGAGGACTCCGCAAAACTACAGGAAGATCTAAACAAATTTTTCGAATGGTCTGAAAAATGGCAGATGAAATTCAATGTGGACAAATGTAAAGTACTCAGTATAGGAGATGTAAACAGGGAACCCAGATACCAGATGAACAACGATGCCATAGAGAAATCCGACTGCGAGAGAGATTTAGGAGTAATGATAAGTAGGAACCTTAAGCCAAGTAAACAATGTGCTTTTGCTCGTAACAAGGCTAATAAAGTACTTGGGTTCATACAAAGGAGTGTTAGTTACAAGACTAGCGAGGTCATCCTAAAACTGTATCTTGCGCTTGTGAGACCACACCTGGATTACGCAGTTCAGTTCTGGTCACCGTATTACAGGATGGATATAGAATCATTGGAAAGAATTCAGAGGAGAATGACAAGACTAATCCCGGGCATTAGAAACCTTGAGTATAGAGACAGGTTAAAGCATCTTAATTTGCACTCCCTCGAGAGACGTAGAGCGAGGGGCGACCTGATAGAGGTGTATAAGTGGAAGTCAGGGCTAAACAAAGGGGACATTACAAAGGTACTCAAACTATCCAACCAGGAGCGAACTCGTAACAATGGTTTTAAATTAGACAAATTTAGATTTAGGCGTGAAATAGGTAAACACTGGTTTGGAAACATGAATGGAACAAGTTACCAAATATCGTCATTAACTCGAATACGCTGAATAGCTTCAAACATAGGTTGGATGCTTATATGAGCAATTGGGGTTGGGTGTAAACGGGACTGCCCAGTATGGGCCAATAGGCCCGCTGCAGTTTCCTCCATTGTTATGTTCTTATGTTCTCTAGTTTTTATACAGTCACCCTCGCTTTACGCGGTCCTACATTCCGCGTTTCCACGTTTACGCGGTACCCTGCCGAAACAGGATTGCTCACATTCCGCGGTGCGTGTACCCCTTTACGCGGAGAGGCTGGCGAGCCGCGCCATTTTTGGATTCAAACCTTCCGCCATGTTGTGTAAGCTGTGCGAGCATGGTGCGCACAAGGTCGCCCAGTCATCAAAACATTACCGAGTTCTTCACCCGCCACCCACCACAGCCGGCCGAAGTCAGTGATAGTGATAATTATAGTGAAGATATGGACTTATATGGACTTTGAGGGGTTTGACAAAGAGGCCCTGCAAGCCTCTATGGTGGATAGTGATACAAGTGATACAGGTGAGGGCCAATAATCTGCCCTCTGCCTCAGAACCAACCGCCCATCCCCGTGTGCCCAGCCATCTTTTCTACTAATGTAAGTGTTAGAAAACCTAATATTATTGATATTTCTCTTAATTATTAATTGTTTGTGCATACCATCATAAAGTTAAGATAATATTTTTACTACAACATAGTTGTGTGTCGTCAAAAAGTGGAGTTTGGGGGTCGGCCTGGTCTCTATTTCAATTAATCCCATATGTTGTTCACATTACGCGTTTCTCACTTTCCGCGGTACCCTGTGGGTTGAATTAACCGCGTAAAGTGAGGGTTCACTGTAGTTGGATTATCATAAAGACCCATTTGTGGAACATGTCATGGAAGAAAATTTATTATTATTATTTTTTTCCCTTTTGCTTTGCCTAAAAATTGAAACACGTTCTTACTCAACAATTCACTCCTATCAGGAACTATCATACATTCAAATAAGTTCATTTATTTTATGGATAGGTTTGTCAATGAATTGATGTGTGGAACCCATCCAAAATGAGATCAGTATTTATAGCCAGGAAAGCTTGTGTGATTTCTGTTTATCATAATTTGGTTTTACTACAGATTAACTGGGCTCATAAGTCTACTTTTATTTCTATGGTCAGTGCACCAGTGAAATCCAGTACAGTACAGTATAAGCCCACTCATGAAATTTATCCTTAATTCCTTATAGTTCTTGTTTATCGAATTTCCTGCTCTCAAATCCCTGCACCCATCTACAGTTTAAAACTAATGTACTTGAATGTACAGTAGGGCATTCACTCTTCTCATACACGTCCATATTATGCAATTTCATCTTTATTGTTTACAACATATTAAGGAAGCCTCTCTTGAATACATTGTACTGTGTACAGTATCACTGTTTACTTATACGGTACTGTATGATTATATTTCATATGGGAGTGTGTGTGTTTGTGATCGCTATCTGTGCGAGAACTCTAAGGTAGCTCAAGAGGCCACTGGGGATAATCTGCAAAGGTTGCATGTGTGTTTTTTTTGGGGGGGGGGGTGGGGAATATAATAATAAATAATAATTATAATAATGTATTATTATTATTATTATTATTACAACAATTAATAAAATTAATAGCAAATTTATAAAAATAAAATACAGTAGTAAAAATAATAACCATAAATAAATACAAAATCGAAAAAAATAAATTGAGAGAAATTATATACATTATATATGTTGTGTTGTCCAAGTAAGAGAAACAATTGAGACCCTGCAATTGTGTGTAAATGAGGCAGAAAGTCAGATCAGCAACCTGGGACTTGGTCACAATTTTTGTGATGCCATATGGCAGCAGCAGGGTCTACCATTAGACAACACATTATGCTTCCAATATCTTCCCAGGTGGTAGTACCTCCCTGTTTGGTAGCTGCCTATTTAACTTCTACCTGTAGGTAGATGTGCTGAATTTATAAAGTGAGAGGCATAGCAGTAGTGTCTTTCTGATGCTACATGTGTAGTTGATCAACCTCAGGTTTTTACATCCTCTCATGCTGTACTTCTCCAGTGGAGGTGATGTTCTCGGGTAGAACTATCAGTTTAGCTGTTTTATCAGTTTAGCTGTTTTATAGGTTACCTTTGAGTGTATTCTTGTACCCCTTCCATTGCCTGTCAGCATTAACCTTATGGTAGTTATACCATTAAATTTAGCCAGATATGTTTCAATTTTAGCTAAGTATCAATGATATTCAGCTGGTGAAAGGTAACACTTGGAGAGTTTTTATTTATTTAATTTTACAGTTTTGTGTGTGTAATAGATTTTCTTTATTCTTTTCACCTGTTCTGTTCCTTTAGAGGACTTGAACTTGGAAGGAAAAAAGACAAGAGGAAATTCAGGAGTTACCATCCCTCGCACCCCAAAGCTCAGCGCCTGTGGCCGCACGCGACAGATGAATTACCTAACTCATGAAGAGATGGAGCAAAAGGCATTTGAAGAAGCTCAAAAGTATTAATTAATTCTCTCACTGTCTCTCTCTTATAATATATATATATATTATCTATGAGTACAGACTGTACTCACCCCTGAAGATGTGAATTACACGAAAGCACTTGGGAACTTCGTGTTTTCTTCTTTACTTGTGGTTATCAGCATATACCTAGATCACGCGCACCTACAGTGATTTACTTGCATATATATATATATATATATATATATATATATATATATATATATATATATATATATATATATATATATATATATATATATATATATATATATATATCTATCTATCTTTCATAGATATGTTCAAAATTATATTTTTGGTTCACTAAATATGAATTGGGTAATTTGGGAAATTAAAGATATTAATACCATAAGAAAGCCATAAGAAATGAACCAATTGATGTTTGGCACCTAAATTATGTACACAGTTGTCATTGTCATAGATGAATACTTGAGGGAAATTTCATAATAATTGGAGAGGCAGACCAAGGACCCTGGGGCAAATTGGCATTGAATGACTCCTATGTCTATACAACAGGGGATTTGGGACTTATGATCTTCAGTCAACATTTGTGTTTATTCTTTCAAATAAATTTATATTTGTGAGTTTTAATGATTAATCTCAGTCATACTGTATTTGAAAAATTCAGTTGGTTTACTTTCCATTTTTCCTGCACACACCCTTTCTCCCTTAGCTACATGACCTGCAGAGGATGTAGGCACCTCTTACTGTAAAAAATCCTTAACATGCTACAAGGCAAACTTCGTTATTGTTCTCCCTCAAACCTTCCCTGCTGCTTATCAAGACTGAAGAATGGAAGGGAGTTATTATTATTATATGTTTACTGTAATTTTTTTTTTTTTTTTTTTTCTCCAGGCATTCATTCAAGGCCCTACCAGTTAATAAAAAGGTGTTTGAGGCTCCTTCCTCCAGTTATCAAGTGGAAAAGAAACTTTCAACTGTTCCAGAACCTTTCGACATAACAGATTCTAAGAAAGTAAGTTTGTTACCTGTGTCAATAGTGGCTGATCTCCCTTTCCTTGGAACTTACAGGCAATGACCATTACTGTATATAATGGATTATTATGCGCTCGATCAGTTTTACGATGTAAAAAAATAAATGCCATTTACCACTGTGATGGCTAAAGATCAATTTTACAATAGTCTCTAACCCGTATGTTTTTCCTGCATTGTCACTGCTATGAAAGTGATGTGTAATAACTGGAAATATTCGGAGATATCGTGACACAATATCGGAAAGGCCATAACACATGTGACCCACGCTGAAGGTTCAGCCCGTCCCCGGTAATTGCCAGGCTAAGCTGTAAAATAACAAAAACATACAGTATAGTCTCGATTTATGCGGATTTGGTTTACGCGGCACCTTGCCAGACCGACAATTTTTATTTACACGGTTCATTCCATTATTTACGCGGGCAGGGTGTGCACAAGGTCGCCCATTCATCAAAACATTACCGAGTTCTTCACCCACCACAGCCGGCCCAAGTCAGCGATAGTGAGGATATGGACTTTGAGGGGTTTGACAAAGAGGCCCTGCAAGCCTCTGTGGAGGATAGTGATACAAGTGATACAGGTGAGGACCAATAATCTGCCCTCTGCCTCGGAACCAACCACCCATCCCCGTGTGCCCAGCCATCTTTTCTACTAATGTAAGTGTTAAAAAACCTAATATTATTGATATTTCTCTTAAATATTAATTGTGTGTGCATACCATCATTAAATTAAGATGTTATTTTTACTACAATGTACGTATTGTGTCGGGAAAAGTGTAGTTTGGGGGTCGGCCCAGTCTCTATTTCAATTACAGTCGGCCTTTAACATACGCGGGGGTTACGTAACAGAGATAGCCGTGGATGTTAAAAATCCACGTATATGTGCCCCCCCCCCCAAAAAAAAAGAAAACCCTGGCCCCCATGTCCTTATTTACCGTATATACCTGTGTATAGTTCGAGTTTTTAAGACCAAATTATTTGGCAAAAAATTGGGGGTCGACCTCTAAACGGGTAGTAGTTTCGTTAGGTTGAAAAATATTTACCAGTAACTACCAGTAAACAATGGAAACGATGCACCAACGCAACACCAGCTGTGAGTGTCAGTACAGTTGCCAGGGCAGATCTCTTGCGTCATCATAGCAAGCCCAAAGTAGCCAAATCCATGGTATGGTATACACAGGACGATGTAAAACGTAAAGTATTCATTTATTAAAGTTCATTTATAGTTACATAAATTTTTGTTCGTTACATTTGAAACATCAATCTTTGTTAATTAAATTTGAAACAAAAGAAAACTACGATACCGTATTTTCATTAAAATATTACATCACAAGTATATTTTACCTTAACTGTGACTGAATGAATATAGGTATTCTCAGAAATAAATATGGAAATAAAATATTTTTGCTGGAATGACGTACATATTACAGTGGAAAGTGGGATAAAATCATGACGAAAACAATGACTCGCTTTCTTTCGTTATTCAAAAGATTTTACCGTAATCGCTTTTCGAATGGTTTTCAATTAAAAAACTGTTGTACTCGTACTGTATTACAATAATATTCTATCCTATCATTAGCCTTATAATCCCACAACTGAAAACCATTCGAAAAGCGATTACGGTAACATCTTTTGAACGAAAGAAAGGGAAAGTCATTGCTTTCGTCACAATTTTATCCCACTTTCCACTGTAATACGTACGTCATTTCAGCAAAAATATTACATTTCCATGTTCTCAGAAATAAATGGTAGTTTTGTTGAAACGTAATGTACAGTATTTAATATTAAAATGCAAAAATAGCTATAAAAACAATTAATACACCCGTAATGTACTGGCTGGCATCTCCACTCGTCCCTGTTCCCGCGTCCAAGGTCACCACTCCTCCCAACTCGCTCCCTCCTCTGCCTCCTCCACCTCCTCACCGTCACTACTGCCGACAACAAACACAAATGTTTTGTGAATAACTGCACCTCCACTTCCTATGTACAGTACTGAACTGTACTGTGCTTTGCATTTTTACAAACAATAAACATGACAAGAAAAGCTATTAAAAAAAAAGAGATAAAAATTTCACTTTACTGTACCGTACCTATCCTCGGCGACAGGACGGGGGTCATCGGGCTCATCGTCATTGAATTCCATAACGGGTGGTGAAGTGGGGGCGACGGTGGATTCAGCTGCTTCCTCACTGCCGCCAGTGATTGATGGTGTTAAATCTCTCCTTCGGTGATCAAAGAACATGGTGATGGGGAGTTGTCGTCTCTTTCTTTTATTTCTTCCATGATGTTTTTGTATGGAGCAAAAACGTCATCCATCCCTCGCATGCACCATGGAGGGGTCCATACTATAGGCCAGGTTTTTCAATGCCTCAATATTCCTGGTCATCTCCCCCAACTTCTCCAACATTATTTCTTGGTGCTCTTCCTCTTCCTCTTTCGATTCCTCTTCCTCTTCCTTGCCTGAGTCTACTAACTCCTGTAGATCCTCCTCGGTCAGCTCAGTGTTGTGCTCTTCAATTAGCTCCCTAATCTCGTCCTCTGCCATGTCCTGGAAGCCTTCAGCAGCCACTTTCCTTGACAGTGCCAGGGTCTTATTGAATATTTTCATTAAAATCCATCAAAATCATTTTCCTTGTCATCGTCTTAAGCACCAAACAGCTCCTCCCAGTCTTCTCCTTGAACAGGGCTAGAGGGTACGTGTTTTTCGAATCGTTTTCAATTAAAAAAATGTTACAGCACATGTATATTTTACCTAAACTGTGCCTGAATGAATATATTCTCAGAAATAAATAGTAGTTTTGCTGAAACGTGATGTATTTCAATGTAAAATAGGATAAAATACATGACGAAAACAAAAGACTTTACCTAACCTTCCAATGTTCAAGAGATGTTACTCATTTTTTAATAGTTTTCAGTTAAAATACTGTTATATTACAATGATATTCTATTCATACTGTGCTTGATATACTGTACTACATTCATGGAAATGTAATATTTTTGCTGAAATGACGTACGTATTACAGTGGAAAGTGGGATAAGATCGTGACGAAAACAATGACTTTCGCTTTCTTTCGTTCAAAAGATGTTACCGTAATCGCTTTTCGAATGGTTTTCAGTTAAAAAAACTGTTGCATCACAAGTGAATATAGGATAGAATATTATTGTAATACAACAGTTTTTTAACTGAAAACCATTCGAAAAGCGATTACGGTAACATCTTTTGAACGAAAGAAAGCGAGTCATTGCTTTCGTCACTTTCCACTGTAATACGTACGTCATTTCAGCAAAATATTACATTCCATATTCTCAGAAATTTATAGTAGTTTTGCTGAAACGTAATGCATTTTATTGTAAATTAGGATAAACTACATGAAAACAAAAGACTTTACCTAACCTTCCGATGTTCAAGATATGTTACTCGTTTTTTTAGTAGTTTTCGGTTAAAATACTCTTATATTAGTGATATTCTATTCATACTGTGCTTGATATAATACATTCACGGAAATGTAATATTTTTGCAACTACAATGCTGATGTCAACACAAGCATGGTTACAGCGAGACTGACTGAGTGAGGGAGAGCTATGCGTGTGTGAGGTTGCAGGAGCGGGCGGTGTCCCGTGTTCGGTGCTGCACGCGAGTTGAATGGCGCGCGATTTGAATGTACTTCATTTACTTCAATGTACAGAATATTCCTCCGGCGGGGCAATCCGCGTATTTGCAAATCCGTGTATTATAAACCCGCGTATGTTAAGGGCCGACTGTAATCCCATATGTTTTGTTATTTCGTTTACGCGGACCTCCACAGGTTCAATTGACTGCGTAAATGAAGACTAAACTGTACAGAATCTATCCGAAAATGCGAGTAGACAAATAACAACAGTTGAGGTACTGACACTGGATCCCTCTCCTGCTCCCTCCTTCCCTTCCCATGATTCACAGCTAAAATTTGTATTCCTTTCTTGTTTCTGACCGATAATCATTTTTTATTTTTTTTGCACATTCTGTTTGAACAATCGTGCGTGCATGTAACATTAAATTAAAGTAAATAAAATGTGTATACCCATTCAAAATTATGAGCTGAAAGGTAACAATAACACAGCTTTGCCTGGTAGGAGGAGAGGTAGGGCGATGTAGCTATGGTGACATCTAACTTGGCGAACTACCAAGTCAACACACACACACGTTCATGTAAGGTAAATTAAATTACAGAATTTTGTTTTAAATCAAATTCTTTTGTCTATTTATAAATTATTTGAGTTATTTAAACATTATTTAATCAATATAGCAACAGGATATAAAACTTGTTTGGGCTCTTTAGGGGTTCAGGAACAGAACACATTTTTCCCCATAAGTTATTAATGTCAATTTATGATTGATCACTTAGCGAAGGTTTTTTGATGTCCCTAACCCCACTGTACAACGGTCATTTGGCTGTAGTCACCTAACCTATATTCTGTTAAATAGAGAACTGGTGTAGTTCATGCAGTGTTTGTCACTGGTACAGTATAGTATACTTTGGTGTGCTTTGAGAATCTAAGATAAATTTCTTAAATGCCAGTACAGTACTGTACAGTATTGAATTGTGGAATTTTTTTATAGATTATTTGCACTGGGTAAATGTTTGGCAAGTAGTACAATATATGAGTCATAGTGTTAAAGGAAGGATTGCACTGTAGATTTTGAATGAGTTTGTTAATTTGTTGATATTGCTGTAGGAAAGAATGGTGTAGGTTTGCAAGATTCATTTCACTGGGGAGGATATGTTCTGAAATACATTATTTGGAGTCACTGGAAGCAGGAGGTTGATAAGTTGTGCATGTGTTTGCTGATATACATTATGCGTTGGGAGTTGTAGGCAAGATGTTGTGTGATGGTGTAATTGTTGTGTCTAGGGGGGGGTTGTTAAGGGTCATACAAAATGGACATATTTTCTGGAGTTAAGACCGCTGCTCTTGTTACATGAGGAACACATTAGTTAACAGATTCAGGTTTAGTTTGTTATTGCAATATCCATGATGTAGTATGGTAGTCATTGTCATTATGTTAACATTTGTATTTTAATTTTTTCGGTCATTTCCAAACTTATCCCCGACCCAACTTATTTTTCACATGGAGTTTGGTTATATTTGCTGCCCACAAATGGTGTCCTTTTCTCTGCATGACAACAAATGTTGCTCATTGGCCAGTGTTTATTTTAAATGCACATCTCTCCATAAAGAGAGGAAATTCCAGTTAATTTTATGGTCCCAGAGTAAAATGCCAGTCAGGTTCTCCTGACACCTATTGAATATTTGGTTCAATAGCTCAGATTGATGTCTGAGTATGTATTTCTGCATCTCTGAGGGTGTATTATGTGCCGTTTTCAATACTATTATTGGACAAAGGAAAAATGTAGATTACAGGGTGAACATAAAGTCTTTCCCTGATTATGAAAAATCATATCTCGAAGACCATTCTACTGTAGATAGAAACATGAATGTTGTAGCGTTGTGTAGACGAATTCATAATTTTTTTTCATGCATATTTTAAGCTGCAAAAAACTGTTTTTACCTCGCATATGTTTTGTGTAATAAATGTTTGTAATCAGGAAAGACTTTATGCTCACCCTGTATATTATATACTGTACTGTACATTAAGATATAATTACTGTCGTAGTTTATATTTGAGTCGTCTTGATTGCTACTCAGAAATGTTTAATATTTTTATATCTTAATTTTCAGCCACAGCCGCCAATTGGTTTTAAATACCAAGAAATGCGTGATACATTAGGAGGCTCTGCTTCATCATTGGCATCCATTCCTCATGGTGGTATTCCATGCCTGTGGAACAAAACATCCACCAAGGTTCAACCATTTAGTTTCGACACCCAAGACAGAACTAGACAGCAACGCAAGCAGCAGAAGATACAGAAGGTAACAATTAAGTTGAAGGTTTCTTTTATGATAGACGGGTAACCATGAAAGAAGGTACAATGAAAGACAAAGGTCGTGTCGTGAAATTTGGTGAAAACATATGCCCTAGGGCTAAACTCTTGGTGTGCTCTGCCTTGTGGTAGGGGGCTCTCATAATGTTTCACGGGTTATATTTAATCTTCGGACAAAACCGCAACACGACTTTTGTCTTTGATTGTACATGAATGTAACATTATTTATTTATTTATTTATTCTTTCTTTCTTTCTTTCTTAGAGAGAACAAGGAAAGCTTATTTAAAGAACCTCAGGTGCTCCTATATTAAGAAGAACATGTAACTAAATTAGATATTACAGGTAGTTCTGCTATAACGCGATAATTGTGTTCTTGTAAAATATCGTGTTATAGAAAATCGCGTAATAGAAATAACAGGGCTTATGGAGAAAATAGGGTGAGGTGCAGATTACTCGAAATCGAAAAAATTTAGTAGTTAGCCTAACACAAAGGATAGCACAGTCTAAATAAATGTTACATTCATATCTAATAATGAAATCATACAGTAAATGTAATACTTTACCTTGACAAAATATGAATGTAACTTGATGGGGGAGAAGGGTGATTTTGAGGTTGATAACATCGAGCTTCTCTTCAAGTGTTATATCCTTTCTTTTACGATCATCACCGGGAATTCTATCACCAGAACGCTTCTTGGAGATATTCTTCTTTACCATATTCACAGTTAATACCACAAAATTGGAGAAATAGTAAGCAAAAATCGCGCTATAGCAAACAAGCGTTCGCGTTATACAAATATCGTTCCTAATTCATAAATCGCGTTAGAGCAAATTCGCGTTATCAAAACACGCGTTATAGCAGAACTCACTGTACCTTGTTCCACTAAACTTTTACCCCATTCCACTCTGCCAAACCTTTTCTCATTTTTTGGGGCAAGGTGGCTGGAACAAAGAGTAAACACTCGTGCTATTATCTCTATTATCTACCACTCCTGCTACTGAAGTATCCCCATAATCCACCCAATGCCATGCTCTGCTGTCAAGTGTGCATGCACACACCCATACCACTTTCAGGATGTTCATATCCCTCATGTTGTGTGTCCTTCAGCCCATCTGTTCCATATCCTCAGTGTTCACCTCTACCTTGTACCTGGTACACTAAAATTTCACTTCTCACTTCTTCAGTGTCAATACCAACTTTACCAAACCTCAATCAGCTCCTGGTTTCTGTATTTCTTCTCCTCTGCTTCCTGTTTATCATAAATGTTGCTCTCCAGCACACACTTAAGACATTATTTCCCCTTTACTACTGTGACTAATTTTTCACATATTGTTTTGGTCACTGATGTATCCATTTACAGGCAGCTGACTAAAGTACTGTACTCTATTTCCTCCATTCAAACTAACAATCGTTTCTTTTAATAATAATAATAAACGGTTTATTGAAAAAGTTTGCAGCCCGAAGGCTGAAAATATACATTGGACACAAATGACTTATTACATACATTGGTGGTTTAACAAAAGCCTTCATTAGAGAAAGGTGAAGGAACATACAGTGAACATACAGATTAATGTTTACACACGTAGATCATGTAAGCTGAGGTGTTGAACAGCAGACACGTTGTGTAGTAACTCCCTCACAGATGGTGTTATGAGGGGCATCACGTGGAGTACTAGTTCCCTCACAGGTGGTGTTATGAGGGGCTTGACGTGGTGTAGTAATTCCCTCACAGGTGGTGTTACGAGGTGCCTGATGATGTAGTAGTTACCTCACAGATGGCGTATGAGGGGCCTGATGATGTAGTAATTCCTTCACAGATGGTGTTATGAGGGGCCTGATGTGGTGTAGTAATTCCCTCACAGATGGTGTTTGAGGGGCCTGATGTGGTGTAGTAATTCCCTCACAGATGGTGTTATGAGGGGCATCACATGGTTCCCTTTCTCTACTCACATTCACTTTTCACTGTTTAAATCCACTCTTAACTTTCTCTTGGTACAAACATTGCACGAGTACATTAGGTAACATTTGGAACATATCTTCTGAGTTTCTCACTAAAGCAATATCATTTGCAAACAGTCTCTTACTTCCCCCCCCCCTTTTTTTTAAGACTTAATTCCCTCTCCATTACTCTTTCTTTTTTCTCTTTTAGTACTCCATCCTTAAAAATACACAATACACGATTGTGCTTGTAAAATAAAATTAAAATTTTCAGAACAGTCCCTCCCCTGATGATTCAACACAAATATGGGTTATGTGTAAAGTTTTCATAATCTACAAGGATTTTATACACTTTGCCTCAGTTGAGGAGGACCTGGTGCACCAGTTGCCCCTTGTGAGTGCAGCAGTTCTTATTAAAGCGATGTCTGCCTAAACAGTATTTAAAATAATTTAAATACATGGCCACGATGAAGCTAAAAGTCATGGTTGTTTTGAGGCGACGAAAGACAGAAAGGGAAAATAAATTATGTTGACATGTAACTTCAATAATTTCCCCCAACAATAAATAAACATTATCAGACATGATTAATCAACAAATAGTAACAATAATAATAGAGATGAATATGATAAAAAAGACAATAATGGCCATCACACTTCAAGATGAGTAAATAATCCACCACAACATGTGTGAGGAGAGAAGATAAGATGCTGTGCCCTGCTTGGCTGATATTTTATGATTGATGTGCACTCACTGGCATCTGCTCCCTGACTCAACCACAGGATAGGGGAAGGGTAGGGGAATATAATGGTAAAAATAACTTGATTCTGGCCCCATTGGCACTTGACAGGTTGTGGTCTAGATTGCCTTGCACATGGTTGTTGTTGGCATATACTGTGACCTGTGGTGTAATGGTCAGCATTCTCGCCTCGCAAGCGAGGGGACCCGAGTTCAATCCTCGGGCAGAGTGAAACTATGGGCAAGTTTCTTTATGCCATTTGCCTCTGTCTATGTAGCAGTAATTGGGGACCTGGATGTTAATAGATTTGTGGATCGTATTCCGTTATAATGGTTAGCCAGTACAGTTGGCAAGTTGTTCGGTCTTCTCGGGCTATTCTGTGACACTGGGTCATACAACTCATTAACTTGGGGTGTGGTAGTTGTGTTGGTGACAGCTTCTACACCTTAAACAAATTCACGCCTAGGTGGCCCTTGGGCCAGCCACCCTCATTGCACGGGGGGGGCAACCATTATACTGTACTCTGATGGTTCATCAGTCTTGCCTGTTGGTCCATCTTAAAATAACACTAAATTCTATTGGTATATATTTTTATTTGGTGATGATACAGTACTTAATTTTTCTGATGTTTATTTCAGCACTGAATACAAGTTTTTTGGATAAATATTAATTGGAAATTTTTTTCCCCTAAGGTTCTGGAAGATGAAAAGAACTTGGTTAACTTCCATGCTCAGCCAATGCCTATTTTTGAAAATGGTGTATGTGGAGTGCCTCCCAAGAAACCTCCAACTCCTACCAGAGTTAAACCCTTCAATTTGAACATTGACCAGCGTGGCACCAACAAGCAAGAACAGTATCAAAGACACTTAGAGGAACAAGCCCATTTAGATAAGGAACAGCGAAAGTTTCTGGCACGTCCTGATGCAGTTTTACATAAGAAGCCATTTATTCCTGAAAAGTCGAAGAAACCTCTCACTGATATATCGACATTTACTCTCAACACTGAAGTGAGAGCTGTTGATCGAAATGAATATGAATTACAACGTAAGAGAAGAGAAGATGAAATTCAGGCCGCTAAGAGAGAGGTGAGTTATATCTTCGGTTCTCTCTACTTTTTACAACTACTGTACAGATAATCCTCTGCTTATCAACTTTGAGAAATACGAACAATCTATAGTCTGTTCACGCAAGGCTTGCAACTGAGACCTATGGGCAGTTTGTTACAAGGCAGCTGATTGGTTGTACTGTACAATTGAAGATGAATGTATGTTCCCGTTATTGGGGTGAAGAAAGCAAACCGTTAAAGCTACTGTACTGATTGGCTCATTATCCACTTGGGCGGTTGGTCACATTTCTGTTACCTTATACACTGTTGGAAAGTACCGGATATGTACTGGCTCTGTTACACACTGTTGGCACGTACTGGCTACATAATGCATCTCTGCCTTCGCCAGTGTTGCTCAAATCTGGTCTTGAATGAGCTTACCCTCTGTGGCATCACTATGCAGTTACTCTACTATCATTTTAATATCCTAATTTTGTGTAATTGGAACATGGAGACATTAGAATGGGTTGTTGACTTTCCATATACCTGTACAGTGATCCCTTGGTTAACGAACGCCTCGGTTAATGAAATTTCGGTTAACGAATTACCTTCCATAAGAATCTTCAATTCGGTGAACGAAATTTTTACGAAATCATGTCAACATGTTTTCGCTTGCTCACCAGCTGCAATATTAGTCCACCAATACAGTAATCGGTTCTAGGGCTTAAATTCTTACCCATTTGAGTAAATATCAAGAATGTTGTACTATTCAATAATTTTCAAAGTTTTACATTAAATTTTGTAGTCATTTTAACACTTATTAACATAATTGGAGTACAGGAATCTAGTTTTTGGTGCACCAATCAGCCACTTGACTCACCCAGCATGGCATCAGTTTGTGTGTCTGCTCAGTGGAGGTAACATCTTGCTTGAGACACTCTTGAACAAAACTCTTTTTACATTTTTACAGTACAATTATTGGTTGTTCTGAAATTTATTTTACATATTGACAATATATAGTGCAGTGCACTGTTGATTTAAAGAAAATAATCTTGAATTAGACCTAGTGAACTTAAAATTTTATGGGTGAAATGACGGCATGAAGCATGGGGTGATTTCTCTTCCACCCCCACTTCCTTCTCTTCTCCCTTCTCCTCTACCCCCACTTCTAATTCCCATCATCATCATCATCAACCAGGAGCCTTCTGCATACACACCTCAAAGTAAGTAAACTTTACTACATTTATTTTTACTTTGTATGTAATTTTCGGTGAGCTGTAACCAATTACCCAAAATCCCATCGAAACAATGGTTTCGGTTAACGAACGACCTTCTGGAACAAATTGTGTTCGTTAACCGAGGGACCACTGTAATACATTATACAGTGGGGTATGCTATAACGAATCTAATTGGTTCTAGAACCTTGTTCGTTATAGCATTCGTTCGTTATAGGATTAATCCGTTCCAGGCCACCAAATACAACCACTTAACTGAAAAATATAATATAAAATTGTAAAAATTGTAAAAAAGTGCATAAATATGCATCTAAACCCCTGAAATAACCAATATCATTAATACTTGTAATAAAAAAACAATAAATTAGTAAAAAAAAAAAAAAAAAATTTTTTTTAAATAATGTTTGTTGTAGGAGTTTCGTTCGTTATAGCATTCTAAATTTTATAGGTAAAACCGTTCGTTATAGGAATATTCGTAGTAGGATCCGTTCGTTATAGCATACCCCACTGTATAACATATCAAGCCACGAAGAAAGCTTTTCTAATACAGATATATGGGAAAAGAATCATGAAGTGAGATTGTGTTGGGCAACAATGGTATGCATTCTGTTGAGAGTAATATACACTAGTTGTATGGTAACATAACCCCTACACCCCGGGCTAGGGTGCCGCTGGCTGTACCCCCCACGTGGAGTAAAGCAAGAAAAGTCAACTAATCCAAAAATAATTTATTACCATTTTAAATGATAAAACAATAAAAAAGAAGCAAGAAAAACTATTTATTGACCCTCTAGAAACTTTCCTGGGGCCGCAGTGGAGGGAGATAAGAGGGCAGTGTTGTTTTGACGGTGAGCGCTCGTGGTCACTACGCACTTCGTGGCCATTTTCTCTTGCCTTTGTGTCTGGGATGGCCAGTAATGCATATATTTACTGATCATAATACTTATTTCCTATACATATTTCAATTAGAATTTATTTCATTTGCATTAATTTTCATGAAAAGTGCTTGGCGGCACACACGCAGTCTGTCGCCAGGCTGTCTTTATGTTTGGTAGATCAAGTAATACATATAAATTCTTATTGGAATAATAATTCCACAAATAAATAAATTTATAACATAATCATAGCATTATTTTCCAGTAATACTACACTACTTTAGCGATATTACTTTGATACAACATGATAAAATGGACAAACAATAGAAATGAAAAAAACAAAAGTAGGTACTTACATTCAGGAAGCTTCCCTATGGCCAAGCGTGTGGTGTGACGGGCAAATAGTCATGCTGGAACGTAGTAACCCGTGCTGGGCATTCTAACAATGCCGCGAAAAGGCGCGTATTCTGAAACGTCAATCGGGGCACCCAAGATGGACGTACCGGTGCGTAGGGGTTAATCTCCTTATATATTAAGAGCGTCAATGTGTATTTACCTAACACATCACCTTTGAGAACCTATCCCCTGCGCTGGAGGGGGTTTATTGTATTTTATTTACCTGATGAGCTATTTTTTACTGTCATTTACTGTATGTTGTCATTCTGTTTTGCCTTTTCTCTTAAATTAGGTAATTTTAGATGTATATCAGGACATAGGCTATGATGAAGTAGCACTTTAAGCATTGTTCTGTAAGTATGGTATGCACATAGGGTATGTGGTTCAACTTAAGAACATCCTTAGGAACGGAACTCATACGTAACCCCGGAGACTGCCGGTACATACTATACGTATCTCTTGTGTTATGAAAAATTTGAATGTGAATATGATGTTGATCCCCTCCAATTTCAGGTGTGGCTTGTACAATTGAAGGCCATATATATATATATATATATATATATATATATATATATATATATATATATATATATATATATATATATATATATATATATATATATATATATTATATATATATATATATATATATATATATATATATATATATATATATATATTAATTAATTAATTAATTAATTTTTATTTTACAGCAAGAGGAGATGCAGGCAGAAGAACAAGAAATGTTAATAAAAAGATTGCGTCAGGAGTCTGTCCACAAGGCTAATCCTGTCCCGAAATTTAAACCCATGGTTATTGAGCATGGACAGCATCCACCTACTGTCCCTGTATCTCCCAAATTTGCAACAGAGTTACGACTGCGATCACGGACAAGGTCAGAGGCAAACTCGACTATGGACATTTCGTCAGCTACATTTGCAGCACAGTAAAACTGGAGCTGAGGAGAACTAAAAATATTGCCTCCATCACAAATGTGAAAGATTTTATTATTTAGAACATTTTCATGACACGGGAAACCACCATTTTTAAGTGGACACCTCAGCAACCAAAATGGATCATACTATGTTTTTACCCCTTCAGGCATTGTGGAATTTATTTATTTGGATTAGGCAGTTTGAGTTTTAAGTCGACCCTTTTCATGGGATCTATTATAAGTACAGTAGGATTAATTTTTCTCCCTGTAATATTCATTTTCCTCTATCAACAGGATGCTGTATCTAATAATCTTGCCATTCTCTGTTTTATAGTAATTTGATTAAAGCACACAAATCAGATGAGATTAAAAAATTATATTAATAAATAAATACCTTGAAAAGTTTTGTCACATTTACAGTATATGCCCTTTTTTTAAACCTCAAGTTTGGATGGTCATAATTCGGGATGAATGAGGCATTTAATAATCTAGCAGATATTTGAAGCCTTTTGGTTTAATGATTATATATTCCATTTGTGTCATTTATGAATATTAATGTTTAATTTCATAACTGATTTATTGTGGTTTACTTCAAAACTTATTGGCTTTTTTGCATTACTGGTGGATCAGTTGTCACTGTCTTGGAGTTTAGCATTGAACAGAACTTAAGTATCATACCCATTATGTTAGTTGTGTGACAAGTTAATGGGCTTGACAATTGAACCAGTCGTTTGTTCATTAATTTTTAATAAATTTATATATAACATCTTTTATCTTTGTTTTTAAATAAAATGTGGGGCCTAATTTTTTGGTGTATATTTTTACTCCTCCAAAAATTTTTGCAGTAAAATATTGTGTAAATTTTTTTGCGATGTCTAAAAATGATGCTACAGTACTTGTTATAGTAAGTTGTAATGCAATAGCAGCACCAATCAAGTGAAAGCTTAGTTTTTAAATACTAGATCTTCTTTCTCTGTCCTTTAGTATAACATTCAGTTGTCTCACGCATGCTTGAGTCAAGTTCAAAAGTTTTATGTTATTACCTGTGTGCGGTACTGTACAGTATACACTATTATTATCTAGTAAGCCAGGAGCTGTACAGTATTACAAGGTTTTTGTTTAATAAATAGTAATGCTACTGTTGAGTTTTTTTTATTCCTTTTTTTTAGTCATACATTAAAACCTTAAGTTAATGGATTAATAAGAGTTAAGGGGCGTCCGTTGGTGCCAAAAGTCTGTTAAATTGAAGTGATATTTTATACAACCTATAACGAGTGGTCAAATATTCATAATTTACAGCCGAGCTGTGATTGCCATAGCGTTTGAATCTCTGGATCAGTGCACTTGGTGAGCAAGTTTCCGCTCCTGCCTAGAGAAAGCGCTTATCAGTAATAGGAGGAGGGTTTCCATTTGACATGTATTTAGTTGTAAAATTGCTATTGGTGTATGCATAAATTAAAACCGTACAGAAATATTGAAAGGGTGACTTTGGCTGTGGTTATGAACACCCCCCCCCCCCTTATTTTACTATGGAAACTACTATTCATTTATGGTAGTTTCACTTTTGACAACCTTTCCTAGGATTGCAACCACTGGCACAAATGTGGCAACTTGCTCGGCAATCAAGAAATTGCACAATTTTGACTGAATCCCCCAAGAGAATCTTCAAACAGACAACATGAGGTGTCACGGAAAATATTCAAGATAACAGGTAGTGTATAAACAAGTCACTGAACTTCATTCTATTTCTTTCATTTGCAAGGGGTTTCTTTATTTGGGGTTTTGATCAAAATAGGTTTTCTATAATACTTTGACATCTTGTGTGAAATAGCTTGACCCTTTAAAGAAAAATTTGCAGTTAACCTTTTGTATAACTTCAAAGATCTTTCAAGGACCATCAATGACATCCTACATACTGCCTAAAACATTTTCAAGTTTCTAATAATAAATAGGTATGTAATTTTAGAAACCCATCTCGAGGAATAAAATCCATATAGATAAGTTTTCTTCCATCCATATACTGCACTGTATCTAATTTGAAGGATCAAGATTTATGCTCCCAGAATGTGTCCTAAATTCATTGCCTTAGTCATCTTAATACATGGTGTTATATTCTTCAATTAACCCTTTGAGCCAGAGGGACATGCTTGGTACATCCTCTTACACCATGCATCATATCAGAGGGACTTGCCTAGTAGCTACATCCTCTGATCTCCATGACAGTAGAAAAGCTAGGAAGGTGAAATTGCTTTGATATGATACAAGTCTTGTTCCTAAAGATGCTCTGATTTACCACTTGGCCTAGTCTAATCCCCTCACTTGTGTTAGGGTGAGTACAGTATTGAGCTTAATGTGTTATCACTGCTGGCTATACGGGCAAACACTACGTAATTAGGGTGAGGCGTGCTGGAGCAGGAATCGATTTCTATGCTATATAGAAATCGATTCCTGTTCCAGCATGCCTCGCCCTATACCTTACTCATTCAAATAATTGTCTTGCTGGTAAATTACACTGCCTTGTGGCAATGGGAGTTCAGCATGCTGGCTCTCAAGTGGTCATTCCCCAAGTCCTTGACCAAACAATGAGATTTCACCCTTAAACCCTGGGTGACATTCTTTATGTCCACCATAGCTACCCTGGGTGACATTCCTCTATGTCCTTAATTTGCTTGGCATAGTTTGAATATCCAGGCGGGATGATGTACTTTTCATAGGAAGTTTATTTACTTGGCAACTCAACTCGCACATAATCATTGTCTCAAGTCTAATGGTCCAGTTACTCACCAGCAATCATGATAGAATGCACGATCTTTGACGTCTCGTGACCCGCTCCGCTTCTCCACACCCTTGACAGTAGTGCTATTCGTCAAGAGTTGTTGATTTGAGTGGCATTGATATAATATTGGGTGACAAAGGCAATGATGGAGAGGAAACAGACCCAGATGATATCAAGTTTGTTGAGGCAGCCAGCGGTGAGGACAGTGATAGACAATGGCGTGGATATAGGGGACCACGTTCATACCAGCCATAACAGTACGCTTGGAGTGACTGCACTAAATTTTCCCCTGAAATACCATATAAATAAGAAAGCTGTTTGATACAATCTTTCACAATGTAATACGTTAATATCGATATTTTTATACATTAATTTTACAAAAATATTATGTTTATGCAAGAATTCCTACACATGAAAGTTATTTATATGAAAACAAAAATACAAAAACTGTACAAGTTCTGTCATTAAACTCAAACCAAAGTTCAGTGCTATGTATTGTATCTTATACTGTATGTATACAATTAAAACAAACTTTGAATACATTATAATATAATTTAAGAGATGGTAGAGAAGTTAGCTTCAGATGAAGCACCATCAGTTTCATAAAAAGGAGAAGGGTGCTCTTTCTCTCCTAATGGTTTTCTCTTCTTTTTATGGTCTAACCATGAATCAGAGTACAGTACTGTACAGTATTAAAAAAATACTACACACTGTTTGAAGAGCTACCTCACAACTGAAGTACAGTAGTTGTCTGCATGCAGAATTAGAGGAACACAAACACCCTAGAACTAAAACTGTTATAAATATGTATGTAATACCACTACAGTACAAGACTGGTATGCTACAAAAAGTGGTCCACGAATAGGAGGGAAAAAAAAAATCAAAGTTGCCTCTACACCATCCCACATTTCTCTATAATTTGTTTACAACATTTTACAGTACAGGGCAGCTAAGTACTGTTCTTTTTTTCCTCTTTATTTTTAAATAGGTAGATCTATACACAGTCTGCAACCCCCCCCACAACAACAACATCAAACATGAGTATGATGTGTGATTACTGCAGGGGGACGTCGGATATGAAGGATACAGGCCTGACCCTTACAGCGTTTAGGATGTTGCAAACTGCTGTAAAGCATAAAGGCTGTTGCTGGTATTGCCCTGACTGTGTAGTCAAGGTGAATGAGGCGATTGCAAGCCATAGGGGAACGAGTTTCCTAGGGACGAAAATAGATGAAGCTGGAGCTTTGCTGGTTGCCAAACTAGAACAAATTGGGAAAGAGATCCTTGCTAAGACTGAGGAAGTAGCCGACAGAATGGAGGTGGTTGTTAAGAGGAGTTTTGCTGACATATTAGCAGGGCCACGGGAGGGGGCGGAGAGAAATGCAGGATCAGAACAGGTTCTACAGCAGCTAGGGACTCTAAAGAAGCGTGTCGAAGAAATGAAAATTAACGGACCTACTGTTAGGGGAGAGAAGGAACAAAGGGAACGTCTCCAGCGCAGGAACAAGGGAATAGATTTGGAGTCCCGGAGAGCCAGGCGAAGGGAACCGAGAGTAAGATAACACACGATAAGATGCAGTTTAAGAATATTTGTACAGAGGTTCTGCAGATGCCATCAACCTCTCAGGATGTGAGGAGGCTTTTTGTAGAAACTCTGAGAGATAATTTTCTGTTCCAACATGTCAGAGACCCGACACATTACAGAGGGAAGCAAACAGCCAAGCCACTAGACCTCATCATAAAAAACGAGGAGGGTATGGTGGCCAAACTGGAACACCTTGCCCCAGTTGGTACCAGTCACCGTATAGTGTTGTCATTCAGATTTAACTGTTACCTAGTTCAAGATAAGGCCAGGCCAAGGTGCAAATATTACAGGGGAAATTACAACGGGATGAGGGAAGAGATGAGGGGTATCCACTGGCCTGAACACTACGCTGAATATCATAACTAGTAAAGTGACCCATTTGATCGATAAATGCATACCCAAGACCAAACCCAGTGCCTCTAGGGATATGAGGGTTGGGTCAAATGATGAGCAGGACAGGAGGATGTATGCAAGAGCCAGAAACCAAGCAAAGATAGAATGTAGAAGGGCTGAAAAGGAGTTGCAAGCGAGGTCAAGTCAAACCCAAAGGCGTTTTGCCGCTATGCAAAGTCGAAATTAAAAATGCGAGTAGGAGTATCAGACCTGAGGCTTGAAGATGGTAGTTACGCAGATTCTGACCAGGATAAAGCTGAGGCATTGAACAGCTTCTTTTCCTCGGTGTTCACAAGAGAGGATGCGATTAACCTTCCTGCGTTTTAGGACAGACGGTTCGACACGGCACTGACCCACATTGCGTTCACAGAAGAGGGTATTAGAAATAAACTTTCAAAGCTAAAGGTCCATAAGAGTCCCGGCCCTGACATGGTGCATCCTAGAGTGCTAAGAGAGTTGAGCAACGAGCTAGCCGAGCCCCTGAAGATCCTGTTTTGTAAATGCCTGGATGAACAAAAGGTCCCCAGTGAATGGAAAGTGGCTTATGTGAGTCCTTTCTTCAAGAAGGGCGATCGTCACTCCACAAACACCTATAGACCGGTGAGCCTGACCAGCATAATATGTAAAGTACTTGAGAGTATTGTAGGGGTGTCGAGATATTAATGTTGTCTAGCACTCAGGATGGAAGGAAACTCTAATGTGGTGTTCTTGTATAATATAAGTTATATGATAGACAGTCTGGTGCTGGAGGTGCCGTGTGGTGAGGGGCCCGCGTGGAGCTTGCTGGAGGAGGTGTTGCTTGTTCAGGAAGATGGGCAGAATGATAGTTGGTTGGTGAGGAAGCTCAGAGAAGGACAGCTGGTGGGTCGCTATGCTCGCTGGCGGGAGCGAGGACCGCCAGGCAGGCGAGGAGAAGCGAAGGCAGCCAGGCAGCGGCGGAGGAGGAAGGTGTTGCTTGTTCAAGAAGAATGGTCAGAATGAATCTCAATGGAGAGACAGAGCTTATATACCCAGCAGCAGCCGCCAGTCCTCTATGAATCATGTTGGGAAAACCCAGAAAGTCGCCGGTGAATAGTTTCGTTGCTAAGCAACCGTACCATCTGGCATCAGCTCTCGCTTGGTTGCTAGGAGACGGCACGTCGGAATGCGTGGAGGTGCCGTGTGGTGGCTGTGGCTACGCAGTTGTAGGCAGTTGTAGGGGAGACGTCCACTACAATACTCCCCCTTCCCTCCAGGCGGTGTAGGAGACTTGTTGTCGGTAGAGTTGCTTAGCACATGTGAGGCAGACCGGGCGGTGCATGCCTCATGTGAGACAACGGCGATGGCGTGATGAGCCGATCGCTGAAATACAACTGTCTAGATACACACTATCTGTGGGAGAAGGGAGAAAAAGGGTGTGTGGAGGCGATGAATGTTGTGCTTCCCTCACGACAGGCACAGGGTAGTCAGATGCGCCTGCTGGGGTGTGTGTGGGCCTGGGTCAGGAGCAGGGGCTGCGTCAGCAGAAGCGGATTAGGGCTCGTGACAGCAGCTGGGTCCACGACAGCAGCAGGGTGCAGGACATTAGCAGGGAGTACCTGAGGGAGAAAAGAGGGGGTGTGGAGGCGATGGATGTTGTGTGCTTCCCTCACGGCAGGTACTGAGTCGTCAGATGCGCCTGCCGGGGTGTGTGGGCCTGGGTCAGCGTATGAGGCAGGACGGGTGTGCTGGGGTCGTAGGATGTGGTGCTTGGGGCAGGAAGAGGAGTCGGTGTCTGCTTGAAGACTGGGAGTGTGATCAGTGTCTCCTCCATCCTGTGTGAGTGCTAATCTCCGGGAGTCACCATTGTAGGAGTGTCGAGATATTAATGTTGTCTAGCACTCAGGATGGAAGGAAACTCTAATGTGGTTTTCTTGTATAATATAATTTATATGATAGACAGTCTGGTGCTGGAGGTGCCGTGTGGTGAGGGGCCAGCGTGGAGCTTGCTGGAGGAGGTGTTGCTTGTTCAGGAAGATGGGCAGAATGATAGTTGGTTGGTGAGGAAGCTCAGAGAAGGACAGCTGGTGGGTCGCCATGCTCGCTGGCGGGAGCGAGGACCGCCAGGCAGGCGAGGAGAAGCGAAGGCAGCCAGGCAGCGGCGGAGGAGGAAGGTGTTGCTTGTTCAAGAAGAATGGTCAGAATGAATCTCAATGGAGAGACAGAGCTTATATACCCAGCAGCAGCCGCCAGTCCTCTATGAATCATGTTGGGAAAACCCAGAAAGTCGCCGGTGAATAGTTTCGTTGCTAAGCAACCGTACCATCTGGCGTCAGCTCTCGCTTGGTTGCTAGGAGACGGCACGTCGGAATGCGTGGAGGTGCCGTGTGGTGGCTGTGGCTACGCAGTTGTAGGCAGTTGTAGGGGAGACGTCCACTACAGTATTATCAGAGATGCCTCGATGGAACATCTACTACGAAACAACCTTGTAAAGGATTACCAACACGGTTTTATGCCGGGCGCTCCTGCTTAACACAATTGCTCAAGGCATTGGATATTTGGACCCATATTCTGGAACGGGGTGGTAATATCGACAATATTTACCTAGATTTTGCCAAGGCTTTCGACAGTGTACCCCACAAAAGGCTGAAAATCAAACTGGAAGGGTACGGAATTCGGGGAAATGTCCTAGCGTGGATAGAAGACTTTCTACATGACCGCAAGCAGTGTGTGGTGATTAATGTCACAAAATCATCATCCGTACCTGTCATAAGCCGAGTACCACAATGCAGTGTATTGGGCCCGCTGTTGTTTGTTTGTTTCATAAATGACATGCCTGACGTTGTACACTCCTTCATACAAATGTTTGCCGATGACGCCGTTATTTCGGGAAATCAAGAACCAAGTGGACTGTGAAGAACTGCAGAAGGACGTATGGCAACTCACTTACTTGACAAGTTTTATCAACAACAAAGACAGTTGAACTTTTTACTTTTACTTTTATCCTCTTTGCCACTCATTGGCTCGCTAGCCGCCCGGGCGATCGGTCACGTCTCTGTCACGCACTGTTGGCAAGTACTGGGCATGCACCGGCTCCTGAATGTACCTGAACCCACTTTCAACATCACTCACAATGGATCTTGAATGTTCCAACTGTAATCAGACATATCTAAGTTGCCGTCACAAATGCAACCACAGTTGCAATTTCAAATGCTGTGTAATTATACTAAGGAATAACGAAGTCTCGGGTGCAATCTAAGGTTGAGAGAAATCGGAGGACTCAGGCGTCCTGAAGCGATGAGAAAACGGACTCCTCAGACGGGGGACTCAAATAAAGAAAGCATAGCTACACGTTTTGTGGGTTATTGAGCGTAATATGAATCGTCTGATTTTACGTTAACTGACGGGTACGACCCAGGTTATTACAGCAGTAGGCGCATACACCTCCCTTAGAACGGAAAGAGGTATAAAGGCTGCAGTTGGAGACTTGAAAAGGTTTGGGTGAAGCTGCTTTGGACAGTTGAAGTTCGGAAAGTAGTAAGGGGTCGGGGGAAGAGGTTAATAGATGGTGCTCCACATGGCAGCAAGAGCAAGGTCTACCATTAGACAATAGATTATGCTTCCAATATCTTCCCAGGCGGTAGTACCTCCCTGTTTGGTAGCTGCCAACTACCTACTACCTTGTGTACGGTAAATACCATACTGTACCGTTAGACCATATTTACGATGACAACAGACAAAGAATTATAGTCACAGTAGTCTAACGAAACTAGATTTACCGCAAGATTGTTAAGAAAGGTTTATTAGTTGTTATACGTTATTTCTGATCGTTTTGTGTTATTTGATGAAATATTTTAGTGATCTTGCTCGTAATATTGTTCCAACATTATAAGTCTAACTCCTATGTTTGGAAATTGAAAATATCACTAACTCGCTCGTCAATAATATTCCATCAAAATTTAATGAATTTAATTTTTAAAGCAGGAAAAATATGAATTTATTTTGTTAAATATAATCTGTAAAATTGCTAATGATAGGTTCTCATTTGATGGTGTGGACCTGTTCTGTGATTGGTGGAATGTTAACCTTCTCAGTCGCTCTGTGTTGTTGGTTGGTTCAAGTGGAGTTGGTCTGTAACCTGTTGATTGTTGGCGGAATATCTCCAGTTTCTCTTTTATTTACTGTCAGGGACTAGCAGAGTATAAAGAAGACAGGAGTTAAATAAGTGAGTAGTAGATGAGATATTGTTGTAAGATGGTGAACTGTGCCTGCTGCTGGGCTGACCGCCTCTGGCTAATATTAAAATATTAAATGTACTTCATGTTTGTTGTATAAGGTTTCATATTATGGTAGCCAGTAAGGGTATGGTTAGTGTAGGGGAGGGTGACGGTGTGTGGTTAGTGTAGGGGAGGGTGACTGTGTGTGGTTAGTGTTGGGGAGGGTGACGGTGTGTGGTTAGTGTAGGGGAGGGTGACGGTGTGTGGTTAGTGTAAGGGAGGGTGACGGTGTGGTTAGGTGTAGGGGAGGGTGTGGTGTGTGGTTAGTGGGGATGGTGACTGTGTGTGGTTAGGTGTTGGGGAGGGTGACGGTGGTGTGTGTGTGACGGTGTTAGTGTAGGGGAGGGTGACGTGTGTGTGGTTAGTGTAGGGGAGGGTGACGGTGTGTGGTTAGTGTAGGGAAGGGTGATGTGTGTGGTTAGTGTAGGGGAGGGTGACGGTGTGTGGTTAGTGTAGGGAGGGTGACGGTGTGTGGTTAGTGTAGGGGAGGGTGACTGTGTGTGGTTAGTGTTGGGGAGGGTGATGTGGGTTGTGTTGGGGAGGGGTGACGGTGTGTGGTTGGTGTGTGGGGAGGGGGTGACGTGTGTGGTTAGTGTAGGGAGGGTGACGGATGTGTGTGGTTAGTGTAGGGGAGGTGATGGTGTGTGGGTGTAGTGTGTGGTGGGGAGGTGATGGTGTGGTTAGTGTGGGGGTGTGTGTGTGACGGTGTGGTGTGGTGTAGGGGAGGTGTGTGGTGTGTAGGGGAGGGTGACGGTGTGTGTTAGTGTGGAGGGTGATGGTGTGGTTAGTAGGGAGGGGTGAGGGGAGGTGATGGGTGTGTGGTTAGTGTAGGGGAGGGTGATGGTGTGTGGTTAGTGTAGGGAGGGTGACGGTGTGTGGTTAGTGTAGGGGAGGGTGATGGTGTGTGGTTAGTGTAGGGGAGGGGTGATGGTGTATGGTTAGTGTAGGGGAGGGTGACAGTGTGTGGTTAGTGTAGGGGAGGTGATGGTGTGTGGTTAGTGTAGGGAGGGGTGAGGGTGGTGTGTGGTGTGTGGTTAGTGGGGAGGGTGTGTGTGGTTAGTGTAGGGGAGGTGATGTGTGTGGTGTAGGGGAGGGTGATGTGGTGTGGTTAGTGTAGGGTGATGGTGTGGTTAGTGTGGGAGGGTGATGGTGTGGTTAGTGTAGGGGAGGTGATGGTGTGTGTTGGGTGTAGGGGAGGGTGACAGGTGTGGTTAGTGTAGGGAGGGTGATGGTGTGTGGTTAGTGTAGGGGAGGGTGATGGTGTGTGGTTAGTGTAGGGGAGGGTGATTGTGTGTGGTTGGTGTAGGGGAGGGGTGACGTGTGTGGTTAGGTGTAGGGGAGGGTGACGGTGTGTGGTTAGTGTAGGGGAGGTGATGGTGTGTGGTTAGTGTAGTAGGGGAGGGGGGTGATGGTGTATGGTTAGTGTAGGGGAGGGTGACAGTGTGTGGTTAGGTGTAGGGGAGGGTGACAGTGTGGTTAGTGTAGGGAGGGTGACGGTGTGTGGTTAGTGTAGGGGAGGGTGACGTGTGTGGTTGGTGTAGGGGAGGGTGATGGTGTGGTTAGTGTAGGGGAGGGTGGATTGCATGTGGTTAGTGTTAGGGGAGGGTGAGTGTGTGGTTAGTGTAGGGAGGTGACGGTGTGTGGTTAGTGTAGGGTGATGGTGTGTGGTTAGGAGGGGATGGGGGAGGGTGTGTGTGGGTGTGAGTGTAGGGAGGGTGACGGTGTGTGGTTAGTGGGGAGGGTGACAGTGTGGTTAGGTAGGGGGATTGTGTGTGGTTAGTGTAGGGAGGGTGATGGTGTGTGGTTAGTAGTAGGGAGGGTGACGGTGTGTGGTTAGTGTAGGGGAGGGGTGACGGTGTGGTTAGTGTAGGGGAGGGTGACGGTGTGTGGTTGGAGGTGTAGGGGGGGTGTGGGGTAGGGGAGGGGGGTGTGTGGTTGGAGGTGTGGTGGGAGGGGAGGGTGACGGTGTGTGGTTAGTGTAGGGGAGGGTGACGGTGTGTGGTGTGTGGAGTGGGAGGGTGACGGTGTGTGGTTAGTAGGGGAGGGTGACGGTGTGTGGTTAGTGGGGAGGGTGACGGTGTGTGGTTAGTGTGTGTGGGTGAGGGTGATGGTGTGTGGTTAGTGTAGGGGAGGGTGACGATGTGTGGTTAGTGTAGGGGAGGGTGAAGGGTGTGGTTAGTGTTGGGGAGGGTGACGGTGTGTGGCTAGTAGGGGAGGGTGACTAGTGTAGGGGAGGGTGACGGTGTGGGGAGGGTGACGTGTGTGGTTAAGGGGAGGTGACGTGTGTGGTTAGTGTGTAGTGGTTAGTGTAGGGAGGGTGACGGTGTGTGGTTAGTAGGGGAGGGCACGTGTGGGGTTAGGTGTAGGGGAGGGTGTGGTGTGTGTGGTTAGTAGGGGAGGGTGACGGTGTGTGGTTAGTGTAGGGGAGGGTGACTGTGTTGTGTAGGGAAGTGGGGGGAGGGTGTGTGTGGTTGTAGGGGAGGGACGGTGTGTGTGTGTGGTTAGTGTTGGGAGGGTGACGGTGTGGTTAGTGTAGGAGGGTGACGACGTGTGTGGTTAGTGTTGGGGAGGGTGACGTGTGGTTAGTGTAGGGGAGGGGTGATTAGGGGAGGGTGGTGTGTGGTTAGTGTAGGGAGGTGACGTGTGTGGTTAGTGTAGGGAGGGTGACGTGTGTGTGGGGAGGTGACGATGTGTGGTTAGTGTAGGGAGGGTGAAGGTGTGTGGTTAGTGTTGGGGAGGGTGACGGTGTGTGGTTAGTGTAGGGGAGGGTGACGGTGTGTGGTTAGTGTAGGGGAGGGTGACGGTGTGTGGTTAGTGTAGGGGAGGGTGACGGTGTGTGGTTAGTGTAGGGGGAGGTGACGGTGTGTGGTTAGTGTAGGGGGAGGGTGGTGTACACGTCTGGATGTGGATACGTGTCCCAGTGGATTTGGTGAGTGTAGTAGGAGGGTAAGTTTGTACAGTGACTTATCTTGATGGAGTGTAGGTAGTGTATTTAAAGCCATTTATAACCTACGTATTTGGTATTCATTTGAGCTCTGGTTTCTGAAGTGATGACAATTTCAACCCTGTTTATCCAAATTACTTTAATTTAGTCTGAAGCTTAGCCATCTTCCCAACTTACTAATAATTTTAAATGTCACTCTTTACTGCCAACAATATTAGCGATTCTGTCATATTTACCAACAATTTTAGTTGTTAATTTGGTTGCTAAATTGTTATTATATAGGTTACCTATATTGCTGGTTTGTTTTGTAGTGGTGCAGCCAGTAACAGAGATGGCAGTAGTACGTGTGTATCGTGGATGGGGGAATACACAGTCTCAAGCAGCAGCTAAGAAAGTCCATCTTCAGCGCCTTCAACGGTCTTGTCCCATGGTAGAGTCTCTAGAACACGAGGTCTGCTACTACATCCTCACTGATCAAGAGTATGTATAAGCTACATGTGTGTAGTGGCATGTTTCATTGTAGTACAATATTAGTAAGGCACAGGATACAGGTATGGCAGCTGTATGTGAAATGCCTGTCTACTGGTATGGCAGCCTAATATGCATGTGTGGTGAGCAGACCATGTAATGATTAAGAAAATGGCTCTTTTTGACCATTAATACAGTCCATCAATAGTACTGTTGTCATACCTATATCCAGTGTGATTTTTGGCATATGGCTGCCATACTTGTATCCAATCATTAATATTAAGCTGTTTTGCATGTACAGTATCTCAAAAAAAGTATCAGCCAGGATGGGTTGATGACTTTCGAAATGCTACATGCAACTTGTGATGTCCCGGGAGGGTTGGTATGTGTGGTATACTAGTTCTACTACATTTGGTAACCGAACATCATCTTAATTATGTTGAAGTAAATGCACATTGCATTACGTATGTTAAACTATACAATATACCAAAGTAAAATTCTGTTTACTCCTTCTTTATCTGCACTGGCAGCCTCACCATGCCTAACAACACTAAAAATGTCGCTTCTTTTCTTAAATTTTTCGAACCAGCCCTTGCTGGCCCTAAGCTCTTCAAACTCTGTGCCAGAAGAACCAGGTTGCTCTTCCTTCTAATGTTTGTAAATTTCCCTGGCTCTTTCACAAATATATTCAGTAGAAGCTGAATCTCCTTTCATTTGTTTTTCCCTAATCCAAATAAGAAGTAACCTCTCTGTTTCTGCTTTTAATGATCTATCTTTAAACACTCTGGTAGATTTGTCTCTCACTTTCACTTCTTTGAACTTGTCTTTTTGTGCAAGAATTGTCGACACAGTTGATGCCGACATGCCATATTCTTTACTAAGCACATTTGTTCTAATGCCTTCATGTTTCTTAATGATTTCCTGTTTCACTTGAATTGAAATCTCCTTTCTCGATTTCTTTGGTGCCATGCTGGATTCAATACAGTAATTTCACCACTAAAATTTTAAGTTCACTAGTTGTAATTAAAGATTATTTTCTTTATATCAACACTGCACTATATATTATCATTATGTGAAATAAATTTCAGAATGACCAATAATTGTACTGTAAAAACATAAAAATAGTTTATGTTCAAGAGAGTCTCAAGCAAGATGTTACCTCTACTGACCTGACACAAACTGATGCCTGTTTGGTGAGTTGAGTGGCTGTTTGGCGTGCTAAAAACTAGTTTCCTGTACAGTACTTCAATTATGTTAAATAATTGTTAAAATTACTAAAAAAAATGTAATATAAAACTTGGAAAATTATTGAATAGTACAACCTTCTTGATATTTACTCAAATGGGAACGAATTTAAGCCATAGAACCGATTACTGTATTGGCGGATTAATATTCCAGCTGGTGGGCAAGCGAAAACATGTTGAGAGGAATTCGGTAAGACTTTTTTTCGTTAACCAAATTGAATATTCTTATGGAAGGTAATTCGTTAACTGAATTTCATTATCCGAGGGACCACTGTGTGTGTGTGTGTGTGTGTGTGTGTGTGTGTGTATATTTATTTATTTATTTATTTATTTTACAAATGTAAGCATCCGCTTTTGTGAACACCAATGAAAAGAAATTGTTCAACGCCTCCGCCTTATCCTGGTCATAATGTGCATCGCTGCCATCTTCAAACCTCAGGTCCTATATGTCTACTCACATTTTTAATTTTGACTTTGCATAGTGGTAAAAAGCCTTTGGGTTTCACTTGACCTCACTTGCAATCTGCCTCTGGAACTCTTTTTCAGCCATTCTGCACTCTGACTTTGCTTGATTCCTGGATCTGGCATTCATCCTCCTTTCTTGCTCTTCATTTGTTGTAACCCACGTTGTGACGGCACTGAGTGTGAGCTCTTTCAAGACTAGACTTGACCAACATAGGTGAGGTACAGATACATTCAGGAGCAAGTACAGTACTTGCCAACAGTGCTCAACAGACGTGACTGACTGCCCAAGCAGCTAACGAGCCGATCATTAGTGAGGAACATTAAAAAATAAATTACTACGTACTTGCGGCTCAATAGAAGCTGCTGAGATGTAAACCAACTCATTTAATTTACTTGAATTTTTAGCTACTTAAAAGACTACATCTATTGTATTTTGTTATTTAATGTACAGTATACATTTTTATATTCAAGAGGTAAAGCCAGTACAATACAGTAAATCCTAGCTAAATGTCGTGGTTACGTTCTTCAAAAACACAGCATTAATGGAAACAATGCTAACAATCAATTTTCCTCATAAGAAATAGATAAATACGCTAGTTACGTTCCCCAGCCTCCCTTTGCCCCATAAAATACATTACGGTACATCTACATAAATTACCGTATATACTCGTGTGTAGTTTGAGTTTTTAAGACCAAATTTTTAGGCAAAAAATTGGGGGTCGACCTCTACATGGGTAATAGTTTGGTTAGGTTGAATCCGTGCATGATGGGAAGGGCTAGGAGCAACTTTTAGCTTTAGACATGAAAGTATTTACCATTTACTGCCAGTAAACAATGGAAACGTAAAATATGTACCAATTAGTAATGAAAAGCTGTGCATTGCCTTCAGCAGATGAAGCGCACCAACTTACAATAGACTAAATTACCTTACAACGTGCTTTCAGTATATGTTGAAGTTATTAGCACAGGCTAACTTATCATATACGGTATCACAGTACTCATTGATCTACAAAAAATACCGGTAATAAAAACTTTTCGATATTTCACACTTAATATAATACCCGGTAATCCACCTCAACCTCATATTGTTTTCAACGATGCACGACGCACCACCAGCTGTTGAGTATCAGCTGGATGGTACACGTGTTTTTCGAATCGTTTTCAGTTAAAAACGGTTACATCACACGTATATTTTACCTTAACCGTGCCTGAATGAATATATTCTCGGAAATAAATAGTAGTTTTGCTGAAACGTGATGTATTTCAATGTAAAATACACTTGTAGGATAAAATACATGACGAAAACAAAAGACTTTACCTAACCTTCCGATGTTCAAGAGATGTTACGGTATTCGTTTTTTTAATAGTTTTCGGTTAAAATACTATTATATTACAATTATATTCTATTCATACTGTGCTCTATATTATAAAATTTCCTTAATATATATATATATATATATATATATATATATATATATATATATATATATATATATATATATATATATATATATATATATATATATATATATATATATATATATATATATATATATATAATGATGGTTGTGGAAATGTATGCATAATGGTTGTTTTTCATTGTGTAAATTTTACAAACTTCTCTATGGGAGTTTCACTACACTTTATATTTTTTGAAACAGGAAAGTGGGAGCAGAGGGAGACAAAAGATACTGTATATTGTCTCACAATCTATAGAAATGGGTGTACATTTTTCCCCTTATCTCCTCCACTTCAGTCTTCTTTGCTCTTGGGTGTGTAGTAACAAAACTACTAGTGGTATTATCTGCCCTCATACTCCACTGGGCTAATAGCACCATAGAACACTGATAAGATTGTGGTATTTCCATGTTCTGCAGAATTGGAAATCTATTGCAGTACTGTACTAATGGTTAATGATCAGTATTACAGGGCTATTAGCAAAATGTAGAAAGATTTCCTAATACAGTAGTACAATTTTCTTCAGGAATAAAGGACCCTGTGGCAGTGATGTAGCAGAAGTGCTCGGTGGTGAAGTAGCTTGTCAACTCTGGGGACTTTTGGGCGATCCTTGGGTGGATGGACTTGACCTACACACCAACACTCAGCTACAAGTTAACACAGAGACTACCCAGACCATTATTGAAATTGGTCCCAGGTAAATTATGAAGGTGATTCTTAATATTGCAAGTGAATTCACAAATTTTATATAGGTATCTAGGATCAGAGCCATAGTACCCAGAAAATCTTTGAAACCACTGAGGTGCATATGACTGTTATGGAGAACTTATTTTATTTTGAAGCTTCATGTCTCCCATTACCAGATGTTGGGCTTAGTGTACTTTGTGAGGTAAGCTGGTAGGTCTTGAAGCTTCATGTCTCCCATTACCAGATGTTGGGCTTAGTGTACTTTGTGAGGTAAGCTGGTAGGTCAATATAGAACCAAACGGGAAGTTGTGAAAGTAATGGAACAGGAAAACACAGATTGAATTTATAAGGTATAGGCTTCCACAGATGGAATAGCTTTGATAAAGTTCTGGATCTTGTTTATTATGGCTTAAACTACAGGGTGAGGTTAGTCATTAAAATAATCATAGATGTTTGAGTAACCAGATATTTGCCGTCATCTCCAGATGTGCTTTGGGGCTACAGTACTTGGGTGGTGGGTATGAAATAAAAGATATAATGTTAATACTGTAGTTAAATTATTATGTGCTGTGATGGTGTGTGAATATATTGTGCTGTGTATCTGTGGTCCGTAATATCTGGCACCTTTAGCGATCCATGGACCAAGTAGTTAGTTGGGTTTAGTTTTATAATAAATTTCTCCTGACCTGACATGGTCAAAATAAAATACCAGATAGATCTCCTGTCAGTCCCAAAGGCAATTGGGACACTTAAAGTGGAAGAATCAAGATTAGTTTGCTCATGCTGAAAACTGATTATTTACCAACACACTATAAAGGAGGCAAGTTGAATTAGATTCTCATAACCTCAGCCATTATTTGTAGTATTGTCAGTTTTACTTTGGTCCTTCAAATTATATATTTTTTGTATTAATGAATTAATTTTCATATATACATTTACTTTTATTATGAGGCCTTTTGCAAGTGACCAAGAAATTTTTACATTCATTGCTACTCTCCTTCAGACTGTTAAAGATGTCTCTGACTGATATTATGGCCATAGGCAGTAGCAGTGAGAGAAATAAAACCAAATCTTTTTTCTTGAATATTCTAGACTGAACTTCACGACAGCATGGAGCACCAATGCAGTCAGTATATGTCATGCCATGGGCCTTACTTGTGTAACCAGACTTGAGCGAGCACACCGCTATCTGGTTACCACCAAGGAAACACTTGACACTGGAAAGAGGGAGGAGGTTAGTTATAAGATTTTTACATAGAGTAATGAGATGGAAGAGTGTGAATCATGTGTTTTGTAGCTTTAAAATGGGTACTTATGCTTCATAGGATTTAAAGTCGTATTGATTGCCTTTAACAAATTGCTGCGAGTGGAACTCGTTAAGGCTGTTTTTGTGTATGATTCAATGGCCGAGATTTTTTTTATCCATTGTCCACACCAATACATGTAATGAGACTACAGACTTCACTGTATTAACAAGAAATTTTACAGGAAACTGAACACTGGCTCAATCATGTGCCAGGCAAGATTGGTAAGGCATTATATAATATGGTGTGCATTGAGCTGACCAATCACCTCGCCTATAACCCAGGCAAAAAAGTTGTTCCTTTAGTCCAAAACACAATCGCTTCAGTCTGAACCAACAGGAGGTAAATCTCCTTATTCAATAGCAAAGTATTGACAACAGCCACTACAACCCAAGTTTAAGCCAATTTTTCATATACAGTGGTCCCTCGGTTAACGAACTCAATTCGTTCCAGAGGGTCGTTCGTTAACCAAAAATTTCGTTAACCGAAGCCATTGTTTCAATGAGATATTGGGTAATTGGTTCCAGCTCACAGAAAAGTAAGAAAAGTATATACAAAGTAAAGCCAAAAACGCATAAAGTCAGAAACCCCTAAAATTCCCCTTAAATCACTATATATATATATATATATATATATATATATATATATATATATATATATATATATATATATATATATATATATATATATATATATATATATATATATATATATAAATCAGATAATATCAGAACTGCATCTGAAAGCAGTGCCTTGTTTGTTCATGTTAGGAATAATAATCACCCCATTGCTTGGGAAAAAAGCTTAGAAGTATTCAAATCATCTTGTGTCACAGAAAGACTTCTTGTTGAAGCTAGTTTGATTAAGGAATTAAAATCAATAAACCTTAGTGATGGTCAGTTCAAAACTGATAATATGTTACATAAATTTATTTGTCAGTGGCCCAAGGTTAAAAATGCTTTGAAAACCTTTGATCTAGATGTATGATAGTTATTTTGTGGGTCCCCTTTTTTCTGACCTGACTTGTCTAGTCACGTCACCTCCCTTCTCTTAAGCTCCTCTACGTGTGTGTTGGTGTGGGGATTAGTGGATGTCATTATTTTGACCTGACCTCATGTTTTTAGGTCACCCTGTATATTTAAGCCTCTCTCTGTCCATGTAATCCAGTTGCCTCTGAAGATGTCTTGAATAAAGACGAAAGCTAAGGTACTCCGTTGTTTCCATCTTCCCGTGTGATTTTATCAAGATATATATATATATATATATATATATATATATATAATGTGTGTGTGTGCAAGTAAATCACTGTAGGTGCACGTGATCTAGGTATATGCTGATAACCACAAGGAAAAAAGAAAACACGAAGTTCCCAAGCGCTTTCGTGTAATTCACATCTTCAGGGGTGAGTACAGACAAAAGAGAAATACAATCCAAGGTGTATATATACAGAGGAGGGTGAGACCAGGTCCACAATGGTCAGGTATTAGGTAATGACCCTACTAATCTTTAAATAGCACACAATGGTTGGTGGTCAGGTCAGATGGTCAGGTGACCCGACCTTCTCACCTGATTACAAATCTTCTTAATTACAAAATTGTCCAGCTTGTACATGCTGTTACTCAAATTCGTGTTGAATGCTTCGGTATGTTTAATAAGACTAGATTCTATGATGTTCCTACTATCAATTGAATTATATGGTAATATTGAGGAGGCATTATCCCAGTCAATGCAATGCTTGTTATCCCTCAAATGAACAAACAGAGCATTGGATTCCTGGCCTGTCCTAACACTGTATTTGTGTTGTTTAATTCTAGTTGCAAGATCTTTACCTGTCTGGCCTAAGTAAAACATATTACATTCCTTGCAAGGAACTTTATAAATGCAACCAATTGTGTTGTTGGGGGAGTTCTTGATTAACATTTGTTTAACAGTGCATGAGTTTTTAAATGCCACATTGACGTTCCAGGTTTTTAGTTGTGAAGGAATGTGTGAGAAATTTTTGTGAAATGGTAATATTAAGATATTCTTATGGTCATGGGTGGGCTTGGGATCAGTTCTATAAAAAGTTTTCTTAGTAATGTTTAGGCATTTGTCTATGAAAGATCTAGGGTATTTAAGGTTTGAGCCAATATTATATATATATTTGTATTCCTCATCAATGAATTCCGGACTGCAAATTCTCAAGGCACGTAAAAACATTGTTGAAAATACTGACTGTTTGACTTTATTATGGTGGGCAGAATAATAATGAATGTATGAACACACATTACAGTAGTTGGTTTTCTATAAATACTGAACTTAAAAGTGTTACCTATTCTGTGTATCAGACAGTCTAGGAATGGCAATTTACAGTCTTGCTCTAATTCCACAGTGAATTTGATCGAGGGGGCTAAGTTGTTAAATTGTGGCAGGAAAGCTTTTAGGTCCTCATTACATGGCCAGAGACATAATACATCATCAACATATCTAAACCAGACTGCTGAAGGTGGTAAAATATTACTTAATAGTTTCTTTTCAAAGAATTCCATATATAGGTTGCTTAATACAGGTGAGAGTGGATTACCCATTGCCATACCAAATTTTTGAGCATAATATTCTCCATTGAATTCGAATTTGCAATCCTTAATACATTGTTTGATGAGTTCGATGAAGTCGTCTTTCGAGACGGGCAGTGAAATATCATCCAGGGAATCTGAGGAACTCTAGTAAATCATCAACTGGGACCTTTGTAAAGAGTGATGTTACATCAAAACTGACCAGTTTAAAATCATAATTAATGTGTAAGTTATTGAGTTTATCAACCAAATCCATATTATTCTTGATATTGGAGTTAGAAATGTTGCCAACTTGGGGATTTAGTAAAGAAACTAACCATTTAGATAGTTTATAAGGGATTGACCTAACTGAGCTAATGATGGGTCTTGCTGGGTTATTAGGCTTGTGGGTCTTGATTACACCGTACATGTATGGCAGTGGAGGGGACGTTGAAGTAAGATGTTTAATGAGAGTAGCTTTACCTCTCAATAGGGACTTCAGTTTTTTTTTGACCTGGTCTCACCCTCCTCTGTATATATACACCTTGGTTTGTATTTCTCTTTAGTCTGTACTCACCCCTGAAGATGTGAATTACACGAAAGCGCTTGGGAACTTCGTATTTTCTTCTTTCCTTGTGGTTATCAGCATATATATATGTGTGTGTGTAAATAATAATAATAATAATAATAATAATAATAATAATTAGGTAACGGTTTATTGAAAGAGCTTGACAGCCAGAAGGCTGAAAATATACAGTTACATATTTGGGGAATGGGTTTCGAATTACAAATAATATACTAGTAACATAAGTGACACAAATAAGACATATAATAACTAGATGGGGAAAAGCTCAAACTACAGTTCATTTCAACATAGTGACAGTGCAAGGAGTAGTGTTTACTGGGAGTGAATACACTGGTTTATTACAAGTTATTGATAATTTTTACAATGGTTGGGACTGGGCTGTTCTTATAGCAATCAGTTCGTGCACGTATGGGCTGACTGCTGTGGTGTCAGTCAGCAATTCTCGACTAGGGATCTCAGGTAGTAGAGCCGTGTCGCAGGATGGTGTAGAAGCTTCTACCAAATTTGCAGACAGGTCGTAGATGGTCAGTGAGAGTCGAAAGGGTCAGTGTGTTGAGCGCTTCTTGATATGTGGAGTAGGAAGGAGAGAGAATAATCTTGCATGCCCTCTTTTGCACTTTTTCTAGGTGTTTACGTTGTGTGGCATTTAGGGAGGAAGACCAGGTGAGGGAGGCATAGGTGAGCTTGGGAAGTATGAATGTTGTGTAAACACTGAGGAGCTCGTGTGCAGGAACTCCGAGGGACTTGAGTCGGCGTAGGAGGTGGAGACGAAAACTGGAGGATTTGATAACTTCACTGGGACGGTGGCTTCCAATTTAGTTTGTTGGTCTATGGTGACGTACGAGGAGCTTCGTGAATCTACAACCTGGAGTGTGTTCGCACCCAGAGCACGGGATAGACAATGTCGGAGGAGAGGTTGATGCATAATCATGGTCTGCATATTGATGGTGACATGGTTGTTGGTGGCCCAGTTTTGGGAGATCAATTCAATAAATCCTGAAGGGCGTGTATAGTTGTATATAATTGTTGACGCTGATCCCAATGGTGGAGTCGCTTACATATTTGAAGTAGCAGGGTTTCTCTTAGGCATCATTGGCTATATAAGTAAGCAGAGGTCCCATCTGTGCCTTTGGGGGACACTAACAGGTGAGTGACTGAAAGGTGGAGACGGAAGCCGCATAGCCAGGCCGGGTCACGAGGAAGTCTGTGTTATGGTATGAGACTTCTCCGAAGCCCGAGGTCAATAGCTTTGTTTATGATTATATTGTGGTCGACTAGGTCGAACGCTTTAGTGAAATCAATGAAGGCGACAGCTACAGACGTTTTTCGTTTCTCGAGATGGCGGTATATGTAATCGAGAAAGCTGACAAGACAGTGAGTGGTGGAGGAAGTTTTCATGTTGCCAAATTGTTGAGGGTCTACGACTCCTGCAATATCAGCATAAGCCCAGTCAAACACAAAACTTTCACAGATTAGGCTGGGTATTGGGGTGATTGCAATAGGTCGTAGCTGATTTAAGGATTGTGGGCTGGTTGACTTGGGCACTGGTGATACATAAGAGGTCTTCCAGTCAGCTGGGCATCTGGCTTGACTGAGAGAAGCATTGATGATGGAGCATAGGGGTTTAGCAAGCTCCGGGGAGAACTCCTTGAAGAGTTTCATTGGTAAGTCAATGGGGGTGGTAGAGCGTTTTAATTTTAGTTTGTCCAGGCGTTTTGCTACTTCAAATTCTTCTACTAAGTCAGTGGGAAGGGGGGCTGGTAGGTAAGCAGGGAGAGTGGTTGTGTCAAGCCGGGGGAGCGTCTGGCATATAGTAGCGAAATGGTTATTTGTTTGCTCAGCTGCGTCAACATTAGTGAGATGGCTAAGGAAGGGGAGGGGGTGTGTCTTATTGTTTATTCCACAGAGTTCTTTAAGCTTACCATACCATTGACTGATGTTGGTCTGCTTCAGGTGTTGTAATTTGGTTGGGTAGTGGGACTTCTTTGCAGTGCGTATTTCGTGGATGACTCGGTTGCGAAGGGACCTGTAGCGGATGTGGTCATTGAGATGAAAGGCTCTGTCTCTCTGTTGCATAAGTCTTTTGATCCGAGGTGTGATCCAGGGCAAGTCAGCTGGGTGAGATCTGACGGACTTCTCGGGGAAGAAGTGGTGGTGAGCTTCCGTGGTGGTGTTGGTATAATTTATCCATTTGGTTTCCACGTCATCCACGCTAAGTACTTCAGTCCAGGGATGGTGAACTATCCACTGCCCGAAGAGGCGCACTGCAGTCAGTAATCGGCCTGTAGGTCTTGATGTAGGGTCTCTGTACTTGAGTGGGAGTGGCAGCTGGGGACCAGAGCACTGATAAGTGTGTGCTACACCCGATAGGAGGCATTGGTTGAGGTGGTTGGTACTGGTCCGCTAAGTCAGTTAAGATAAGGTCAAGGGTATTTTGACTGTGTGTGGGGAAGGTCACAACTTGTGATAGTGATAGCTGGTCCTGGATATCAGCGGTGTCAATTTCATTAAAATCCCCACATAATACTAACTTGGCACATCGGTACCTAACTCTGAGGTGGTAATGAGATGATTAATAAGAGTGTCTCTGGTGGGTGAGCGAGGCGGATGGTATGCCACACAGATTATGATGGAAGCAGTGTTGCGCGGGTGGGCCCGTGGCACAACACGTACCCATAATGCTTCCACATCTGCTGGGACTTGGACATCCAGGCATGACGGGCGTAGGTCATCTTGACAGAAGAGGGCAATGCCCCCTCCGCGTCTATGTTAACGAAGGTGATGAAAGAGTTGATATCCCTCAATATGACATGTTTCAGGCACAATTTGCCAAGCCTCACATATGGCAACGACGCTCGCGGCGGCTGACCTGACTGTAGTTGCCAGCTCGTCGAACTTGTTAGCTAGGGAAGTGACGTTGGATAGCAGTAAAGACGGAAGATCATACCATATCCGTGGAACTTCAGTGTGGTGGTATGGTCTGTCAGGGGTGGGTTTCTCCGGTTTCCTAGTGGAGGTTACGGTTCTAATGGGCTTATGTGTATGACGGCCTTGTCTACGGCTACACGCGTGGAATATGTTCAGTGACGTGTGTGTGTGTATTTTCTTACTCTTAAATCACTACTGTAATGTGATACAGGTGATTAATTTTATCTCTTGTGCAAAATATGACTTTTATATTCCAATTATTCGCTGTCTTGCAAGGAATCCAGCAATGCAAATTATATTATCCTAACTTTAGTCTGAGATATTATATAAGGTAAACACTGTAAACCTAAAACCCTGGCTGGGCAGATGGGAGAGAGGGGGGGAGCAGGAGGTGAGGCTTGACAGTTGGCGCCGAGAGGTCTAGTGAAGTATTTATTTGTTTATTTATGTCCTTGAGATTGAGTTTGTTTTTTGCTTGTAAAATTTCATATACAGTAAGTGACCGGGGAGAATTTAATTTACATTGCTTGAATTCTTATACGATAGTGATTAATTTGAATATAAACAAGCTATAATTTGCACTAGACATAACAATTTTAGTACCGTTAGTACATGTACACTACAGGTTTGCTTTAGGTCATTTATTTCTTCTACTTTTCTTTTAGTATGGTGTGTGCATGTAAATGAATGAAAATAAATGAAAATAAATGAAGAAATTTATGTAAATCTACCCAAAAATACAGTTGAAAAACTTTACATTATAAAATGTACTAATGTACTAAAACCTATAAACCTATAAAAAAATAATTAATGTTGTTAATATATATTTTACACATGTAGTTCAGAACAGTATTAATGGACTTATCAGGAAGTAAATTTTTCTCAAACTGTTTTTCAAAACTTTCCAGATTGTCACGGCACTTCATGATCCCATGACAGAGCAAGAGTATGAAAAGCCTCAAGAGAGCTTCCTGCAGGAGGTAAAACCTCAGAAGTGGTGGCAAGTGGATGTACTGAAGGAGGGCAAAAAAGCACTGCAGCAAGCAAATGGCAAGATGGGTAAGTAGTGGGTGTGGCCATCGACATGGTAATTGAGCAATGGATTTTTTGTGTTGCTGGTAGATCATCAGCTAAATATGCCATTGACAATGTCCCCTTAGGGATACACAGTTCTTAGGAAATTGGAGCACACTTATGTAGGCTGACTATACAGGGTTTATTAGCTACGACTGGTTTTGTAAGCTTTATTGGTCATGTATGGTTAGTTGATAATAAAAACAACTGTCTGTCCCATTTTGACACAAAAGTATTAGTATCATGAGTTATCAGCCCTGTTACTGTAACTTGTCACACTAGAGGGAAGGGTTGGGCTGTGGAAGTATTTGAGTCTTGTTGGTCCATCTGGGTATCATGTTAATACTGTATACTGGAGGGACTCAGGTTGGGAATGGGTTGCATTCTAAAATTTTGTTCAGTCATTTGTTTGGAATTTGGAATTCAATTTCTCATATACATCCTTATAAATGGTGGTTTTGTTCCCATGCCTATTTAATCTGTAGTTAAACTGAATTATTTTACATTTGCAATGAATAATACAGGTTCAACATGTAAAATCTGATATTTATAGCAATTTACATTGTGAACTTGTGTTATAAGCAATTGTGGTAATGTTAAAAAGGCCAAGAGATACCTTAATAGGTAGCAGTCAAGAGAAGTCAAAATTCTTTCTAATAAAATGGGATTTCTGCTTTTAGATATTTTCAAGCACAGTTTATCAAGGTTCAACAGTTTTTGTGGCAGCCATCCTTACACATGCCTGAACATTGGTTGTTAATTTAAAGCACTTTTTATTCTACAGTAATTAAAATTTTCAAGTCATATTTAAATAATTAAAATTTTAAATCCATTATCAAATATTTTTGTTCGGTTCTTTACAATCTGATCGTGGAAAAAATAAAATCCATGATAAATGAGGACAATAGTAGTATCCGATCACATCCCTATCTCCTCGAGTGGTTGTGACCAAGCTGGATGTGACGAAGTAAGTCCTGTCATGATCATGTTTACTCACAAGCTACATGGATTTCACATGAACTTGCATATATAAATAAAGTACAGCATTTGATGAATTGTAAAGGAATTTCCATGCAAAATCGAGAGAGAGAGAGAGACTAGCTGATAAATTTTTTGCCAGTGTCACGAATCTTTATTAAACATATTTTTAGGAATACAGTAAGGACTTGCCAAATGAGGAATTAGTGAATTTGACTTAACAATCCTAGTGTTGTAGGGTATGAAAATTGAGTTGGGTTTGTCTGTCAGCCATTACAACCATTCTCAAAAACAAAATAAGGGCTTCTGCCCAACTCACCACTTCATAAATAGCACCCAAGACAACTGGTTCAAGGAGCATTTTTACTGGAGATAGAGAATTGGATAGGCATGTGGGTGAAAGTTTAGACTCTAGGATTATGTTAGTAGCTACTGCAGATAGTGGTCAATCTTAAGCAAACTCTGACCAAATGTAATGATGAACACCGAACTTTCTGCACAGTATGTATTTAATTTTTTATGTGCTCCATTAAAAAAAAATTGTGAGATACAGAATTGAATTATTCTTATAGTTTTGGCATATCCCCTCAGGTCTGGCATTTGATGAATGGGACATTGATTATTACACTGATATGTTCAAGAAAAATATACAGCGAAATCCCACCACTGTGGAGCTGTTTGATCTCGCCCAGTCAAACTCTGAACACTCAAGACACTGGTTCTTTAAGGTATGATGGTAAAAAATTCTTAAGTTTTTGGCTCCTACATCATGATTTTATTTGATCTTGTCAAAAATATGAGTGACATGAGTTACACCAACACATCTAAATACCTCATGACAGATCCTACCTGGTTCTTGTGATCCAAAACGTGGTAGTGGTGATAAACAGTGTGGTTTTTGTGGTGCAGTGATGGGTGGCAAGCCCTTTTGTAGGTGTTGAGCCAGGCTGTGGTGCTGTAGGTGTGGGTGAGGGCCACTAAGGACAGGAGGAGGAGGAGGAGGAGGATGTGTAAATAATTCCAAACCATTCGATGATGATGATAAGTTGATTTGTGTTTCCACCTGCTTTATCTCACACTCTAGTGCATACCAATCCTCTGAAAATGACACTGGTGTGATTTCAGTAAATCAGCCGGAAGACGATGATAGCAAGGTTAATAACCCTTGTACGGTCTCGTTCAAGATTCTACAAATACCGCTGGAGACAGCTGGCAACTCAAGGCCGTTTGTTTACTATAGTACTTAGTAAAATTTATGAATGAATGTTAAAGGTTATCAGTGATTGGTTACTTAGTTCCCCGTTGCTCAATTCATGGTTGGGCTGTGTTGTTTCGTATTATATTATAGTACGTAATATAGTAAACAAACGACTTGGAGTTGCCAGCTGTCTCCAGCAGTGTTTGAAGAATCTTGAACGAGACTGTACAATATGACCTGACTTCACCCCACACTACCAGGACACATTTACACCAAAGTGTACCAACCTGACACTCTCTGGTAATATTACTTAACTCTTAATGTGAGAAGGGTGTTATCCAGTGTGACTCCTACCAAACACTGTAGGATTTCTAAAGGTATTTCTGTTTCGTCCTGTGTTAACATTGGGTTATAGATGTCATAAAGTAACAAGGAATGGACCAACTGCTTGAATGGCTAGTAAGCTGAGGCAGTAAGTGGTGAAATGATTAATAATAATATAGAAGAAAATCCAACTAGTTTCCTGCAACTTAATAGGGAGTTATTATGGAATGTGCAGAATGTTGATTGTTAATTGTTAAGCTTTGTTGCATGATGGTATTTTTTACCCAGAGAGTGAACAAGATACAAGATGATGATTGTAGGTTTATTTTGTTAATATACGGTTTCAGGGAGAATACAAGGTGGAGGGAGAGAAGTTACCACAATCACTGTTTGATATGGTGATGGCGACCAACACCCCCAACACTACTAACAACAACAATGTTATTGCTTTCTCTGACAATTCTAGGTAAGAATTAGTTTTGACTGTTCTTATCTTATTTATAATGCGTCACTCCTGAGAGGGGCGGGGACATGACATGAAGAGCCACACTATCACTAAATACCTCCTTTGGCCCCTCTATTCCTTTTATAGATCCTCTTTTTTTTTTTTTATCTAAATAAATTATTCCAACTTTCCCTCTCTCTCTTTGTGTAGGTTGTCTCCTTGAGCCCCCTCATTATTCTCCTCTTTCAGCCATTCACATGTCTGTTATCTTGGCCAGTCCCTCTTTACCCATTCTATCACTTCACAATTTATGCTTTCTTCCTTCTGTCCACCACACGCACACACACACACACACACCACACCACACACCACACATACCACACATGCACCACACACACACACCACACACACCACACACACACACACACGCACACCACACACATACACACCCCAGACACACACACATGCACACCCCAGACACACCCACACCACACACACACACACACACAGTCCAGACTTCTATCAGTGCCTAAACTTTCCAGTGCAAGCCCTCAATCCAAACCCATACTTTTTCAAACTGGCCACTGCAAACATTTATACATAATTAGCAATACTTGAAGTTTGTCATCTTGTTGCATTTAACATTTACAATTTCAGAGTTCATGTTTGTATGGACTGTACAGGCAGCTAAAGAAAAAAAGTACTCTACAGATTTAAACTTGTATGTTACATTATACTGTACAGTAGTGTAATTGCCTTAAATTTCACAAATTAATGTTGGCTTGAACTTTTATTTACATTGTTATTGTTTTCTGTATCACTAATTTGTTACTCCATGTTAGCGGTATTCACGGATGGGAGGCACCAATGTTGGTGCCATCTGACCCCTGCAAGAGCTCGGAGTTCAGAATTCAGCAACAGCTCCGTCACTTGATCTTCACGGCAGAGACTCATAATTTCCCAACTGGTGTTTCCCCATTCAGGTAACTCTAGTAAGGATGTTCTTCATCTACCTTTAGTAACAATGTTTTCTAGTGAATTTTGGTGACAATTTTCTTCATCTAACTTAGATAAGGTTGGTTAAGCTAAAGCTAACTATGGTAAATGTTTGTAAGCCAACTTAGGTAGGTCTTCAACTAACTTCAGTAAAAAAAAAAAATCAGCTGACTTTAACAACTTTCTTCAGCTAACTTTAGTAACAATTATTTTAAGCCAACTATTTTTTTTTTTCCTTTTAAGGTAGATATAATTTGTGGTCCTCTTTATTAAGTCGAGTAATAAAGGATACTGTTCATAAGGCAGACAATCTAGTAAAAGTAATCTATACACTAAAACTATTGATAGGTGTCTTAGTGAATGGATCATTGTTTCTTGGCTATATTCACTTAGGTAAGCAGTGCTCATAATTTTTGTCAATAGCAGCCAATCCCAAGAAAACTATGCTAGATTTAATCTACCGTGTTTTGTAAAATGGAAATATGTTTGTAGTATTATTTTTCTCTAACCCCCCTAGCCCTGGGTTAGGGTGCGCTGGCCGTATCCGCCATGTGGGGTAAATCAAGAAAAATGCAAAAAAAAATCAATTTTTTTTTTAACTTTTAGATGATAAAACAATAAAAAAGAAGAAAACTCTATATTGACCCTCTAGAAACTTCCCTGTGGCAGCACTGATGAGGGAGATAAAGAGACAGTGTTGTTTTCATAGCTGACGCTTGTGGTCACTACGCACTTAGTGGCCATTTTGTACTTGCCTTTGTGTCTGGGATGGCCAATAATGTACATATTTACTGATCATAATACTTATTTGCTATAAATAATTCATTTAGAATATTTTATTTGCATTATTTTTCATAAAAAGTGCTTGGCAACACACACGCAATCAGTCGCCTGGCTGTCTCTGTGTTTGGTAGAGCAAGTAATGCATAAAATAATAATGATTACATTAATAACCTAATCATTGCATTATTTTCCAGTAATACTACACTACAATACAACTACACTACAGTCTCTCCTCGAATTATGACAGGGTTCTGTCCCGACGACCAGGTCGTAAGTCAAAGGCAAAAATAATACATAGAAATTCTAAAATGGGTGTCTCTTTTTCTTCTCAGCACCATGAGAATTCTTATTTTTACGCTTGCCTTCCATTTTAAAGGGAATTATAAACGAAAAATTTTCAGTACACAATGCGATCACTAACGTTGGGACTCGAAAATGCGTAACGTGAAAAATAATTTATACGACCATGGCCGTCGAAAGTTGAGGAGAGACTGTACTTTTAGCAATATTACTTTGATACAACATGATAAAATGGACAAACAATGAAAATTAAACAAAAAAGAGTAGGTAATTACATTCAGGAAACTTCCCTGTGGCCGAGCATGTGGCCTGACAGCCAAATAGTCACATTGGAACCTGATAACCAGTGCTGGGCATTAAATACTGGCAGGAAAAAGCAATTGTTCTGGAACGGCACCCGGGGCGCTCCAGTTAAGAGACCTATATATCAAGCTTGCGGATCCCCTTAAGATCCTGCTCTGCAAATGCCTGGAGGAGCAAAAGCTCCCTGATGACTGGAAAATGGCTTATGAAAGTCCTATATTCAAGAAGGACGATCGTCACTTCATGAATAATTATAAACCAGTGAGCCTGACCAGCATAGTGTGTAAAAAAAGTGAAATCTCCATTAGCCGGAACAATAGGTGCAGAGCTCTTGGGAATGAGAGATTTCTGGGTAATGAGTCGACTCTCAATGCCAGAATAAATCCCTCATCCCCGGACTCTTCTGGGTGAGGAAAAAAATTTCTCATAATTTCCAGAAATTGTCCATTTCATCATCCATTGAGCCAGGAAAAATATCTCCCATCCCCGAAATTTTCCAGAATTTTCCGGGTAATAGAAAAATGTTCTTGGAAGTTACAGTAATTTCCCATTACATCATCTCTCGAACCCAGAAAAATATCCCCCATCCCTGGAATTTTCAGGGTGCTGGAATAATTTTCTCAGAATTTCCGGAAAATGCACTTTGACTTTCATCACTCAAACCCTGAAAAAAAACCTCCCTCATCCCCGGAATTTTCCGGGTGTCGAGAAATTTTTTTCAGAATTTTCCAGCAATGTGCCCTTCTGAAAATCGTTCGCAAAGTTGTAATTTTCCGAAAAATTCTGGCTTAGGGAACAATTTACCAAAAAAATTTCAATTCCGGCTATCGGAGAGTTCCAGGTTTGAGGGATTCCAGCTCATGGAGATATTACTGTACGGGTACTAGAGAGCATCGTAAGAGATGCCATGATAGAACATCTGCTACGAAAAAACCTTGTGAAGGAATATAAATGCGTTTTTATGCCGGGATGATCCTGCTTAACACAATTACAGTACTCAATGTACTGGATGTTTGGACTGAAATTCTAGAACAAGGCAGAAATGTCGACTATATATATATCTAGATTTTGCCAAGGCTTTCGACAGCGTATCCCATGAAAGGCTGAGAATCCAACTGGAAGGGTACGGGATTCGATGAAGTGTCCTAACCTGGATTAGAGACTTTCTGCATGACCGCAAACAGTCTGGTGATAAATGGTACGAAATCATCATGTTCACCTGTGACAAGCGGGGTACCATAGGGCAGTGTATTGGGCCCATTGTTTGTCTGTTTCATTAATGATATGCTCCACCTAGCTGTTTACTTGTAGCGGGGCTACAACGGGAACTGGAGGACGTATCCGTGATATCCAGGCAACAGGCCGTGGAGGTCACGTAGTGGCTGGTACTGCTGGCTACTGCTTTGGTAATCTTTGCATTCCTGGTAAGTAGTTGTGGCCAGTGATAACTCCACATCCTTCCTTACAAACACTTGAAATATATCAGTACCCTGTACTGTAATAACACCTACAGTATTTTTATTGTTTGTTGTATTCTTATGAGATTCATTATCATCCTCCTTAAGAGGTTTGTCAATGAAAAATTGTACATACTGTATATAAATAATGATGATAGTTGGCACAGTATTTTATTCATTGACAGTTCTCTTTAAAGAAGAAAAGATGATCATGCTTAATGTGCAGGAACGTTAGATCAACAAGAAGCACATTAGCATTACAATAAAAAAAAATAGTATATATGGCTTGGTACATACAGAGCTGAGGCCTTGCCAAGTAATGGAATCTTCAGATTTATTGGTAATGAGCCTCTGTACAGTATACAGGAGGTCCCAGGGTTACGAACGTCTGCCAATACCAGCGAGGTTAAACTTTAAATTTACTGAATTTTATTTACATGATGACTTAATTTTTACTTGAATTTTCTGTATTCTGTCATTCTATTAATCCTTTTCTCTTAAATTAGGGATATTAGATGTATACAGCTCCTCCCCGACTTACGACGGGGTTAGGGACCCAAATCCAGGTCGTAAGTCGAAAATGCTTAAATGATACATAGAAAATCTAAAATGGGTGTCTCTTTTTCTTCTCAGCACCACAAAACTCTCACTTTTAAGCTTGCCAGTCATTTTAAAGCGAATTACAAACGAAAATTTTGTCAGTACACAGCTCAATCGCTGACGTTGGGACTCGAAAATATGTAATTTAACAAAATTTTGGTATGACAGGCGGTCGTATGTCCGGGTGGTTCTGTAAACTTTAGTTCGAGATTTAGTCTTGTTATTGAACCTGAATCCACATACCTGGAGCTGGTGGACGCCTGCCCCACAAGGGGTCTCCGCTCAAGGTTGAAGAAGCCGCAGGTCCCGAAAACTGTGAGGGCAAATTTTTTTGCAGTCAGAATTGTGAACTCTTGGAACAATCTGCCAGAGAGTGTTGTGATGGCATTGAGTGAGCTCATTCAAGGCCAGATTCTGATATATTCAGGAGCCAGTGCATGCCCAGTACTTGCCAACAGTGTGAAACAGAGACAAGACTGACCACCCAAGTGGCTAACAAGCTGATCAGTGGCAAAGAGGGTAAAATTAAGTAAATAAATACATGAAGACCATGCGTCTTCATTGCTTAAGGAGTAGAGGAAAGATGCCAAGTCCAGTTGGTTTATTTGGAAGAAATTGGGGATAAAAGTTTGTGTTCAAGGGACTATAGCTTGGGGAGGCAGAGCTGCATTAACTCCCTTAAAGGAATAGAAAAATATGAATTTGTGTGTTAAGGTAGTTTTGTAATTCACTTGTTAACACTGATAGACTCGGCCCTAATAAAAATTAGTTCAGTCTTCTGATTAGGTAGGGCAAGTAGAGCATTTGTTTGTGATGTACACTCTCCACAAAAAGTTCTCGAACAACTTGGCATGACTGATTTCAGAATAAGCACTATGGCTTGTCATTCCAGAATGGCTGGTATGCCTGGTTGTGAAGTGACTCCCAATGTGTGTTGCTCTTTATAGTATTTACAGGTGAACAGAAGTAATTTAATTTGCAATAAAACCTCCTCAGAGAGCAATGTTCAGATTTCACATTCATTTTGTCATTGTATGACCCTTAAGAGTGTTCTAGAACTTTTTGTGGTGAGTGTACATTAAACAAGTCTGTTATCAAACACCCAACATTTGAGGTAAACCTTCACACTTGGGTATTATCTTATAAAATGGTAGAGAGAACTTTGAAGATCTTTCTTAATATTTGGTTGATAAAAAATTTGCAGATATTTTAGAACTCCTGTGGTTGGTCAAGTACTAACATTTTATATTTGCTGATAGAGTATGATCTACCATGGGAGTCTACAGACACACAGTACCCAACCAACTTCGCCTCACCACTGGAGGTTGCTATAGAGGCCTCCAATGGTGCCTCTGACTATGGCAACAAGTTTGGTGAGCCAGTTATTGCTGGCTTTGCTCGTTCCTTTGGGCTTCTTATTGGTAAGCAAGCAAATTCTAGATCAAAAGTTTTTAGTAATAGTTATATAAGTTTCTCTTGATCAGATTATGGTAATTGGCAGCCAGTATAAGGGATTATCTCGTTTACTCAAACTTCAACTAGATATTTTCCTGTTTTTTGTGAAATATTCAAAATTTCAAATACAACATTGATAAAAATTAAGCTTGGAATATAAATTAAATTAAATGCCACTTGATAGATAATTAAAGGGGGAAATAAAAAAAAATATATAGTAAACTCGTCATATATTTCTTTTATGCAGTGAAAATAGAATGGAAGGTAAACACAGTACAGTTAAAGGAGACATTGGTATCATTATTTACCACATCTACACCCAGGGTGAAACTCTCAAAAACTGTTCCTTTAGATTGACTAATTTTATATTTGGAACTAATTTCTCAGTTGACATAATGTTTTCTGTATGGACCTTAGAATCCTAGATGCTGCATGTAAGAATAACCCAGTAAAAGCTAATCTCTCCAAGAGATTTTTTTACTCTGTTATTTACTAAACCATTTGTTGTGATGTGCTACAGGCAAAGACACAGAGGCTGAGAGACGTGAGTGGATCAAACCCATAATGTTCAGTGGAGGGATGGGTACCTTGGATGCTGCCATGATTAAGAAACAGCCTCCAAAGAAAGGTCAGTACTCCTCAGGAAAACTATCATGATATTCCTTTTAGACTTTGTAAAATTTTCTTACTACTGAACACTTGTTAAAATATTGTTCAGGTAGTAGATAAATCATACTTTTGAAGAATTTTATTTGGAACCAAACTTCCTTCTTTTGGTCTTCCTGGTCCTTTAATTTCTTGTACCTGTATTTGCTCTTTTTTCTTCTAACAGTCACATCCAGGTTCACATATGTCTACTTTCCCATCAATGTAGGAGCACATCAGGGCTCTGTACTTGCTTTTGCCTTTATCTTATACATTGTTGATGACCACCACCTGTCCATTCCTCTCGGCAGCACACATTCTATTGCTGACGACACTAATAAGTCTGGGGAGGAAGAAGCAAACACCCATGAATTTAAATACACTATTCTAGAGGGCCCACAGTTAGGGAAGCAACAAGGTCAGTTTAAATGAGTTAAAAGTGCCGTGGTGAGTGTCCATAAAATTTGTCTTAGTTATGCATGTTCTTTGTGCACTGTATTTATCTATTCTTAATGTACAGTATTGTGTATTACTGTATATGAGGTCTAATGATGCTGTCCAATGCAACCTTTCGTATTAATTAATTATTGCTAGTAACTTTGGTGCCTTATGCCGGATATGAGAGATTTCATGGTATCTCATAAAAGGTACACGAATTAGTGTTTATTAAAATATCTTGTTTTTGCATATAAGAAGAGGCCCTGGTAATGTATAATTTTTATAGTTTAGGAGTTGGACCTTATGCTTCAATTCTTGATATAAAGCAACTTATAAAGTACATATAGGTGAAAAAGCAGGTGTTATCCCTCAAAAACATATATTAAAGCATCTTTTCCTGTACAGGTGAGCATGTGGTGAAGGTGGGAGGACCCGTATACAGGATTGGCGTAGGTGGCGGTGCTGCGTCCTCAGTGCAGGTGAGTCTAGTTACCACTGTGGGTGCTTTAACCTCTGTTGTAACTCCTGGGTATGTTCTTTAACTCTTTAGGTGCGTAATTAAATTTCGCGCCGGTTCCTGAAAAGTGTCAATTATCCTGCCAAAAATGAATTTCATATAATCACATTTTCTATATGTTTTTCCTAGAGAACTTTTAGTATATTGTCCAAATCTGGAACAAAAATTCACATATGTGTGCAAATTTTAGAGAAAAAATGACATTTATACCCAAAAATGCAGGAAATTGGTATAAATCAATGTCTGGTATATGGCAAATAAATTTAATCAATTTGGTTACTAAACAGCAAATTTAGATATGTATTACATATTCAGATAATATCAAACAAAATAGTACAAAAATTTGGGGAAGTTTTTTCAAGGCCGTGGGATATCCCCGCTTGTCGCATTTAATTAATATAATATTTTGGGCGGGTTTACCCGCATGTCGCATCCAAAGGGTTAACCAGGAAAAGAGGCTATTGGTCACTGTGGGGAGCCGTAACCCTCTTTGTTAAAACAGGTCGAGTATTTTCATTACTTTTTAAATTTTGTTAATTCTTCACTAATAAAGGGAAAATGAAACTGTCACTTGCTCACACGTCTGGCCATCTGTTTATCTGTAAGTAGCATCAGTATGTTATCTGTTGAATAGATAGTTTATTTTCCACGAGTATGAAATATACTGTAGTACTGCAGTACAATGAAAAATTAAAGTTGCTTTTATAGGTGTGATTGCCTGTTAGGTACAGTGTGGATACAGCACACTGCACTCAACTGTCTTCATTTCTCCAACTTGTAAAGTTGGATTCCATTTACTGTTAGGTCGATTGGGAATGCCCCAGGATTAAACCCCTTTGGACAATTTTGATGTCCATTCAGTCACTGAACCTTGTGTAGTCGTGATTTTGATGGTTGAAAATAGTGATATTTACCAGAATTGGCTGTGGTAGTATTGTTGTCACATGCCACCAGGGATGGGTCGAGGTGTTAATGTAAACCTTATCAATACGTACGACTGCAGTACTCTAGTCTTATATTTTAGGATTTATCAGCTTGAAACATAGTAGGCATCATCACTACCATTCAGATATGTCTGTGCATTGTGGGATCTTGAGGTCAGAATATTTAGCTAAACTGGTTTGAAGTTATTCAAGAATATTATGGTTATTTATTTTCTCTATTAGGAAAGCGGAGTTGGGGTACCATTAGATAATCTATATTAATGTGTAATAATTAACTCCTCCTACAATATTGTAACATTGGAACCAGAGGAGTGAGAGCACTTAGGGATGTAGCATGTTTTTAGATTTTAGGTGAATGCAAAGAATATAGTTAGACAATTTTAACTTCAGGTGCAGGGTGATAATGAGGTAGCTAGGGACCTTGGTGCTGTACAGCGTGGGGATGCTGAAATGGAGCAGAAGATGAACAGAGTGATACGTGGCTGCCTGGAAATGAAGACCAACCCCATTTTGGCAATACATGACCAAGGTGCAGGTGGCAATGGTAAGATGATGGTATTTATTGTAATATGCTATTTATGTACATCAGAATTTACTGCCATGAAAGTATGGTGGCAGGGATGCTTAAACTGTAATGTATAACCTGTGCCTCCAGAGCAACATGTGCTGCATATATTCTTATTATAGGCTCGGGTTAGGAACTTAGAGAAGCTTCAACCCACAGCTAGAGTACTGTATTATTCAAACATTAGCCTTCAGCCCTTATAAAGTGGTAAAAGTCCACAGCACCGTGTAAGGCTGCAGGCTTATGATTAAGTCCTTTACAGTGTTGGTGTGATCTATATAATATATACTGCCTGAGCAAAAGGAATCAAGTTCTTAACCCCCAAAAAAAATCTTTTACAGGGGTCTGCAGGAAGTGAGGTGGTCATGCATACTGGTTTATGACTGAGCCTGAGGTGAAAGTTTTATTTTGTAAACTTCCCTACAAACAGTTGTAGCTTCTTAATCTATTTCAAGTGCTATGGTGGTTGTGTGGGAGAATGCTAACATGATTATTGAGGTTACTTCAAATAAAAAGTTTATGCATGAAGTTGTTCAACATCATATTGTAAGGAGATGAATTTGAATAACAATATCACAGACCCCCAAGAATGAGGAGCCCAGAGCCCCTCTGCCTTCATTCTAGAATTTTGTGGACTTAAGTATGATTATTGTCAAACTCTGTCACTTGGGGTTGGTTCATAGAGGATGAGACATGATGTCTGAATTGTTTGCATGGACAATTGGAATATCACTCTTTGAAATGACCGTGTGAAATCACTTCCCACTACTTAGGTACACTGACTAGCTAAGCTACTTGGCAACTTTGGCTACCATGCCTCATGAGATTGTGGTACTCCCTATTGTATAAACACCACTTTTATAATGTGAGACCCACAAGGAAAAAGAAGGCTTACATTCATTAGTCCTATTAATGTGAATGCCAATAAAGATTACCTTCCTGTGAGCATTTACTGTGTATTATCAGTGATATCTTCATTAGCTGGAACAATTGGTGCAGAGCACTTCTGGGAATGAGTGATTCCCAGGTAACAAGACGACTCTCAAAGCCCTCCCCCCAAAAAATCCCTCATCCCCGGAATTTTCAGGAATTTTCCGGGTAATGAAAATTGGAAGTTTCAGAATGCTGCATTATTTCATCTCTTGTACCCAGAAAAATATCTCCCATCCTCAGAATTTTCTGGGTACTGGAAAAGTTTTCTCGGAATTTTTGGAAAGTGTACCTGATTTTCATCTCTCAAACCCGGAAAAAAATTCCTCCTTCCCTGGAATTTTCCGGGTATTGGGAAAATTTAATAAAAAATTTCCAGAAAATGTGCCCCTCAGAAAATCGTTCCCAAAGCAGTAATTTTCCAGAAAATTCCGGCTTTGGGAACGATTTTCCAAAAAAAATTCAATTCCGGCTATCGGAGAATTTTGGCTTTGAGGGATTCTGGCTAACGGAGATATTCCTGCACTTGAATATATATTTATGCCTAAACAGTTATATTCTCGCTCAGCAAATGTACTGAAGGAGTTGATGGAGGGTGCAGGTGGAGTGATTTTCACGGAAAGCTTCAGCCTCGGAGATCCTACACTGTCAACGCTGGAGATCTGGGGTGCTGAATATCAGGAATCGAATGCTTTTTTGTCCGATGCAAAAGTCCTCCCAACCCTCACTCAGCTTGCTGCCAGGGAACGGTGTCCCATGGATGTTGTAGGTGTCATCACTGGAGATGACAAGGCAAGTAATTTAGTGTTTTCGTGACCTCAAAACTATCTTAAGCTCTCATTTTCTCCGTCACCTTGAACGCCTTTCTCTTTTGTCGGATCACCAGTAGGGCTTACGCCAGACGAGATCTACTGGTGATCTGCTCTCCCAGTGCACCCATCTTCTCTTCGGGATTATGGGGAAACTTTCGTCATGGCTCTCGACATCTCCAAAGCATTTGACAAGGTATGGCACAAGTCTACATACCTCTTTTTCTTCTTCCCACTTGAACTGGAAGGAGAAGCAGCTACTGACCATTTACACCTTTGAGTAAAATCGATCAACTTTGACTGAGCAATGAGTAATGCTGTTACTACTCTGGTGAGCAGTTGGGGAAGTGTGCGAATACAGTACTGTACTGTAGTTGTACTGACATGGCAATTGATTTGAAATGCTTCCAGCTTAACTTTTCTCATGATATATAGGAAAATAATAGTAATATACTGTAGGTAACTAAAGTGAAAAAAAAAAACTATAGTACTGTAATTCGTGCTTCGATGAGCCTGACATACCTGACAGATATACATACTGTATAAAGTTTAGGTCTTTGCCAAAAAATTATAAAGATCTGAATACTGTGTGAAACCATTTATAAGGTTGAGTTGGTTCAGTAAGAAAGGAATTCATTGGGCTGCCTAAAGTTGGCCAAAGTATTCGATTTTGATATGTGGATAGCATACCAATTTTTCAAGGTTCTTTGATGATAATGTATGTGAGACTTGAACAACTTCAGCATTATGAAGATGTTTAATCAGATGTTTCATTACTGTATTAAAATTTTCACAGGTTCGTTTAGTGGAAGGCAAGATGGATTCTAGTGTAATGGAAAAGCTGGAGGAGATTGAGGGAGCACAACATCCTGTTGACTTACACTTGGACTGTGTACTGGGCAAAATGCCAAAGAAGGTGAGGGATACTGGGTAAGACACAGGGAGGGGAGGCAAGATGAATTAAGTCAACATTGAAACTAAATGAACATGAGGCTTTTCAAAAGGTGAGGAAGTCTAAAGCATATAAGAAGTCATTGTTTTCTTTGATACAAAGATCCATCTTAGGGTAATGAGGGAGTAAGGTGCAGTGGGCAAGTTTTTGTATTTTTCTTTTTTATTATTCAACTTCAGTTTTCTCCGTCAGATAATAAATGCCATTTCGTCCTTTGTATCCTCAGCCTGCATTACTGGCACATAGTTGCATTGTCAGTCATATAATAAAAGACAAAGATCAGGTCAGAGCCTCCTGGTAAAGGCAGGATCTGGCAGATGGTGTTCTAGTGGAAGTTTGTTTTTCCAAGGATGTTTTGGTTATTTGCTAAGTAAATTTTAATAATACTGTAATAGATTCATGGTGACTAATTATATTATTTAGGAGGTTTCAAGAAGTGGCAACCTGTGAATGTACAAATGACTTCTAATACAGAGTCACAGACCTTCCCATCATATTACAATTTTAAAATTTAACTCCAAACACTTCCTTCCTATGTATGCAGGAATTTCAATGGACAAAAAAGCAAGTTGAGCTACAACCCTTGGTGCTGCCAGACTCGCTGAAAGTTCAAGAGGCCTTGGAGCGTGTGCTGAAACTTCCCTCCGTAGCTAGCAAAAGATATCTAACCAACAAGGTACCAGATTTTTTGTTCTAGTATAGGCCATTGGTATTTGAATAATCAGTAGGTTGAAGGTTCTACTGTTGACCAAACAACTGTTGCTGTGGTAAGGGTACAAAATATTGAAGCAAAAGGGCTATAGAGAGGAGCAAGTTGGCAAATAAGAGTACAGGAGGCAAATGAGAGACGAACTAGCTCCGTTTCAGATGATACTATGCTGTCTTGGTGGGCAGTTGAGAAAAAATGCAAATGCTAGTGAATAGGCTTGGATAAATACTTCAACTTTTGTCCTCTTCACCACCGATCGGCTCGTTAGCTGCTTGGGCGATCGGTCATGTCTCTGTTACGCACTGTTGGCAAGTACTGGGCATGCACTGGCTCCTGAATGTACCTGAACCTGCTCCAGTGTTGGTCAAGTCTGGTCTTGAAAGAGCTCACACTCGGTGCCATCACAACACACACTGGCAGATTATTCCAAGAGTTCACAACTCTCACTCCAAAAAAGTTACCCCCCTCACAGTTTTCTGGGCTTGCGGTTTCTTTGGCCTTGAGCTGTGACCCGTTGTGGGGCGAGCATCCGCCAGCTCCAGGTAAGGACACTCGACTGAGTAGTGCCCCTCAAGATGCTTATACACCTCAATTAGGTCTCTCCTTTGCCCATTTGTAGTATAAGCTAGGCAAGTTCAGGTGCAGGAAGTGGTGGTTAATTGCGAGTGTGGAAAAATAGGAAAGGGAAATAGATTTTAGCTTGAATGGAAATAAGAGTGGAGGAAGTGAGGTGCTTCAGTTATCTAGGAATGGGCATGTCAACAAGTTGAACAGTGATTAATGAATTGATCCACTGATCAGCAAAGGAGAAGAAATTGGTACAGTAGAAAATGTATGTAGAGAGACCTGTGTCAGAGGAAGCAAGGTTGGAGATGTTATAGAGAGGTTGTTGAGCCAACTTTACTACAGCTGTATATAAGACCGAGGCATGGACTCTACATGTAAGAGTATAATATATAAGGTGAATAGGATACAGTATAGTCTTCATTTACGCGGTCAATTGAACCCGTGGAGTACCGCGTAAAACGAGAAATGCGTAAATGAAATAACAGAACGTGTGGGATTAATTGAAATAGAGACTGGGCCGCCCCCAAACTCCACTTTTTCCAACACAATACGTACCTTGTAGTAAAAATAACATCTTAATTTTATGATGGTATGCATACACAATTAATAATTTACAGAAATATCAATATTATTAGGTTTCTTAACACATAAGTTAGTGGAAAAGCTGGGTCGGCACACGTGGATGGCGGCTGGTTCAGAGGCAGAGGGCAGATTAGTTGCCCTCCGGTGAATCACTTTCACTTTCACTACTCGCAGAGGTTTGCAGGGCCTCCCAGACAACCTCTCAAAGTCCATATCCTCACTGTCAATATCACTATCACTGACTTGGGCTGGCTGTGGTTGTGGTGGGTTGCGGGCGAGGAAGTCCTTAATACTATGTTGACGACTAGCATTGATGTTGTCGAGATAGATCTGGTTATACGGCTCCATAACTTTCGTCAGATAGTTATTAGACACTTCATACCGATGCTTGTCTGGGTCGTTATCAAGGATGAGCTTAAGTTTCTCCCCCAACTTGATGATTTCCTTCACATTATCATGGCTTGGTCCAGGTAATTCAATGTTTTTCTCGGGTGGTGGGGGTCCCGCGGAAGCCATTGTAAGTTGTGAGGGGAATAGCGGGCACAAGAGAGAACTGTATACGCGGACTGAGAACAATGAGACAGGTCCGGCTAGGTCAGCGACTTCTACCCTCTGGTGGCAGGGCATGTCATGTTACATTAGACCAATCACAACTAGCGGCGGAGGGAGGTAAGGATGCGTGGCCCAATCACAGTCCGATATGTCATATGACGTCAGCGATAACGTAAGAGCGGCCTAATGCGCACCACTCACTGCGCCGCTTCCCGCGTATGGTCAAGAATGAACCGCGTGAGTAAAAAAAATGGTGCGGCGGTCTGGACCTCTCCAACCGCTCGCCGCGTAAATGACCAAATTTACCGCATAATTAAAGCATTTTCATTCTGGCAAGGCACCGCGTAAATGACCAAACGCGTAAACAAAAGCCACGTAAATGCAGACTATACTGCATATAAAATAAGAAAGTAAGAAATAATATTGCTATGAATGTAGAAATGAGACTCCTCAGACACTGTGCAGACCAAGTGTGTTAAAGAAATGTGGACTGTTATCGCTGCCCTCGTACAACACGACCTCTGACTCGCATACCATGTGGCCGGTGACCACCTCGCCAGATGTTCGGGGACGCACAGCAAGCTTTTTGTTGTGATCATAGTTAAGGGCTCGGGTTGCCTCTGGCTGACAGTATTCATCCGGCCCTTCAAGTGTACACATTAGCTATAACCAGGAGTTACTTGGAGTGATACTACGAGTTAAGTGGAACTATAAGCCCGCACACGTGAGTGAAAGAACAGTGAGTGTTTGTATTGTGGTGAAATGTTGTGAACTACCTACGGGCATAGTGTTAAGGCAATTTGGATAAAACCATACAGAATAGTGTACGTATTTATTAACTGAAATATAATGTACAGTATACATGTAATGGAATGTAATCGGTAGTTAACGAGTGTCTCACTTTTACAGGTTTTGACCAGATCAACCAATAAACATTGAGTGAGTCCACGTTGCGGGTTTCTCTCGCCCTTAAGACATAACGTCATCTAACTGTCGAACCATCTGGCAGTTAAATGGACATTATGAGAGAATAGGAAGTGAAAGATTAAAAAAAAAGTGATTATCTCAGAGGCAGACACTAGGTGAGAGAGGAGGGAAAAGATTGAAGGTTAAAGTGAAGGAATTGCTAAAAGTGAAGTGGATGGACCTCCAGGAAGCAGCACATGTGAATAATAGTCCATGGTGATGAGTGGCGTACGGGGAAGGCACAGCACCGAGTGAATGAATGAAGGGGAGTGAAAGAAGACCCTATTTTTGCTTTCGATTCTGTAGAAAAATGCCTACATAACTGACAAAAATAAAGAGCATTACTTATCAACAGTCTAATAAAACTTTTTGTTGTGATATACAGTTCTGGTGATGATAATCTGAGGGATGTGAATATGACCGTACACTATTACTCGTCTAACTGTCGAGCCACATTTCATGCCATCACTGGTTAATCCAGTGATATGTTGAAAAAAATTTGTTCCTTAGAAGGAACAAGTTTCATCTGTCAAATGTTTAGTTAGCAAGATGAATAATTAAAAATAAAACTTTTGAGTATAATATTTTAAGTTAACTAAGTATTGCTTAATAAATTTATAAATATTCATTGTAAAGGAAAACTGTACTAACCTGAAAAAGTAAAAATGTTTGCACAGGTGGACCGGTCAGTGACGGGCTTGGTAGCACAACAGCAGTGTGTAGGTCCTCTACACACTCCTCTGGCAGATGTTGCTGTCACTGCTGTCTCTTACTTCAGCAAGGTGGGTCTTCAACACCTTCCCTGGCAGATATTGCTATTAATGTATTTTCATTCAACAGATATAAATTGCCAGCAAACTCCATATCCCTCCATTCTTCATTTGGTTGATCTCTCTTTGAAGCTCTCTTTATACATGATTAATGTTAAAAGAATTTTTATAATGCATTTCAATAATACAGTACTGTAATTGTAATAGGTAAGAATGACACTGTAATGTGAACTACTGTACAGATAATGAAGAAAAGCACAATGAAAGGCAGTTACTGTGTTGCTGCATGTGAACAATTAGATCTAGAAGAAAAAGAAATGTATCACACATTTCCAATTTTTTTTTTTACCAAGTTTGTCTCAACCTAATGTGCTTTTTCAGCAAAATCTAAAAATATGCATACACCGTTTCATAAATAGGCTAAATGGCAACTGCTCTCCACTCCTTTACATGGCAGAGGTAGGGTAAAGCTATATTTATTATACCTGTACTATGATACTTACACTACACACAGGACTGGGAGATGCTGTACTATAATCAGACAAAATTTAAATTATTGTACATTGTAGTGTATTATAGTAACACACTTCAACATGACATTTCACTACACAGGGAAGAAGAGGTGAGTGAAATTGGTGTTGGTAGCAGCTGGTCACAAAGCCACTGATAACTGAACCTCCCCAATTATGTACCTTAGGTAAGTCAATCTATTCACACTGGGTATTAAAGGCACTTGAGAAATTACTACTTATATTATGCACCAAAGTGTACCCAGGGTGTACCTGACTTGACCAAGGTACACAGGTGTGCCAGGACACCGTATAGTAAATTACTAATGTACCTGCATAAGAGATACTGTAAGAGTACTGTAGTAGTAAAATATAGTATGTATTATACAGTATAAGGTATTACATTGTGTGATGGTGACTAAGTGTGGTGGGGGGGGGGGACACATTCAACTACAGGTCAATATAGTACAGCATTTGCTTTGTCATGTAGTGTGAACAGAACTTTATTATTTCTACACACAAGAATATCTTCTCCACTTATTACTTCACAGCAAGAATGCACGATAGAAACTGTGTTGGTGGGAGGACTGTGAGGGTGGCACAAACTTGTCATATCCTGGCCACCAAAATACAGTATGTACAGTAAACTGTCGATGTTTACAGTACATAATAGATTATTTTCATTGAAGCTTTATTTTACTGTATTGGACAGATTATGTGATGCACAAATTTGTAAACAGGAGGGAACAGCAACAAGTATTGGGGAGCAGCCCATTAAGATGCTGGTATCCCCTGCTGCAGGTGCTCGACTTGCAGTTCTGGAGGCACTTACCAACTTGGCCGCTGCTCCCATCTCTAACATTAAGGTCAGTGCTTGTAGATGGATGTATTTATTTTTAATCTCCCTCTAATTTTACTGGAGGGAACTGTAGGATTGCTCACAAGGGATCTTGAATGATTTATCTGTAATCAGACATATCTACCGTATTTGTTGACGTAGAAGACGCGTTTTTCTTCCCCAAAATGTATAGCAAATTACCCTGCGACTAATGCGCCGGTATTATGGATGGGAGGCCAAGCGCCGTAGGTGGAGGTCCCTAGCTAGGGAGTCTGGGATGAGCAGTATCCATTAAGCACAAAAATTTTGTTCCTAATAATATTACTAATAATAAAATACTGAAATAATTACGGCAAATTTGCTGAAGACGTAAATAATGGCTTACATTGGCTTACCGGCAGAGGGAAGCTCACAACATTTCGCTGTACCTCCTTCCCCAGCATACGTAGCCCACACCAGATACATGTCTTACATTATTTAATGACTGTGTTATCTTTAAGAAACATTTGTTTATTATCTAAATGAAAAATGCCCCTAGAAAGATTAAAGAAATGTAAACAGAAAGTTTAGCCGCCAGTTAGCCACTTGCAATGAGTCGATGACGCCAAAACAGTAGCGATGGTGCTACACCCTGGTGGCAGATTGCGGCAACACAAAACATCGCAGCCAAAATTACGAGTTTTACAACCTATTGGTAGTTCTCTTGACCAAAATATAAACAAGGTAGAGTTGGGTTATTCCCTTATTTAAATTTCATACAGCATTCAAACCCATTGCCCAAAAGCAACGAAGGCATTGCTATAACATTAAGTTAAGCTTGATGTCGTAGGCTACGCGAAAGAACACGGTAATTGGGTAGCTGCGCCGCATTTTGGTCCACCACCAACTGAGAAAATTATAAGGACTTGGAGGAAACGTGATCAGCTAAAAGCTGCTGAACGTAGCAAACACTGTCTCCGTTAGGGGATTGTAAAGTGGCCAGAACTAGAAGAAGAATTAAAAACATGGGTGTTAGACCAAAGAAACTTGGGCATTTTAGTATCCACCAAAATGATTATTCACCATTCAAGACTGATGGCACCGAACAGAGATATTGATGATTTTAGAGGATCAACATCATGGTGCTCCAGATTTATGAGGAGAAATAACCTACGAATGAGGGCTAGAACAAGAATAGCACAAAAGATGCCTGCTGAATACAGTACGAAGATAAAATCATCGAGTTTCACAGGTGTGATTAATGCCAGAAAATAAATTATTTTTGAACTTTCACAGATGGCAAATATGGACGAAGTCCATCTGACATTCGATGTGCTATCAAACAAGACGGTAGACTCCAAAGGTGCTAAATCTGTGATTGTTAAAACATGTGGCCACGAGAGGACACACTACACAGTTGTTTTAGCATGCTGCGCTGATGGCACAAAACTGCCACCTTTTCTAGTTTTTTAAAGAAAGACATTACCTAAAGAAAGAATACCCAATGGAGTTTATGTTCATGTCCATCCAAAAGATTGGATGGACGAGGGAGGAATGAAATTGTTGATAGATAAAGTGTGGTCCAAGCGTCCTGGTGGGCTCTAAAAGGAACCTGCCTTATTAGTTTGGGACCAGTTTCGGGCTCATAGGACTGAGCTTGTTAAGAGGAAAGTTGGACAACTGAAGACTCGGTTAGCTGTAATTCCAGTCAGTTGCAGCCTTTAGATGTGTCTATCAATAAGCTATTTAAAGGATTCATGAGGGAGGAGTGGAACAAGTGGATGCAGGCTTCAGATTTTGAAGTGACACCGACAGGAAGAAGGAAGAGGCCTACTATTACACAGGTGTGTGTGGGTAAAAAGTTCATGGAATGCTGTAAAAGAAGAGGTAGTTGTGAAATCGTTTAAAAAAATGTGGCTTTATAGTATTCCACCCTAAGCTGGCCCATAAGCCCCGCCCTGCCCCGCGTCTGTAGCTACAAATAGTTAATTGGTCCCCCTGAGCGTTTTACCTCCCCCCGGACTGCGCGTATAAAAGCGCATATTTTTATCGACCTTTTATAATAAATATGAAAATTTTTCCAACATCCTCACTGAAGTGCTTATGCCTTGAAATAATTTCCCTTTTGATAATCCTGATATTTAACATTATTTTTGATATTAACAGGTCTGCTTACCAATTGTGAACACATTTAGTTTGAATTTTCTATGAACCAATCAGCTGTTGGTATAGAAGAGGGGTGGGGCCTACGGGCCAGATTAGTGTTGAAAGGGTATAGTAATGCCCTTGATGGTACTGTAGACGATTTATTGTTTGAAGAAAATATTGGTGACCCAGATCCTATTGCAAAGAATTCCAGTGATGAAGAGAGTAATATGGATGCCAGCAGTGAGAATGAGTTTTCAGGCTTTGAGGAAGCTGATTTACCTAGTTCTGAAGATGATGATTTACTAGGTTTTGTAGATGATTGAATAAACTTTGGATTTTTTTTTGTGCTGCTTGCTATGTAGTCTGATATTCACTAAATACCAGTTTCTATTAAAATGCATTAATTTTTTTTTCCTGTTGCTTGCTGTGTACTAATATTCATTGAAATATTTGCTTTGTACTGTATCTACAGTATAGGAATTCATTCACATTTATTGTACTTTGCTGCTTGCTACGTACCAGTTTTTACCGATATATTTGCTTTGTCTGCATGTACCATTATTCACTGATATCAATATATTTCTTTTTGGCTGTGGTAAATTTTATTTATTTTCCTTTCAAGGTTAGTATAATGTTACTATATATGATTTCCTACTTGATTCCAGTATATATTTACATGCACAAAATCATATTTCCCCCCCACAAAACTACTTTAAAATCACTTTCAATAATTTTATGATGAAACGTACTAAATTTTTGTTTTCCCACAAAATATCCTTGTAAAATAGGGATGCGTCTTGTACCCCGGTAAATATGGTAATTTAGTCTAACATGTACGTATTCTGTTGCAATTTAAAATTTCATAACATATGACTCGTATGAGATACTATACTAAGGATTATCAGTCTTGGTGGTACACGAGAGAAAATGGAAGATTCAGACAGACTGAAGCGGTGAGAAAACTGACGTCTCAATTGGGGACTCAATAAAGAAGTTACAGCTTCATGTTTTATGGGCCATTGAGTGTAATATGAAATGTCTGATTTTTCGTTGACTAACATGTTCAACCGTGGTCAGTACATTGACAAAAGAAAAATAGAAATGTCAATCGTTTAGATAGTCAACAGTAGCAAAGTTTACAGGTTTGTAGGGGATTTAGGATCATTTTAAGCTAGTTTGTGTATTACATGATGAAATTAAATTTCTGCCCCCCCCCCCAATATAAATTCAGTAGAAATTTAAATGGAAATATGTTTTATGAGATCATTTGTGTAAGGTTTCTTCGTATGTCTGATTATTTATTTATTTATTTTTTAATTTTTTATTTTTTTACGGGGATTAGCCCACCAGGGCACAGGTCACTGACCCACATTGGGGCCTGGGGGGCGAAAATGTAATAATAATAATATTAATAATAATAATATTAATAATAATAAATAATAGTCATAATAATTCATAATAAATAAAATTTATGATAAAACAAACAAAAATAAAATAATAAAATAATGATGATAATAATACAGTAACTGTAATACAGTGGGGTATGCTATAGCGAACGGATCCTACTACGAATATTCCTATAACGAACGGTTTTACCTATAAAATTGAGAATGCTATAACGAACGAAACTCCTACAACGAACATTATTTAAATTTTTTTTTTTTTCCTAATTTATTGTTTTTTTATTACAAATATTAATGATATTCTTTATTTCAGGGGTTTAGATGCATATTTATGCACTTTTTTACAATTTTTACAATTTTATATTATATTTTTCAGTGTTAAGTGGTTATATTTGGGGGCCTGGAACGGATTAATCCTATAACGAACGAATGCTATAACGAACAAGGTTCTGGAACCAATTAGATTCGTTATAGCATACCCCACTGTAATAATAATATTAATAATAAAGAACTATAAATACAAAAATGAAAAAAAAAGATCAAAAGTGAGAAGTGATATATGTATGTTGTGTTGTCAATAGTAAGAGAAACAATTAAGACCCTGCAATTGTGTGTAAATGGAGCAGAAAGTCAGATCAGCAACCTGGGACTTGGTCACAATTTTTGTGATGCCATATGGCAGCAAGGTCTACCATTAGACTACACATTATGCCTCCAACATCTTCCCAGGCGGTAGTACTTCCCTGTTTGGTAGCTGCCTACTACCTACTATCTGTTAATTTAATGTTTAACCAGAAGTTGTTGAATTATGTGAAATTTAGAATGCTTTCACATATGTAACATACATTACTAAGTGGGTCATTAATAGCACACTATTTATCTTCAGGATGTTAAATGCTCAGCCAACTGGATGTGGGCGGCCAAACTGCCAGGTGAGGGGTGGGCGCTGTATCAGGCATGTGAGGCCATGTGTGAGATCATGAAAGCTGTGGGTGTGGGTGTAGATGGTGGCAAGGACTCGCTGAGTATGGCAGCACGGGTTCCTGGGCAAGAAGGTGCGAGCAGCGTTGTCAAGGCTCCTGGATCCCTGGTGGTGTCTGCATATGCTCCTTGTCCTGACATCACTAAGGCAAGTAATAAAGTATCTCATTTATTTAACTTTGTATTCTCGAAGTTTCAAGGTGAATCGTCCTTCCATGAATGGAGTAGCTTAGCACATGATTCCATTACCCTTTGGCCTGGTTGAGGGGATATAGCTGTTAATTATTGTTTGTGTGCATTACTAATCATATTTTGCTCATAATCAAAGATTTCCTCTAATCAAATCATGCCAGTAATAATGAATTTGTAAAACCTTATTACAAGTGGTATCCCTGTTAGCCAGAACAATTGATGCAGAGCACTTCTGGGATAAGAGATTTACAGGTAACCAGACGACTTTCTCAATCCAGGAAAAACTCTTTTCCCCGGAATCTTTTCTGGTTACTGGAAAGTTTTTTCAGTGTGTCTAAACTACACAACCTGCACAGACATGACACTAGCCCAGATCTCCAGAACATTTGTGAGTGCTAGGGAAAGTTTTCAGAGTCTAAACTACCAGAGTCTGTAAAAACCATTCTAAAAAGTTGGAAACTCCATTTCTTTACTAGAATAATCCAGAATAAATTATCTAAAAGTTTGGTAAAATAAATACAGTAGAACCTTGGTAAATTGGACTAATTGGGGCAGACCCCAGTCCAAAAAATGCAAAAGTGTGAAAAAAGCAAATATATTGGGTGGGGGGGGTTGGAGATAACACTGCTTATCCGAACTGTTTATTGAAAATAATTTTATATGTTATTACTGCATTTCAACAACTAAGGTCTTTAACCATTAAGCCCCGGGGTAAGGTGCTGCTGGCCTTATCCCCCATACGGGGTAAATCAAGAAAAATCAACTTTGCCAAAAAATATTTTTTAACCTTTTTAAATGATAAAACAATAAAAAAGAAGTAAGAAAAACTATATATTGACCCTCTAGAAACTTCCCTGTGGCAGCAGTGGCGAGGGAGATAAGGGGACAGTGTTGTTTTGACGGCTAGCGCTCATAGTCACTATGCACTTCACGGCCATTTTCTGCTTGCCTTTGTGTCTGGATGGCCAGTAATGCATATATTTACTGATTATAATACTTATTTCCTATAAATAATTCATTTAGAATTTATTTTATTTGCATTATTTTTCATAAAAATTGCTCGGCTACACGCAGTCTGTCGCCTGGCTGTCTTTGTTTGGGAGAGCAAGTAATGCATATAAATAATTATTGGAAAAATAACTCTACAAATAAATTCATTTATAACATAACCATAGCATTATTTTCCAGTAATACTACACTATACAATACAACTACAGTACACTACTTTTAGCGTCAGAGGTTAAGGGATGCACTGAGCCCACCCACGCCTACCTTTGGCGTGACCACCAAATAGTCATGCTGGAACCTAATAGCTGGGCTTTCAAACAATGGCGCGAAAAGGCACGCGTTCCGGAATGTCAACTGGGGCGTAGGGGTTAACAATCTGCAATTGTTCTGTTTAGCGGTCTTCAACTCGCTGGGAAAATTCAGGACAGAAATCGAAAAAATGGAGACTGCTCCAAATGGGCATCTCTTAACACTGTAGTATTCTTGGCTGGTTGTGTCCTGGTATAGTAATGCACAGTATGCTGCACAACACAAATTGTATGCAAAACAACCACTAGCAAAAGTATGACCGACAATGGCATCAGAATGTTTTCTGGTTGAAATTAGGATAGTGAAGGGACTAAAAGGGCAAAAAAGGGGGAATTTGGCAGAAGTGCCAGAACGAACAGTTCCTTTAACATGTATACACGTAAATTGCATGTTCCGCGATTCAGTAGTTCCGCACTGGGTCCCCAGAACAAAGTAGTCACGAAACTCATGAGGCCACTTTACACATTTTTTTTTGTTTTTGTTTTTTGTACAACTTCTAAAATTTGGAAAGGCCCTGCTCCTGAGCTTTCCAAATTTTAGAAGTTTGACTGTATTGTCAAGCAAGCATTCCAACATATGACTATGCACTAGAGAATACTATACTTCTGTATATCCAAAGCATTTTGTGTAAGGTTTCAAATTCTAAATATGGAAAAAGTAACAATACTTTTTTCTTTTCTTTTTATTAGGACTGTACCTACCAAATTATGAAAAGTGGCATATTGATGTAGGGATTTACTGTGCTCATGTATTTAAATTACCAGATTAATTTTATCCTAAAAGTCAAATATTTGTGACTGTAGATAGTGACACCAGACATAAAGAGCCCAGGAGGAGGGGGCGAAGGCACTCTCCTGTGGGTGCGTCCTGTGCCTGCCCACGCCCGCCTGGCTGGCTCTGCCCTTGCTCAAGTGTACAGCCAGGTGGGCCATGACTGTCCAGATGTGGATGTAAATGAAATTGTGGCCTTTGTGGCTGCCTTTAACCTCATCCAGCAGTTGATTAAGGGTAAGTCTTGGCTCATAAAATTTTCATACACAGTCCTCTTGAAAATTTGAGGTTTTGTATTAAAAATAGAAGAAAAAAACATCTCATAATAGATGATTATATTTTGACAAGTAAAACAGATGTTTAGTTTGTGGCTTGAGCTAAACTGTTATTACTGTACTTATTTTTTTGTAAAGAAAATTTGTATACAGAGTACTGTACAAGTTTTCCCTGTTATTCAAAGGGGTTATGTATTAAAACATTAGTGATGAATACTGAAATGAGTAATAGCAGGAGTTTCCCCATAAGCATTGATGGAACAAGGGGATTACATTCCTATTCATGCTAACATCACTCGCATGACAAAAGGTGGGAAATTTTTCCTCCTACGAAATAATGTACCAATAAGATTGGACTATACCAAAGAATAAACAAGAAACTACTTTTATAATAATGGGAAACACACACACACACACACACACACACACACACACCCATGAAAAAACTCATGTGCACAAAATTCATGATGGCAATATAACACAGGCATACTGTACTGAATTGTGGATAAAATGCACAAAGATCTTGGTGACAATGTTTACTGGATGAAACCAAACACACTGATGCTGATGTGTTTACTACACTACAGTAAACCCTCCAGTTTGGCGACTAATTGGTGCTGAATAAACCTCGCCAAACCAGAGGACTTAATCCAATGGGAAAAGGCCTAATTGGTACTGAGGGGCCAGCCAAAGTCTCAATTTTTTCCTATTTTACCCACGTATAACCTTTATTTTATTGTTGAAAGAGAATGAATAATTAGTTAATCAACATAAACATAGAAAACCAACATTAAAGTTGATGAGCTTAATGTACACTATGCTGGTATTCGAGGCTGGGAAAGGCTGACGTCCGTCACCCCCACCCAAGCCTCCAGTCTCTCCCCTCCTCCTCCACCACTGCCTTTGCCTCCACTAGATCAAAGCCTTCAAAATAAAAGTCCTTTGGCAGGCTCAATCATATCCACAAGCTTTCTCTTATCCTCAAAGGAGTACTTTTTCATTTTCCTCCCAACTCGATACTCGTGAATTTCTTACCTTTGTTTTTACCCCCATCATTTGAACCGACTGGGTGCTCAGACGGTCTTTTACCACCACCACTATCATCCCCTCCAATACCCCCAGGTACTTTTGAGGCCATTAATCCGCGCAAAATCACCGCGCCAAGAGAGAGTGAATTAAAAAAAAAGTACACAAAGGCCAAAGTCACTCGAACAAACAGCGGGAATGTGGATTGACGTGGTCAAAATGGCTGCCTGAACATCTGACTGGTGCTTTGCGCTTGGTAAATACTTGCCAATAATACTCGCCAGCAGCATTAAGCGAGATTTATCTTGCACATATTATTCTACAATTATTAGTTGATTGCATTTCAATTTAAACTCTCGCCAAAGGTGAGGGTTTGGTCCCCAAAATGGAGGGCAGAGTACTGTGTGAAGAAGTATTTCCTTGTATTCATTCTACATGATCACTATGTCCCCTCATGTTGGTGGTGCATGACATTACAAAGAATTGTCCTGGTTTCAGGTTTTCCATCCCTTTCTGGATTTTGAATGTTTCTATGAGATCTGCCCTATTGTGCTTTGTCTGAAGGGTCGTTAGTCCTAAGGCTCTCAGTCCACGTGGATAATCAATATGACATAGTTCCAGAATCATTTTGGTCATTCTGTGTTGCATCTTTAAGGGAATTGTTAGGTCTTTCTGTGGAGGTAGGGTTTCTATGCCTGTATACACTAATTCTGAATTGGACATAAATGAGATTTGTTCAGTTGAAAAAGCCTTTTCCGATCTTTGTATGCCGAAGTGCAGTTTATAATTCCCAAATCTCTGTCCGATTTTCTCACTGCTGCCTCCACTTGTTGTTCCGCCTTCAGTGAATGGCCTTTCACAATGCCAAGATTTTTCTCCTTCTCAACATTATACAGGAAAGTGTTATCAAAATAGTTGTGATTAGGATTGTTGTACCTTACGTGTAGGATCTTGGATTTCATAATGTTAAAGAGAACTTGGTAGCCTCAAGACCATTTAAGCAGCTTGTGCAGGTCTTTCTGCATTGTTGTGACGTCATCTTATCTTGCTACCTTCCCAAATATCTTTGTGTCGTCCGCAGACTTGATAATGTGGCTTGATGTATTTTCATGTCATTTATTTGGCTAACAAAGTGGGTCCAATTCACGGTCATTTTGAGAACCTAACCCCTGTGAATTTGAAGGGCATGCTGTATTGATTTTTAATTTTTTGTTTTATTTTTTTTTTACCTTGCATATTGTAAGAAAATTTAAAACTGTGCTATCAACAACAATCTTCAAGATAAGGAGAGATGTTATTTCTGTCGACCGCACATTACTCCCCTACGTGACGTGCAAGGTGATGGTAAACTGCTACATACCTCGCATTAAATCGCTCACTACCACTAATTAAAGAATTCTTTTATACATTCTTACTTTTGTTATGTATATTCAGAACTTATTGGTTTATTGTAATAAGAGTGGTAGAAATTATTGTAGATGGTGGTAGTGGTGGACAGTCACTTGATGAACAGCTGTGAGAGGAGAACATTGACACATCTGTTGTATTTTATATTGTAGTTAAAATGTGTTTCTATCTACATTATTTCATGTTTCTTATCATTTTATCACCATTTCTGTATGAGATGTCAGCCCAAGGACCCCTAAAATTCCCAGCCAGGAATGTATCTACCCATTAATACATTATTTCTTCTAAGAAAATAAGCTTTGCATATCACAATTTCACAAGTGTTTTCAAGAACAGAACCCTAATGATAAATGGTGACTTCCTTAAGTAATAATTGACATTTAACTCATTATATTATGTTTTCCCACTTTACACCAGAGGGTTTAGTGTTAGCACTACATGATGTAAGTGATGGAGGGTTAGTGACCTGCCTGCTGGAGATGGGTGTGTCTGGCTGGTGTGGCATGAAAGTGGATGTTCCACCAGCACCTGCCCCACCAAAATCAAGCACTGACCAGGTGCCACCAACTCTTGCTGCTCTCTTCGGTGAGGAAGTGGGGTGAGTTTTATCTATCATGTCTCCACCCATTATGACGTGACCTGGGCTAAAGAACAATTTTCTGGACACTTAAGCTGATGGTGATGAGGTGTCCCAGGTCAAGGGACAGGTCAACTTTGATAAGAACAAAGTTGCTTAGTCTCTTGTCCATGTCCAGTGACCCGCGTTATACCAGTTACACCCCGAGTTATGTGCTCTTTTGATAATAAAACCAAACGGGTTATCACCACCACCATTTTATGGCCGTTTTCCACATTTTCATGGGTTAGGTACGGTCACCAGAGGGCATGTTACCATCACTCTGAAATGAGGATGGATATTCTGAGCTGATATTGTCAGCCATAATGAAGGGTGGCACTTGTTGATGTCATTTTGGGACCAGCTCACATGTTTTTCATGCCATTAGATTGTTGAAATTAATTCATATTCTGTTTTTGCTGTCCCTTGAAAAGTCATCATTTTATTCATTAGTGTCCTTCCTGATGACTAGCACAGGCTGTCTATACAAGGATGAGGCATCATCTCTAGGGACTTGGTAGAAACGAATCGGACTTTGAAGCATTAAGTTGTGCTAGTAACATCTTCCTCTACGTCACCATATATTGTTTGGGAGTGTCCAATGACTGAAATAACCAAATTATGTAATACCATTTCATTTTATTTCTCAACTTGTTAATTATGATGTGTTATTGCAACAAGTTAGGTAGAATAGAGGTACAGTAATGTGTATCCATCAGGTGGGTGTTGGAGGTGAAGAGTGACTTGAACAACAGTGTATTGGAGAGGTTCCTGAGTGCTGGAGTCCCTGGCACCTGTCTCTTGGGCACCACTAACGGTCTTGGTGCTCATGCGCAGGTAACTTATGTTGGCTTCATGGATAATCTACGTCAAAACCTAAAGTATATTCATCACAAATTTTCAAATTAATGTTCATCTTATAAAGATATAGCACATTTTAGTTGAATTAATATCTTTCAGTTTGGTTAGAAATGGTTTCTGTTGTTTAAAGTGATGTGGTGATTAAGGGGGGTGGCTACACCTGGTCCCTGAGGAGTATAGTTGCTGTCTCAGCCCCAGACCCTGATACTGTAGTTATAAGTGAGGATTACTGTGTTGCCAGGACAATAGTAAGAAGCCATTAAGGGATATTATGAAGGATAAAAATAATATAATAGATTTAAAGATGTTAGAGAAGGAAGAGGACCTGAGCATGCTTGATAAATTGTTATTTTAAGAACATACATGAAGTGAACATGAAAAACCTCTTGACAGACCAGATCTAGGAAACATTGCTGCTGCGCTGAGCAAGAAATTGCCTGTTGAAACCTGCAAATGCTTATTATTTACTGTAATATGAATACTCAAATCCATGGCTGCTAAACCCATGTTGGTGAGGGACTACTGTAATTTACCAAACAGCCAATGAATTGTTTTAAAAGTAATTAACCATTCTCTCTGCCAGATTGATATCAGGGTAGATGGTCAAAAAGCCACTTGCTTGACAGTGCTAGAGGCTGCTAGACTATGGGAGAAGACAAGTTACCATCTTGAAGCACGTCAGGCCAACCCAGATTGTGTTGAAGAGGAGTACAGCAGCCTAGTTAAACGAGCATACACCACATACCATGTCCCCTTCTCGTACAGGGATTTTGTCTTAGGTGTGTACCTGAGCTGACAAATTCAAATTGTATTTTATGACATCAAACCTAATAGATTTGATGGGTTGTGAATGAGTAGATATCCTAGTAATGAGAAGTATTTTTAGGGCATTTGGGTGTTTAGTAGATGATAGACATTTTTATTTGGGGAGCTGAAGATGGCTCCCTCAACCACTTTGGGGTCTCTGTGCTAAATAAAATTCTGGCATTAGCCAAATAAAATATGAAAAGTGGCATCCCATAATGAAAGGGTTAAGCCCATAATAATATATATAGGTATATTTTCTTAGTAATGAAAATTTAAATCTTCCCAATGAATACGCATTATTGTGTAAAAGTTAACATGGAAAATATTAATTATGCACAGGGTATATTAGAACCATTCTCTCTCTAGTAACGAACCATCGTTTTGTGATGAGGAAGATTGGTTTGTTTGATGATGTCATTGACATAATGGAATAAGGTTACCAACACAATGCCAGGAGAGTTATAGCTAGGTAAATGAAGAGCTGTCTATCTCCTTCAGCTTTGAGACTGGAAGTTGTCATCCTTGGGAGTTGGAACTGCAGTTGTGGCTTTGATAGGCAACTCTTTTTATACCCCACTTTATCAGTAGCAAAGGATTTTATCATGTTCATGCACCTGTCTATTTTGGTTTTTACATTATCTCTTGATTGCCTTAACTAATTAATATGTTGGTTACATCTACAGTAGTGTATATTGTCACAAGGTCTGGATCAGTTATGTCTTGAGTAGATGCAGTCATTCTTGTCATAAATTTTTTAAGCACCTTCTGAAGGCCCTGAATAAGATTATATTGTATGCGAGATGCTTGCTTATCTCCAAAAGGTCTCGTTTGATTGTCAAGGTGATACATTTAGCTGGTAGTTATGCAAATAGAATTTTTCCCATTTCAGTCATTTTGATTAAATTGTTTCACTAACCATCATGTTTATGTATCTTGCAGGCCCAGAGGCCAATTTGGTGAGCATACCTCGTGTGGCTGTCATACGTGAGGAGGGTACCAATGGAGACAGGGAGATGGTAGCGGCACTCCTGCAGGCTGGCTTCTGTGTACACGATGTTACCATGACTGATCTCTTGGCCAGTGGGGTCACCCTGGAGGGATTCAGAGGGGTGGTCTTCCCAGGAGGGTTCAGTTATGCAGGCGAGTCACTGTCTGTTGTGGTGTTGCCATATTTTGTTGGTCTGTCTTCTCTCTGTTGTGGTTTTTGTTTTTTAATTCCTGATTTTGATATTGGGAGATTTTTATGGTAATTAATAGATTGCTATTATTTTAATGTTTAGATAGAAAATATAATTAAAAAAAAAATTAGCACCTTTAATTGAACTTCTCAGGCATCGAGTCCCCCTGGTAAAGAACATATCTCCAGTTATATGATTATTGTAAATGTTGCCTTAGTAGTTCATAACCTTCTACTTGCTTCTAACCTCGCCTAGTTTCTTGGTACGTGCAGATATGAAATTTATATAAAGTACTGCAATGTACTGCATGTATTTCACTATGTATGTTTATATCTCCAACATTATATAATATCTACATGTATTTAGCATTCTTGATTAGAGAAGTGATAATGAAGAACTACAAGTTAATGGTAAAGTAATATCAAGTACTGTATATGCTATGCAGATGATACTTCTCTTATTACAGATAGTGAAGAGGCATTACAAAAACTTGTTAACAGATTAGTGGAAAAATGTGGTTAGAGTTAATGCTGTAAAGACCAAAGTAATGTTTTTTTCCATTGGAAACTGATGCAAGAAGGGTGTTGTCCAGTGTGACCCTACCAAACATCTTGGGTTTCCTCCAGGTACTCTGGTTTCCTCCCATACTAACACTGGATGGTAAAATTCATACTGTACAAAAGTAAAAAATAATAAATCCAACTGCCTGAACGGGTAGTAAGATAAGCGTGAAATGAGGAATTACGTACTCGAAAGTAGAAGAGTTACAGGAATACCTTGCTATACATTGGACATGTGTTTTTGAAAAGTGAAACATTAAGGGAAACAATGTACCGTACTACCTTGATAACTCGGCATGTATGGGGCTCTGACCTTGCCGAATTGTCCCAAATTCCGACTTACTGAGGCCCCTCCCCTACAAAAATACAACCATAGAAAATGATCAGCCCATATATGTGTACTGTACATGCAATAACTAATTTTCAAAAGTAACACATACCAGCACTGCAGGTGAAGAATGAAGCATTGTAGTAGGGGAGAGGCATGGTATGTGATGTAGGGGAATGGTAGGTGAGGCAGGAAAATAGTAGGAGAATGTATGTGAGTACTACTGAAATTTGGTCACTTATACAAAATAATTAATACATTTTAACAAAAATAATTTTCTCTGTATAATTTAAGTCTGAGTATGTAAATAAACATGTAACTTATATCACTAAGGATATTATAGTCCACCCTATTAAAACCGTTTTCTTGATTACAGAGCAAAATGGTAAAAATTTAAATAATCTAATATGGCTTAGAGATGAAGAAAATATAATGTAAAATGATAAAATAAACAAAATGTAGAGCAGGGGTTCTCAACCAGGGGGGAATTTCCCCCCTCAGGTTTTCAGGAGGGGGGGGGGGGGAACTGATACTAATATGGAAAAAATAAAGGATTTTCAGCATTATATGCATATTATTTGGAATGCACTTTTTGAGGCAGACAATCTTGGAAAGGAGGGGGAATGACATTCTGACATATGGTGAAAGGGGTGCATGGGGCAAACAAGGTTGAGAACCACTGATGTAGAGCATAGGTGTGTGTGGGAGGTGAATGTATTTGAAGGCAGTGAGCTGTACTCTGGCTGACTCACCCGCCTTCCTCCCTCCCACGTGATGTCACGGCACACATACACGCACACGTCTCGGTCAGCTGTTTGATTGTCTGGCTGAACTGTGGCGTCACATAGATGATGGTTTCAGTGTGGAAGGAGCTTTTTTTTTTTTACAAAATATGTGCTATTGTATTTTATGATATGCTATGTGGTCATAGCGCTGGTGTCAGACACGTGAATAAATGACTTCAGTTGCTCTCAGATTATGGGACTAAATTAGAATTTTTACCAAACGGGACAAAGTTGGGATACCTGGAAGATTCAGATAGTTGGAATGCAGATAAAATAAATTGCACTGTAAATGAAGTAAAGTCTATGATATTGGATTTACCTGAATAGAGGAGACATTCTGCATACAGTGGCTGGCCTGACGTGAATGGAGGAGGTTGTTGGGTGTTACTAGGTCAGTACTGCAGGAACCAAATATTACCAGGGAGTGCTGACTATTAATTCTGGTGCCCTAGATACTCTGTGGTGCAATATATAGTGTAGTACTTTATACCCAAAATATTGGGGTGCTACAGCACCTTCCCTTCCCACGTCCATGTACTTGGTGGAGTGAGTCGGCACCACCCGACCACAACAATAACAAACACCAGACTGACCAAGTGTGGAGTGCAGCACAGCAAGTGTTACCCAAGTGGCCAAATATGCGGAGATTTTCCCAGATAATTTTATATAACTCGGCATTTCCCCGAGTTATTGTATAATGAATTCCGAGATATCATATGTCGAGTTATCAAGGGTTTACTGTATAATGAATACAAGTTTACCATAGACCTAATGATATAAAATTTTGTTTTGTTCCTGAGGTATGTTTCTGGTCAAAAATTTTGGTGTAGACACTGTAACTACGTAATATATTTTAAGTTAAAATAAATGTTTAGATGTAAAAGATATGTCAATAAAATAATATTTACCCAATTCGGTTAAGGAAACTTCATGTAGATGCTGGCTCGTAGAGTTGTTGAGATGAAGCAGCAATAATGACTGCTTCTTCATTTAAGGAATTAGGTTTAAAATACAGTATTGGTCAAAAGACCACTTGTTTGTACAGCTGCGTGTAGCAGTTAGTCTCGTGTGTGGCAGGTCGCCAAGTTGGAATGTGGCAGCTGCTGTTCAGCTGTAAATTAAGAATATTTGACTAAATTTTAAAAAAAAGTAGTAATAGAGGTAAATGTGAATTTATGTTTGTGAATTATTGCTACTCTACTCAACCTGTAAATCTGAGTGGCAAATATTTGTTCTTTTCAGTACATAATGATCATAAAATTGTATTATATTTTTCCAGATGTCTTAGGGTCAGCAGTAGGTTGGGTCAGTGTGATTAAAGGATGTTCAAGTATGCTGGCAGCATTAGAGGCATGGAGAAGCAAACCTACCAGTTTCTCTCTGGGTGTGTGTAATGGCTGTCAATTGATGGCCCTCCTAGGCTGGCTTGATCCATCCTGCCACCATAGTAAGTTGTGTATCTCAGTCAGTGGCATTCCTAGACTGGCTTTACCCACATTTCCACATAGATTAGTTTCTTCATTTTTGCTGCATGTCATAATGTAGATTTTAGTTATGTATTTTGTACAGGGGTACCCATTATTTGTAGAGGATACATACAAAATTATAATTATAGATGAATACTGAAGCAACTGATGGTAGGGAATTTCCCCCATAAGAATTAACAGAATAAGAGGGGATTACATTCCTATTTGTCGCAAATCACTTGCTGGACAAAAAAAAGGGGGAATTTAATACATGATTAATGCCTTGTGCATGGCATTTCTTAGGAAATGTCCTGCACATTACAAGAATTACTGTATGTTCTGGTTCACCAGGCAGTAGTCAGTCTTCAGAGATATCTGGTTATAGACTCCAAAAGAAAGCAGGATTTGAGGAATCAGTCCTTCATTTTTTTTTTTTTTTCTGGTGGCCATTAATACTTGTATCATAAAGTGTGACCAGTATGTGAAATGTTTAGGTGCTTGAACAGTTTCTTAATTTTTGTTAAGAGTTATATTATATCTTTTCATCACATCCATGTAACTTGGTGTCATGTGCAAGATACCTTGACTGGATGATTGGATATTCATCAGACTCGCACAACAGGTACTACCGGTACATGCAAAATTTAAGACGAGATTAACCTTTGAAAGTCAAGGGCAAAAGCCATAAATTCTAAATATATTTGCAGTATGCCTATGTACAGTACAAGATATGCCAAGACTTGGGAAAACAGATATTTACCACACAGACACACACACACACACACACACACACACACACACACACACACACACACACACACACACATACACACACACACACACACACATACACACACACACACATACACACACACACACACACAAAACAGATACTACATAAAACTTTCTAGATCTTAACAGCTTTTGAAGGTCATATGTCAGAGGTCATTATTACCAAAGCTTTTTTTCTTTCTCTCTCCAGCAAATTTGTTACTATACTTAGTGGGATTCTATTTGACATGATCATCAAATCAGAGGAAGAAGTTAAAACTATCTTATGTAATGTACAGGTATACAGGTAGACTCTTGTTTTACAAATCTTCAGTTTACAAAAATTTGAAGTTAAAAAAAATTACAATTTAACCTGGGCTTTGATTTACAAACAGATACCCATAAGTTATAAAGAAAAAAATTGTTAGTGTACGTAGTAATTTTTCTCAAGTTATGAAAATTTGGAGAAATAATGTTTTCTGTCTCTGTTTACCAGTATACTTATTTATTGTTGGTTTTACCATTTTGAATTGGTGGAAAGAATAAAGTAATAAAAGCCCAACATACAGAGAAACAAACCAGTACTGTACAATCCTGTAAATGGCACTTACATTTTCTTAAGTGTGCATGTCTTGGGTGTTTTGTATGTACAGGTAGCCTTCATTTGTGTACAGTATTTTATACTTTCCTTGCATATTCCCAGTGCCGGATTAACCATGAGGCACTGGCCTCAGGCCCCCCGACTCTAAGGGGCCCCCAAATCCAAACATTCTCGAAGTTTGAGCATATAAAACATGAACTTCGTTCAACGATGTCCTAATAAAGTCTCAATTTTCTGTCTCTTGTGAACATTAAATGTGTTATTTTGCAGAAGCTTAATATTGATGAAATCCTTGATAAAATTGGGTATATTTTGTTCGTTATTTATATACACCTTGAGGGTAGGGGGCCCCAAGTTGATCTGTGCCTCAGGCCCCTATTAAGCTTAATCCGGCCCTGCATATTCCTTATATTTTCTTTCACTTTTTATTTATTAGACAGGTAATATATTTGTTATAGGTTTTGGCTCTGTGTTTCCTTCTGTTCAGTTTACAATCTCATCTGTTTTTTTAACAATGAAATTGTTACTGTACTGTACTGCATGTATTTAGCTTATGTTCTCCTTCCTTCCCTCATTGGAACATATCTTGGCTTTCATAATGGGAAAATCAGGGTTATGCATGTAGTTAAATAGTTGTAACATGTGTAGTTTACACTAACTAATTATCAGTGCTTCTCACAGGAGATAGGTCACCAGCAGTTCGTCTGACCCACAATACTTCAGGACGCTTTGAATCTCGGTGGTCCCGAGTTCAAATTGAAACATCAAACTCTGTGCTACTGAAAGGCATGCAGGGAGCAAGACTAGGAGTGTGGGTGGCCCATGGAGAAGGTGGGTCAATGAATATTGAAAATGTTCCAAGAATCATTTTATTTATAATATATTCAAGCAAAGTACAGTAGTTTTAACTGGTCTCTCCAAACATAGGGCTGTATTCACAGTCCTGACCGATGGTGAGCACGACCATCAGGAACCCAACACTCGTGTAGGGAGAGGTCATTCACGAATGTGCTTCAGGCACTATGATGGGTCGAGATCCCGATCAACCGGGCAGGGCTACCAGCATTTCCAAGTCGACTTCAGATGCATAGTGTTGATGTACAGTATATGAGTCAGTTTAAACATGTCATTGGTCAAATTTCCTGTGACTAGTGTCAGGTGTACATAATGATACATTCGATTTTACTGTAGGTCGCTTCATTTACCGAACCGAAGAAGTCCTGCCTGCACTGAAATCTGCTGGCAGTGTCGCCCTCTGCTACTTAGATGACCAAGACCAACCCACCCAGCAGTACCCCTTCAACCCTAATGGCTCACAAGGTAAATTGACTTGATTTGGATATGATCAATGAAATTCTTCCCTAGTAGTGTGGTAGAGCAGCTGCACCCAGTATGAGTATACTGTAGTTTAATTGAAAAAGAAATCAAGATCTTGGAATCATCATTTCTACTTCATTCTGTTCTCTACCTTCCCTTACAGATCCACCTAACTTTGAATTACCATTGTTGCTATCTTGCTTTCATGGCATACTTCATTGATATATTCCAAGGTGACTCGGTACAGTTGCTAAAACTATTCAGTGATCAGCCTCTCTTATCCAAGTTATCACCATTAAGGTTTTACTTCCATTTTCCACCCTTGCATAGGTTATCTGAAGGCACTTCTTCAGACTGCATGATCAATAACAACCTTCACAGTCAAAACTTTTGTATCTATACCCTCTTGTCCTCCATTCTTTCGTTGTGCCCGAGCTTATTACTATAGTACTCTAGGTATTGATACAAATGTACCTTATTAGTCCCCTCATATTTACATAAAAAATATACTAACTGGTCATATTTTAAGTAAATCTATACCCAATTAATTTATCATGAAGCCTCTGGATTGGACCATTGTTTTAACAAATTCTGATCGTATTTAACAGCTAACAGCCTTTGAACACAAGATGGGGGGAATCTCTTGGACATCTTCATGTACTTACCCAAGAATCATGTGAATAGTTTATTAAGTACAAGAATTAAAGACTGGGTAGAATCATCATTACCTGTATATCATCTGCCATTACACAGCAGCTTGACTCTTGTATGTTTTTCCTCTACCATTCTATTCTTACACAGTTCCAGACCCTAACCCCATCTGTCATATACAGTGGTCCCTCGGTTAACGAACATAATTCGTTCCAGAAGGTCGTTCATTAACCGAAAATTTTGTTAACCGAATCCATTGTTTCAATGGAATATTGGTTCCAGCTCACTGAAAAATACATACAAAGTATAAAAAAAAAATGCAGTAAAGTACACTTACTTTGAGGTGTGTATGTAGAAGGCTCCTCGTTGATGAAGATGATGGGAATTAGAAGTGGGGGTGGAGAAGGGAGAAAAGAAGGAAGTGGTATGGAGGAAAAATTGCCTTCAGTGGACCCATTCTTGATGCCTCATTTCACCAATAAAATTTTAAGTTCACTTGGTGTAATTCAAGATTATTTTCTTTCAATCAATACTGCACTGCTATATATTATCAATATGTTAACTAAAGTTCAGAATGACCAATAATTTAAATTAAAAACGCAAAAATATTCAAGACGCCAACAAAATAGGTGATCTCTCCACAGAAAACAAAGCCAGACTGACGCCTGGTGACTGACCCACGCATCTGATGGGTGCACAACTAACTAGTTCCCTGTACTGCATATATTATCAATATGTTAAATAAATGTTAAAATTACAATAATTTTAATATAAAACATTAAAAAATTCAAATTTATTGATATTTAATTCATTGGAAACGAATTTAAACTTAGAACAGATTACTGAATTGGCAGACTGGGCCATCAGCTGACCAGCTGATGCTCACAACAAAACGTGATATTCGTAAGGATTTCGTTAATCAAATTTTTGTTCGTTAACCGAATTGAAGATTCTTATGGAAGGTAATTCGTTAACCGAGGGACCACTGTACTTGTAATACAATAGTACTCCTTTGTTCTGTGATGTTTGCTATTAATTTGGTTTTACATTTCTACTTCCATTTTCCTTTGAACATCTACCGGGTATTCATTCATTATGGCATGTTTTTATTTTATACTGTGTAGATGGCGTGGCTGGTGTGACATCTCCCTGTGGGAGGCACTTAGCCCTCATGCCTCATCCTGAGAGATGTGTCCTCACCTGGCAGTGGCCTTACCTTGCCCCGCCCCTCTTCACACAACCCCCAGCTCAAAGGCTCACTGCCCCATGGAGCAAGCTCTTCCAGAATGCTTTTGACTGGTGTTTGGAAAACCCTTAGTTATAACAGGACCTTTGTTTGAAAACCCATAACTGTAAAAGAACCCTACTGGAAAATGTTAAATGTTATAATAGGATAGCATCTATAAGACTTGGAACTAATAAGAAAATGTATAGTTGCAGAAATAACTCAAACAAACAGATAAGAAATTGTGGTATTACCCAACTTGAAAGGTGTAGTAATGGAGGGGTCTCTTGTAAGACATGGATCTCAATGACTTGGAATATTGGTAGCAAGATATAGCAGGAAAACATTATCTGAATGTTACTACATATACTGTAATATATTGTATAGTAGTTTAATTAGATGGAAGCAGCCTTGTTAAAGTTTATCCCTAAAATTCAACTTGTTTAAAGTTATAATTTTAAGCATTTTCCCACTGCAGTATACAGTATATCATTTGAAATATATTACGAAATATGAAATTATGTTCACAAATAACATTTAATAAAATGGTTGGAAGATACTGTATGCTTTCATCTAAAAACCTCAAAACTTATATTTTTAATGATATTTGCCGCAATATCTGGGATGGCAATCCTCCAAGAATGGTAAGCTTAGCCCAATGTATTCAATTGGTTAGTGCCCACCACCATTGAATAACACCCTGTAAACCGTTTGTAGCTGTAGGGATGCAGTCGATACAATTTGGCTTTTGTCCATCCAATTTTGACGGCTAGTTTGTCAAGACGCCATGGAATATTTGTTGTGATATAATGATACTATAGCTGACACAAGGCCAGATTGCTGTCTAGTCACAGGAGAGCAAGGACTCAGTGCTGTAGTATAAAGGTCAGACATTGATCAACATTTAAAGGTCTTTAAATATCATTCCTACAGTAAGTTCTCAGTTAATGTTGTGGTTACATTCTTGTAAACAGCATGTTATGTGAAACTTAAGAAACAGGTTACATTCCTAGCCTTTCTTCACCCTCATAACATGCATCACAATTAAGACACTGTAAGCATGATCGTAAAAATCTTTAGGAATATTTTGCAGTACAGTACATATTGATATAAACTACAATAAATTTTAATTAATATTTAGTTTGATAAACAGTACTGTATTGTACTCGCTGATGCCCAAAGGTGAAACAAATGAGTGGTCGGAGGGCAGCAGTGGTGACTTAAAACAAATATCTTCACTGTAAAACTGATGCTTCTCCATTGCTTTTTGCAACTAGCAGTACTAACTATCATTTGCTGGTCATTTTGAAGTCATATCAATGGGCAAAGTAGAGCAAAACATCATAAACAAGTTGTAGGTTAGGTAAGGTACAGAGCACGTGATGGCATCCACACTGAAGAGGCATAAGCGAGACTGATGCTTTGCGGTGGTTGTACAACATCACTTGGCAGGCGAAGGATAGTGTTGTGCAGAGCAAAGTAGTACTGTCTGACTGACAACATAATTGTAATAACGATTCTACGCGACATTATCGACATAGTAACGAAACACCGTTAAGCAAAGATGCATTCCTGAAAAACTGACTGTTTAGCAAAACGATTGCTGAGTGAGGGAGAACTAGAAATAACCTAAATGAGGAATAATATCCGTGGAGAAGTCATGTAATCGTGTAACCAAGTTGCTGACTCGCCACCCAGTAGCAGTCAGAGCAGGCGAGGCTGAACTGTGAGCTACGTTATTGTTCAACTCGTAATTTCAGGTAAATATACGTAATATTCATTTTCTTTTACTCTTGTTACGTGCACACACAATCGTTCATACAGAATGTGTAATAAAAAAAGTTATCAGGTCAAAAACAAGGATAATAAACATTCCTTACGTGCACGGCAGTTAGCTCGCAGAGCGGGAAGGGGAGGGGGGGATGAGTGTGGGGATCTCTCGGCTGTTCTCGGTCTTGTGTCCTGTGAAATACTTGCAAAATGGCAATGCAGTATTTTTTTTTTTTGCCCTCACATTTACTGGTACAGTATACACGTGACAGTTTATCTGGACAGTCATCAAGCAGACTCGAGAGACCTGTGTGGCTGCTGCCTGTATGCCATGACATCACTGGAAGTAGGGAGAAAGTGGCTGGCCACAGGCCCGGTCACGACTCATGACGCGTGCTTTGTTGCGGACTCCCAACCCGAGTGGTGATACAGAGGGCGGTGTGGGGGTGTGTGGGTGGTATTGGAGGAGTGGGGGTAGTGTTGGAGGGTATGTGTATGATGATGGGGTGTATGGGCAGTGATTGAGTAGATGGGTGGTGGTATGTGGTATTGGAGGGGGTGTGGGTGGTATTGGGGGGTGATGTGTGGGTGGTGTTGGGGTGTGTGTGTGCATGCATGCGTGTGGGTGGGTGATGATGTGGTGACTGTAGGAAACCTTATGTATAGATAATTTCTGCTGTGTATTTAGGGAGTCCTGAATGGGGTCTGGCTTATACTATACAGATGGGCAAAGGATGGTTTAATATGTTTATAAGCCCCTCAGATGACTTCACTCAATCAAGGGCTTGTATCTGGAGTGAGCAGATGTCCACCCCCTATAGACGTCACAGCCTTGGATTTAAGAAACCTTAAGTATGGAAAATTGTCAGAGCTAAGAATTGTGAACGCTTGGAATTATCTGCCTGACAGTATACCAAATGTGAATTAAATTAAAAACAGACTTGGCCAACACTGGTGCAGGACATATACATTCTGGCACTAGTACTTGCCAACAGTGTGTAACAGAGAAATGAACCACTGCTCAATGAGCTAGTGTTGATCAGTGGCAAAAAAGTAGTAGTAGTAGATTGAGTAGTCCTTTTCTTAAGTTTCCATCTCTTGATCCAGCAACACACAAGTGGGAAAGTAGGTAAGATTGTGGATAATATATAAGATTATGAATTCTTCAGGTTTAATTCAAAGGTTTTAGAAAGGATTTTATACAATAATTTTTTTGTTACTTTTATTTCACAGCTTCAAACATTTTATTGCAAACTTCAAATAGTTCTCTGTCCATCAGTAAGTGCAGTCAAAAACAAAAATTTTTAAATGTTTTAAACTTAAAAGGTGACCTTGACTTACACCCAGAATTACTGATATACTGATTAAAACTACACACACCTCTGACACTAAGAATCTTTCATATACTGTAGTTCAAATTTTTAAGTTGCACCCTTTCCTTCCAATATAATAAAGTATCTGATGACTTTTGAAAAAGAATAATATAATGAGCACTAACTCAATTCTCACATACAAATATTCCCATCCCTACATGCCAAATTGAGGCCGTGGCTGCATTTTGTCCATATACAGATGAGGATTGTGTGTTACTTCTGGTTCACGGCCGAGGGTGTCTGTGAAATCTAAGTCCAAGTCCTGGCCGGTTAGTGCCTGAACATGGGCATTAGATTTTGGCAAGAAGCCTAGGTGACCTATCTCGGGCCAGGAAGCCTGTAAATAAAAATAATAAAATAAAATAAAAATGTAACCGTAATGGTTTATACTAAACAATTCACTATACAGTTCATGTACTGTAGGGGTATCTGTATACAGTATGGTGAAAATATAAACCTTACGAGTTAAATTACACAAGTACGTACTGTAGTAGTAGCTTAAAATATAGCGTACTGTACTACTAAAACTACAAAATTTGGGATCAGACCAAAAAATTAAGCAAAAGGATAAAAGGTTTACTTATATAACACAAGCCAGAAATGTACAGCATTCTGGTACACAATGGAAAAACAAATGAGAACTGTAAAAAGATATGGGGGGAGGGAGAGAATACATCACAACTTGCTGTTTTTGACTGACCCAGCTCCATGCCGTACAGATTCAGAGGTAATACTGGATGATGGTTGTGCACATTAACTAGCAAACAATGAATTTTTCTCAGGAAGACAAATGCTTTCTTTCCTCATTAAAAAAAATGGGTAGAAATGGACTAAATCAAAGGAAAAACCCCGTGAGAGGGGAAAAAGTAAATAAGCATAAGAAGGCACTAGGATGAGGCTGAATTATCATGTCAAAATGATCTACACACTTTGTACCTTAAAATTGCACACAAAGTATAAAAAGTGAATCTTTCCTCTCCACATGCATCACAATGTTTCAAAGCAATTCACTGTCCATACTGACGTTAAATCATATAAAAAAAAAAAATTAATTTTACTGAATTTTTCTAGTTTTAAACTTCAGAAAAATTACATAAAGTACTGTATGTACAAACAACTTTAAAGGATGAGAGAATAAACTTACAGCAGCTCTCTCATGTCGAAGATGTGTTGCAAAACCGATTCCAAAAGCTCTACTGGCAGATGTCATTCTAAATTCACCCTGACGCTTGTAGTACGACCGTTCTGAGGCCTCAAGGGGATGTGCTGCTGATGTAGCAGGGGCACGACGCAGCATGCCCATTTCTGACCCATAGTCCGCCTCTTGTGTCACCATAGGGCTAACTGTTATACTTGGTGGAAGAGCCTAGAAACAATTAAGCCAATATCATCAAGAAATATGCATCTTACCTTAGAACTTTAAAAAACACATACAATACAGGGTACCTTTGTTATTCAAAGCAGTAAAAACTATAGAACAAATAATACACTACAGGTACAGTAATCATAAATTCTTTAGAGGGAAAATTAGCAAAAGCACAGTAACCTGCTGTAAACATTTCCATTTATGCAATCTAACAGTCCTAGATAACTTAAACTCCCAAAGGATAATTTTTAGCTAGTCCATGACGGTTACTGAAACCAATGGCACCTATTCTTTTATTCATATAGCTACCAATAACCTGTTTGATAGATTGTGGTAATTACATCCCTGGTGATGTAACATCTTAGGTCATATGTTGCCGAATTCAAAATAAAAGCTAAAAAAAATCAGGAACATATTCAGTAAAATTCTGAGAAAACTTCCGGCAATTAGTTCCAAATTTTTTACTGCTCTCGAAGCAAATTCCAATGATGAAATAATGCATAATTCTGTAAAATTCCAGAAACATACTCCAATTTTTTCCTAATTCATAAAAGAATTGAGTCCCCATCATTATCTTGTGTCAAAATATTTTGTTTAAGGATCATTTATTGAAACTGTCTTGTAGAGGATTTATTCACTCTCATTATTGTACTAAATTTATCTCTCTAACACAAATAGAACAGATACTGTGAATAAAAGTTTATACACCTTTCTACAAGCTGTAAATATTTTTGTTCTTCCCTGCAGTCTAAATGTAATTTAGTGTTAGTCCGTGGAAGATAAGATGCGTAGTTTAGACTCGCTTTGAATCTTGGAAAACTTCCCCAAAATCATTCCAGGAATGTGCTATAGTGTCTGTCCATGAGAGATTTGTAGTTTAGACTCTTGGAAAACTTTTCCCAGTACTGTACATGGAAAACTATTGGGAATGTGTGATTTTTTCCGGGCCTGAGTCATCTCATTACCCGGAAGAGCTCTGCACCAATTACTCCGGCTAACGGGGACATCACTGTACATTGGGTATTTTGTATGCCCCTTTTCACGCCTCAAGCAAGACTCTCTGCTAGACAAGTGTCCTGTTTATTCTCCTTGGTGCTTAATAATACAAGGTATACTATACTGTACTAAATAAAGATATTATTTCCCAAAGACAACACAAGTTTACCATCCTTTCATTATGAGCCAAATCAACCTCACTTGTTTAAAGCATCACTTTGCTGTGACTACCTTAAAGATTGCATGCGATACATCAGAGGAATGACTTACGAGATACAGCTACAATACATGTATACTATTTAAAAAAACAAGAGCTATCCTAACTAAATCTATCCAAACCTGTTAGTTAGGTAAGGTTAGGTTGGAATAATTTAAGTTAGGTTATCACCCGAAGGAACTTGGAATTGCACTAAAATTTCATGATATAATTTGGAGAGCCTACAGTACCTGACCTAACCTACTTAACAGAACCAGATGTAACCTACCTAATTTCTTAACCAAGGGCAGACTCCCATCATAAAATCGTTTAGCAGCAGCATGAACTTAAGCTTAATAATGAGGCTACTTGTTAAACTGAAACAAATAATGTTGACTGAATGTCACTTCCCGGTCACATTTTGGACACTTGCACGTCCTTCCAAGAAGTCAGTGATCACATACTCATTTAGTCTTTAACATGGTCTTGAACCTCAACAAGCGCAGATGACTTATGATATCTTATGGATTTTCCAGTAGAAGACGCCATAATTGCGTTCATGAGCCAATGCATACCCTTGTGCAATATCAATAACAATCGGAACAAAGTTAACTTCGAATCCAATGCAACTCTAAATTAAAATGTAAGGTATCTAAACCCCTAATATGGAATTCATTCTCAACCATATGATGCTGATCCTGTTTTGTACATGTTGAAAAGGCTGGATTCATTCTCTTATACAGTATCTTATAAGCGGACCAGCACAACAGTCACCACAGGAGAATTGACACCCCCATATTTACACTAATAATTAATTTATTTCTTCGCCTACAAAATATGTCGAGACATTTATTACTACCATATGATCATTTTTTCGCCATGTTTCACCCCATAATTTCTCTCTTTTTTTCAAGCCCAGCCGGCTAAAGGTACTTTATGATCAAAGGGTGGAAGAAAAAACAAAAACTTAAAATTCAAGGAAAAAGTTTTTATATTACTTTCTATAATCCAAATAAGCCAAGTCTGGTGATAAGAATTTCCTCCACTATTACCTAGGTTAGGTTAGGTAAGGTAAGTTGGGGTGGGGTTGGGTTCGGTTAGGTAAGGTAAGTTGAGGTTAGTTTAGAGTAGGGTTAGGACAGGTAAGCTTAGATAGAAGGTTAAGTTAGGTTAGGTTAATATTTGTAACTGCTGCAATTTACTGTCGAGAGGTTGCACATTTTAACACTGCCGAGAACAGGGAGAGAAAAACGAACCCTAAAAATATGATGAAATATTATATTTTACACAGTTTAACCCCACATTGTCCCTCTCTCTTCAATACCCTTCCCACTTAAGAGGATTATTGATACTGAAGGAGAAATGGGCCATTAGCAAGGAGGTTGAATGAAGGGAGGCGGCACCAGCTGCCTCAAGTGAAGTCACCGAGTGTGACTGATGCCTTTACCAATATGGCAGTGCGTTTCTCTCAATGACTTCATCCTCCTTGGGTGATCCCTCTATAATGTGCATAATAAATAGAACAATAGTATATATCCTGCAGAGTTATCTGTAACCAACGTTCATTCGTAAGTAGCTGCGGCAGCTGTGGCCTTGTTGCCTTGACCAAGATGGCGGCCTGGCTGCATGTGCCTCCGTTACATACACAGCCAACACTACCTCCATCCATTCAACCTCCTTGGCCATTAGCACAAGAGACAGTTACCAACAGTGAAAAAACAGCATTAAAAATGGCAATGTATGAGAACACTGCTACCACCACAAGTTGTTTGATTTTGTTAATTTTTTCCACAGGTATTCTTATCACTAGAAGCGACATTTACGAGAACCTGACCTAACCAAACAAAGAAACCTACCTAACCTTACCTAACTTCCTAGCAGTACTTATTTTGATTTCTGGTACCAATGAAAGCAACTTTGTTGAAGATTTAAAGTGTAAATTTACATTTTTTCAGAACAAGAGAGTACGCTCGGACCGAGCGAGTCGGTTGTAAACAAACAGTAGACAACAACATGCGCTGACTCTGCAGATTTTGGGGAGGAGTATTTATAAAAAAATAATTAACTTCTTCACATACAAAGCACATAGAGACATCATTAGAGCGTCATATGAATAGTTTTCACTACGTATCATACTCCACAATTTCCCTTATCCTTCATAACCTGCCCACTACAGGTGATTTATGATGATAGATAGAAAACTACCAAAAAATACTGAAAATTACAATAAAAAGGGCAAAATCTTTGGTTTCACTACCAATTCATTTTTATCAGAATTCATGGCATTTGGTGTTTCATTCGAATTTGGGTATTATTTTTGTTTGTCATCCGGGGAATCTTAGGAATTTAAGTATTGAAATCAATAGTTTAGACAATTCCAAGACACTTTTCTTCTATAACGTTTCCCCCACAAATGACTTACACATGCCGTGGGGGGCTCTTCCCCCCTCCCACTAGTTAGGAGATCAGGTCAGGTTATTTGCGAGGGAAATTTCAAAGAAAAGTGTCTTAGAACTGTCTAAACTACTGATTTCAAAAGTTATATTCCTAAGATGACCAAAACTAAAACTTTATCCGAACTTTACCTTCATGGGGGACCCATGGAAATTCTGGAGTTTTGAGTGGAGGAGAAGACAAACAAAATCTAACCTAACTTAACCTATCCAAACCTAACCTAACCTAGCCTAGCCTAACCTAAACCTAGTGGTAAAATTGCATATTCACTACCAATTGGTTTTTAACCAGAAATCTAGGTTTGGTCACTTATAGCGTTGTGCACCGTTTTTCTGTTATTAGAAATGTGTTAAAAAATCACCAAAATTCATCCTAACCAGGGTAGGTTAGGTTAGGTTTGACAGAACGGTGCACTAATATAAAAAGAACCTAGGTTTTCCCCATGGTATTTGATGTTATTCATCCATATTTGACCTTTATTTCCGTCGGAAATGAATAATTTTTTAGAAATAAAAAAATGCTCTAACCCAATTGGGAATGAAACTGCAATACCATAAAAATTTCACCTTTTAAAATACTAACTATAATGATAAGAACATCTGTGGAAAAAAAGAACGAAATCGAACAACTTCTTCTGGTGGTAGCGGTGTTCTCATAAATTACCTTTAAAATCACCTCTACAATAAACCCAGTGTCATGCTGGGTCGAGGAGCTGGTGTTTCTTATAACTACTGTACAATATATCCAATTGGTTTTAAGATTTAATTGAAATATTAAAAATACCGTTTACATTTTTTCTTGGTGAAACTGTGTCTTTAGAGAATGTCCGGGAAATGTGAATAAGAACTTAGAGTTAAAGGATGAATGACAATCCAAATTTAGTTTACCCATAACCGAACCAAGAGTCAATGTTGCACTTCACCATTTTTTCCTATCTATATTACGTCTTCAATGTATTTCATTAAGCCTTTCTATATCATCCTGCTAATCATTAGTACTAGTTAACACAATTTTACTCCAAACTATGGGAGAAACTCACCATTATAGCGAGAAAGGACTTCAGTCACTGGCTGGTCTCACTCACTTGTGCCTCGTCAACAACACGGAGGCGTCCGGCGGTCCGAGTTCCTCACTTCACACCAACTCTAATTTATCATAAATTTTAAATATCTTAACCATTACAGTCACTTTCTTCTTAAATGTATCAAATATATTAATATATAAGGTGATTTATTAGTAATATTTAAAAGGAAATAACAATTTTAGTTGATTTTATTTGTACAGTACTGTTGAATTTCATTTCTCGTCCATGACTTGGGATTAACATTACTGCAGCATTATTATACCTATCTAGCTTTCTCTATAAGTTTGTATTAAAGTGTATTTCATAACATTCAATGAACTTCATAAAAATCAGCGTTTTCAACCACAAATAATACAAACATGCCAGTAAAGAAACTTTATTTCATAAAATCCATAATTATTAGACTGTTCATGTGTGTTTCTTCTGTAAGAAAACAATAAGTATTTAAAGTTATTTATAAGAAGTATTTTCAGTATACATATGCTGAACTATAATTTATATTAACATTAAAAGATATGTAATTCCCTATTCGGAAAAAAAATCACTTTAATGCATTTTACAGAGTGAATAACTTTAACTGCTTCACCTGTACAGTGTATCGTCTTGAGAATAAACTTAGACAACAACACTAACAGTTGATATCCACCCCTTTAGTAATGTATTAATATTATAAAAGAAAATGACCAGGTTGGTGTTGATGGCGACTGGTGGAAGCTGTAGCTGAGTTACGCCAGACCAGACTAGACCACCACACACCTTTCCCTCACACTCCAGTTTTTGGCCATACTATGGAGTCAGACACTCCCAACCTGCCAATTTTCGGCAAGGTAAGTAACCACTGTAACTTTAATATGAGGAAATGGGCAATAAATTGGCCTAGAGCCTTAGCTAAAGAGCATTGACCTCCTCAAGCCCTGACAATAAAATCCCTATGTAGCTTTCCCTCACAAGCTGAGGGTTACCTCGTGCCCAGCCAAGCACTGTATTATGCTTCATGGCAAATATATTACATTAATTGTGTTTCCTTTGACTTTAGATTAGACATTGGGACCAGGACAAGAGATGTGTTCCCCATATTGTGGTACCAGTTCTTTGTGTGAAATTTAAATGATCTGTTTTATTCAGAACAAATTGATTAATAGAACCACAATTTGTTGTTAATATCCTAAGTGATTTCCTTATAATATGATTTTATGGTAAATATTTCCTTGTGCCTACTTACCATTCATATTTCAGCTCATCTTACAGAACAAAGTGTAAAATGAAGGCCACTACCCCTTGACCTGTTTAATTTAACATTTCACCACATATCAGCTTTCTGGCCATTTAGGCAGCCGTTCTCTTTTTAGTTACTTCATGAACTTTATTGTCCAGTGTTAATTGAGGAGGAAACCAGAGTACACGGAGGAAACGTGTGATGTTTGGTGGTGACACACGGGACAATGCAGGTTTTCTCTGAGTGTCAGGCAAATAAGCATAGCTGGGATAGCCTTCTCAGAAACATTAATGAGTGCAGTTAAAAGACTTTTTTGCAGAAGACAGAAAGTTATTACTCCTAATTTTGTCATATCCAGTGTCTAGATTTAAAAGACAAGGACAATATAAACTTGCATGTAAAGCATCGCAAATGTAACCTTATCATCTTGTCAACAAGGCTTCCTCAGGGCCACTTGGTGTCTAAACCATCATTGTAGACAGGAAAAACAAACCTGCTAAACCAAACTTAATGATCTTGTAAAGTTTTTGAAGCACATTAGTAAGTTTTGGTAGGGTTTACAAGATTTATGTAATTTACTATTTTAGATCATTTAGTAATTAATTTTTTTTTAAGTATTAACACAGAGGGTGCTAGACTTATGGCACAGACACCAGCTTAAGCATATCTCTCACAAGTATGTCAAAGGTTTGAGCCTCGGACCAGACACACATGAAAAAGGTCATTCAGTGTTACCCTCACTACTGAACATTACAGGTCTGTACTAACACTGGATAGTATATCCGTTTGAATGGCTAGTAAGTTGATAAGTGGTGAAATGTTTAAAACAAAACAAAACAGAGAGATCCTACACAGGCCACTGGCCTTCTTCCCTTTACATGGCTGCCTCTGGTGTGTGGCCATTAGGTAAATAAGGTAAACAAAGAATACAGGGTATAGCAAAATTAGAAGGTAATAAGAAATTTACTTATATTGGAAAAAGTCTTTGAATGCCCAGTTCACCCTCAAAGGTGTCCTTCAATTTTTGTCAAGGAAAATGTTGGCAATTATGTAAGTTTAGTTGGTTTGCCTGTAGGGGATTATACCTAAAAATATTTTCAGCTATTATACATAACACACCTGCCCCTCAACATAGAAATGAGGTGTAGTTTTTTAGAGGTGTTTTTTATTTTCTACAATATCTTGTGCAAACATTTTATATTTTTGTTAAGGACCATTTCTCCTCCAATAATAATACCTGTAATGTATCCCACAAAGTGAGGTTAGGTAAGGTATGATAGATTAGTTTAGGTTGGTGTTTCTAACACTGCCACAATTTTCCATGGAAAGGAAGGACAATTGTAACACTGCTGCTGTAAACAGTGAAAGAACCACTTTAACCCTCAAAATTGATAAAAAATAAGATAAAGATAAAGTTCTGTCCACTTAGAGGGTTATTAATACTGAAGGAGGGGAATTGGGCCCAAACTAAAATGTTAAATATTTGGACAAGAAAATTTTATCAGCAGTGAATAGAGAATAGAAATTACCTCTAGAAAAACCATTTGTATGGCTGAGTTGAAGAGCTAGTGTTTTCTAATTACAGTACAGGGTATTGACACATTTTTCTATGCAGAACATGCAAATTTAATGCTGGAATTAGGAAAAAGAATAAGGAAGGTAGAAGCACATGGAATAGGTGGATCATTATTAAAATGGATTAGGTCATGGTTAACTGGTAGGAAACAAAGAGTCAGCATAAATGGATTAAAGTCAGACTGGGGTGCGGTCAAAAGCGGAGTTCCCCAGGGATCTGTATTAGGCCCTCTGCTGTTTGTTATATTCATTAATGATCTTGATTTAGGTATAACTACAGTAGTAGGATTAGTAAATTTGCAGATGATACCAAAATGGGGAGAGTGATAAATTCAGACAGTGACTTTGAACACCTTCAAAGAGATCTAGATACCTTACATGAGTGGTCAGTAGACTGGCAAATGAATTTTAATACTGATAAATGCAAGGTACTACAGATAGGGAAGACGAATACAAACGTTAAGTATAAACTAGGTAACACAGAAATAGAAAACTCAGATTGTGAAAAAGATCTAGGTGTATTTGTTAGCAACGACTTGAAACCTAGAAAACAATGTAGTATTAGCGTTCGCAACAAGGCAAACAGGATTCTTGGGTTCATATCTAGGTCTGTGAGTTACAGAACTGCTGACGTTATCTTGAAACTTTACCTAGCATTAGTGAGGCCACACATGGATTATGCGGTTCAATTCTGGTGTCCTTATTATAGAATGGACATAGATTCTTTGGAGAGAGTACAAAGAAGAATGACAAAAATTATCCATAATATTAGAAACCTTCCATATGAAGAAAGACTGAAAAGCTTAGGCTTGCATTCATTAGAGAGGCGTAGAGTTAAGGGAGATATGATAGAGGTGTTCAAGTGGGTAAGTGGGATTAACAAGGGTAAAATGGAAGATGTTCTGAAGCTCAGTAATAACGAAATAACTAGAACAAATGGTTTTAAATTAGATAAATTCCGATTCAGAAAGGATATAGGCAAGCACTGGTTTGGTAATAGAGTTGTGGATATGTGGAATAGGCTACCGAGAGCTATAGTAGGATCGGGGACGCTAGGGAGCTTCAAGACGAAGTTGGATAGGCACATGGAAGTGCTGGGATGGGTGTGAAAGGGATCTGCCCTGTATGGGCCAGTCGGCCTCCTGCAGTATCCCACTTTCTTATGTTCCTATGTTCTTAATATTAGTACCTAAACATGGCAAGGAGGTTGTTTGCATTCACACTTTTGCTACTTTAAGAAACTGACAAAATAATTACAAGACCATGTCTAATTTTAAGTGACTGTAAAGTGGTTCATTTCTGTTAAATTCGTAATTGAATTATTATATTTTAATTCACTGAATGGCAAAAGGCATGGCAGCGCAAGACCTGCTTGCTATTTTTGGTAAATCAGTATGTAATGTACTCAGGAACACTGCCTCATGATAACCAGCAAGGTAGTTAATCTTAGAGTTGCCAACCTTGCTGGTACAGTACAGGAGATCCCCGAGTTAGGAGTGGGTTACCCAGTACGTTCCTGGACCCTGATCTTAAGTTGATTTGTTGGTAACTCAGAACTATGTTATTTTCACAAAAAAAATATGAGTAGAATCCAACCCGACATGTAGAATTATAACATTGTTCTTTATAGTAACCCAGAAAATTTGTTGTCATTCTTGCTATTTTAGTGAACCGTGTGATGTTTAGGTCATGTTCATGTACAATTCTGTACGGGTGTTTGTAACTCAGGGAGGCTTTTGGCAGGAAAGCCAAAAATTAATAACAGAGGAAACTAGCATGATTACTAACATCCAGTACTGTACTTACTTATTTACTAACTTACCGGTCGATGTGTTACTGGACTCAGGCTTCAAGTGCCCAGATCTCATCTCCCAGGCTTGAAACCTTTGTGTGACAATTCTGTATTTAGTGAACGGCATACTTTTTAAGTCATGAAAATTTAATTATCGTATTTTACGGTATATAAGGTGCACCTTTTTGTCTGAATAATGGCAAAAAAAATCAACTTGTATCCTATATGTGAAGTTGTGGTCTCCCATAAGCTAATGAATCCCCCCAGTTGCTGTCTCCATGAGGCTAAATTCTACCTCACCCAACCACAGAATTAAAAATATGTTATTGCTTCCCTAAACACATTATTAATATTTCTTATTAATTAAAAAAGTAATTAGTGTAAATATAAAATCTCGGTTTATAACTACTGTACTGTACTGATGATAACCTGAGACAATTAACGTCTTTATGGCAGACACCTAACTCTTCAGAGGAAGCTAAGCAGTAACCATTTCTGAACTCTTAAGAGCATTACTGTACAATCTATTAGTGTCATACCTGCAACATTTATTTTTCAATCTACAAATACCTGATACAAATGAAAATTTACAGACAGCTCTCTCTTCCCATTTGCATTTGTTAACATCACTGGTGGCATTGTATCCAGGTTAAACTCATCACTGTAACCACTGTCCATGCTGTGAGGTGTTATGGTTGTTTTTCAGCTTGTATTTTCGGGTAGATACAGTATATGTAACTTTCTTAATTTATTTTTACTCAGTTACTTGCACACTCCATCCTTCTTGCAAATTGTGAAAAAGGTAATATTAATGAATGTCCTAAGGACAAACACTTTTTTTTTTTAGATTAGCCCACCCGGGCACAGGTCTCTGACCCACATCGGGGCCTGGGGGGCAAAAATGTAATAATGATAGTAATAATAATTATTCATAGTACTGTGAATAACATTTTTAATAAAAATATAAAATTAAAAATTAAATAATAAAATAATAATGATAATAATAATACAGTAATCCTGTGTTTTTCGTGGGAATTACGTTCCTGAAAGCCCTACGAAAAGCCAAAACCCCGAATACTCTTTTAGGAATTGCTGTACCTGTGGCCACCAAACAGCTCAGGTAGGTTCATGCTCTCCACTCACTGCCCAGTGGTCACACTGATCACTGTTGCACTGTACCGGCATTTACTAACATCATTATTTTAAACTTATCATATTGTAGTATAATAATGGAAATAATAAAC